CAGGGATCAACCCGAGAATGAGTGACCGAGCATCCGCTGCCCGAGGGCGGAAAGGGTCATTCGAGGTTCTGCGTTGCAGCGCAACATTCGGGGCTGAATAAAGGATGCACTTGCATTTTGTGTGATATTCAGGCACAAAGGCAGATATGACAGGGGATCGCAGACTCGTCTGACATATTTGTAGTTGATTCTCCTCCCGTTACTCGACGAGAACGAGAAAGCGAGCAGCTGCAGCAAGGGGAGAACAGGGAGGGCATGTTGTGGGCAGGGCTTTGCTTGTGTAGCCACATCAATTCCTTCCTCAGAGCCCAGTGAATGGACGCGGTACTAAGGTAGATAACGCTAATCGGCTGCTTCCAGACACGGCACATCCCACGAGAAGCTGGATATGCAGAGCACAGAATGCTGTGCAACCACACGAAGGTATGCCAAATTTGATCGGCCCAACCTCTCGCTGGAATTCTGTCTGCCGTTGCCGTCCTCAAACGCCTGCGAACCGCTGAAGAACTTCCATCTTTGTCCGCTCATCTGCTTGCAAGCGTTTGTGTGTGTCGTATTGTGCAGGCGATGTCATGGCCCCCCTTGCTGGTTTCGCCGTCGTAAGCATCAGACGGGCGCCCAGGTCGTCGGCATAGGAGAGAAAGCTCAAATATGATATAGGTCGGCCTTCTCTCTCTGCCAAATCATGGACGCCGTTATCTAGCGTACAGGTGAAGGTGCTGGATGAATCCTTCCGGCCCCGAAACTGCCATGCTTCAAATTTGTTCCATTGCATGCCACGCCCGATCTGTTGGTGATCAACATTATCAATACCATTCTTGAGAGCTCACCCCAGTCCAAAGCTACCCTCATTGGAGCCCTGTCGGTGAATTAAACCATACTTTTTTCTTACGTATAGTACCTTACTTTGGGCTACCACAGTACTCTATTCTCCGTCCCTGGCCCATTACTTCCCTGCTCTTTGTCCCTCTGCACCAGTGGACCCGGAACCAACAAGAGGACCCTCACTCACCCAGCAGCTTGCAGGGAGTCCAGGACTTGGGGAGGTCAGGTCAATACCACATTCGGCAGCTTCTTGTTGGAGTTGGTGGAGACAAGGACTGGACTGCTTGGGATAAGGGGGCACGACCAAAGGCGATTGGGGGATTCTTGGTGGAAGTGTCGTCCTGGGCAGCACCAAAGAAACAGGAGGACTAGGGAAGGCCACGAATGATGGGTGCTGCTTGTATTGCGCTCGCTACCCCGGCGCGCATACCAGGTGTGATGGGCGCGTCACCGTGGGACCCATCACCGTGGCCACCATCGAGTCGCGGGCGTCGACCGGGGGAGGATGAGGAGGACATGGAGCTATACCAGCACCGCCCTCGGCCCTGCGCGGCGGCAACGATGGACATGGGCATGGGCAGCGTGGACCAGCATGAACTCATAAGTTTCCTTGACGACACGGATGCGGACGCGGATGAGTTTATTCTGTCCTGCCCATCTCCTCCATCATCATCATCTGTTCCTATTGCGTCCACTCTGATCGACAACCGCGACGAAGACGACGACAAGATCGACGGCGATCCCTCCACAACCGCCGGATTCCCCCATAGTAATACTTTCCTTCTCTCCTCTGCGCGGTCTAGCTTCTCTTCGACAACCTTGACAGCCATAACAACAACGGCATCAACAACAACGACAACGACGGCGACGATGGCGCCCCTTCCCATTGCCAACAGTTTTCTCAGCGGAAGCGGGGGCGGCGGCGGCGGCGACGCTAGGAGCAACGGTAAGAAGACGACAGTGACGGAGACAGCTGCCGGCCGACGCACCAGCGAGGATAGCGTGGACCGGTCTCATGGGCTTTGGGACTATTTGCATCACGGACTCGACGGGTACAGCTCGCCCGATCTGAGACAATTCCAACAGCAGCAACAACAACGTTCCCCTAAGCAACAGCAGCACCAGTCGTCCTCGTCATCGTCATTTCATAACCTCCACCTAAGGCCCAAGTCGTCCAGGAGCCATCAACCCTCCTCCAATGTTCCGCGGACCAGCTCTGAGTCTGGGACAACGGGGAGTTTGACTGCGACTCCGACAGCGAACTCGGCGACCTGGGCACTGTGGACTGGCTTGAGCCACGAGAAGCGCGGCAGCAACGGCAGCAAGAAGACGATGGCGACGACGTCGTCGGCCCACTCGACAACGACGACGACGACGACGACGATACCGATGATGCACGGCATGCGGGAGACGCTGTCCTCGGCCGGGTCAGCGACGATCGTCCCTCCGCCGGTATCGCCGTCGACGGGATCCTTCGGCGCAGAGATGACGAAACAGGAATTCGAGGCTTTGCCAGAGGCCATTCAGCGAAAGGTGAGCAAGACATTTTTGTATTTCGTACTCTGTCATCTTCATTCCCCTCCCCCCTCCCAATGTGTTGCTTGCACCGGTTCTCCCCTCGTTTGCTATTGTTCTTCCCAAGCCCCTTCTTTCCCCCACCCGTCCGTTTCTTCTTCAGAAGCTCCTTTCCGTCGCCATATCTGCCGCTCTGGATGGCAACCAACTCCCTTTGTTGGCAAGTGCCGGGTTGTTCACTTAGCGCAGCCCCCCCCCCTCCCCCCCGGTCAAGGGACCGAGGGACACGCCGTCGTGTCTCTGGAAGTTTTCTTTCCGAGACTTGCCAGAGCAGTCCAGCGCCCGCTTTCACCCTCAGGCCCTGTCCGCACGGGGGTCGGGCTTATTTCCGATGCCAACCCCTAGGGTAGAGGCACAGACATGCCTAGAACGGTGTCAAGGACGCTGATGCAATGGACTCGGCCAGTCACGGGAAGCGAAGAAGTGAGTCGAGGCCCGCCTCGGATGAGGATCAGGCTGATGACATGGGTGTTGGGTGAGTGAGATGAGTTGAGAGGGCTTGGTTCCAACGAGCTCTTATCACTCACTTCCACTCAGCTGCTGAAAGGGTCCAGACCGGGGCGCTCCATTGAGTCCCTGGCCTGAGCCCGGGGTACCTCCCCTTGCCAACAAACCCGCCTGAACTCCGCCTGTATAGTTGCAGCGGAGGTTTGCGGCTTGGGGGGAGGGGAGGGGGAACCGGCCGCGGATATTCAGGTACCCATGGACTCGAATTGGCTCGCTGAGGGTTATCCAAGACCCCAATTGCAGCATCTGCAGCATCTGCGGCACAGAGAACTGAGTCCACTGAGACATGCACCTGGACCAGACTGCATGGCCTGCTTTAGCTCTTCACTATCAGAGGCTCGGGGCTACTGTGCTGCTCTGCCCGGCCCCCCCTGCCGCCCACTCAACATACCTTGTTCCTCGCACACACGCATTTCTCCCCCAGTTCACCACAATCATCACCTCTCTGTCCAACCGACACCCAGCAAGCAACTTCTTCAATTTCTCTCGCCCTCGCCCCCACACCCTCCATGCACCCAGGTCCAATATCACCTTCATCACGTCCGGACAGCCAGTCAGCATTGGTCAGTCATCATCAGGCACAGGAGCGGGCGCGAGAACCCTCTTGCGTTCATGCTCCTCCAGCTCATGCATATGCATAGCAGGCAGCCGTTGAAGACTGGACCACGTCCACACATGAAGACGGAGAGGGCGATTGACCGGCGGCTCGACGAAGAGAGACGCGATGAGCAGTGATGGACTGCCATCACGAACTTGCATATGGCGAATGGCAACGCGTCGACGAAGTTGGCTCGCAAACCACGCCGAGGGCTTCATTGTCAACCACAATAAACAAGCCGTCCCAATCTCATCCCCTCACTTCGGGCATCGGCTGGCCTTCGCATAGCCTCATCTCTCATTCCTCACCCCTCATTTTTCACTCGTCGTTTTCTCGTCTCCAACATGCAGCACGGCTCCGTATTGCACTATCGGCACTCACACATATCGCAACACCACTCCTGTCTGTGTCCCCTCCCTTCTCTCAGATCATCAGCCATCAACACTCCCCGTGCCATTGTGCTGCCCAAGACCGAGCGACGTGTCTCACCCCAACGTAGAACTTGGCCCGACCATCTGTCATGTCTCTGGCTTGTTCCCTCGTCGTTCCTGTCCCCCCCCTACTCAGATTCCTTTTCCTCGTCCCGTCCCCGTCATTGCAACGGCGGGCTTCTCTGTTTGGGCAGGACCAGCATATCCCAATTCCCACATTCCATGGAACCCCCCGGGCCGCCAAGTGGTGCTGCTGGCTAAAATGGACAAGCGAGCTAGGCCGCTTACGCCGTTGGTGTCCCTGGTGCGGCGTGGGCTCTCGAGCTACAGTGGCATAGCGTCGTTTTGGGCGTCTGTCTGCCCTGTCTTGTCTTGTCGTGTCGTGCCCGTCGCTGTCGTCCCTCACACGCACAAGTCAGTCTGCGCACGGCACCTGCATCCGCACTGACCTGACTTGACGTGCATCAATACGGACCTCCTTTCTACCCTCGTCCTATCCAATAGCTCTCGCTTGCCGTCCCTGCACCAGCCATCCGCCACTCCTGTCTCAATCGACGGCTTGGAGCTTTCCGTCAAGCCCTGGATCGCTGCCGGGTTGTCCCTGGGTTGCCCAGCGCAGACATCCCAGAAACCCGAGCTAGGTCCTGGGCCGGGGCTGAATGAATTGAGCTCGAGCATGTTGATCTCGATGTATTGGACTTGGCTTCAAGTGAAGCAAGTGCGAAAAAGCACAGGTCCTGCTGCAGTTGCTACCACTTTACTGCTACAAGTCGAGTGAGTGCAGCACCGCATCCACGGCGGACCGCAGTCCATCCTTGCCTATCTGGTCCATCACTCGACGGCAGCTCCATCCTTCATGCATCTCAGTAGATGCAATGCAGGTCCCATCATCCACAAGCACCACCGCAACGTAACGCAGCACGACACGGGTGCCAACGAGCACAGTCCAGGAGCACGACGTCTCCCCCATTCTCACATACCCCTTTGCCCATTCCTGTACTAAGACAATACATGCCCGCTTCTGCTTCTCAATTCCATTCTTGCTTTCGTCCCCATTCCAGCCAATGCCTTTGTATCTTTCTTCTTCCTTACTAAATATTCTTTAGTACTTCAGCTCCCTCGAACGCCTGCACTTCGCCAGTCTTGCCCCGGCTCCTAATCCCCCGGCCAAACATCTCGATGTCTACTGCAGTCGTTCAGACATCAACCCCAACCCCAAGACCCTGAAGCAGCGCCGCAGAGAACGACAGGCCAAGCTTGCTTCCGACCAGGCCTCCGACCGCGTCAAGAGACGGCCCTCTCGTCGTGCCGGCCCCCGCTCTTCAACCTCGTCCGTATACGTGCGTATGCCAGACAAGATAAAGAAGAGGCATTTGACCACCGAAGAGCAACTCATTGCGTCCCGAAACCGGAGACACGACATCATCCTCGACCCGGCCGATGAGGCCGTTTACAAAGTCCGAAGAAGAGCGTCCAGCCTGATAACCCAAGACGAGCTGTGGAGTCCGACCCTGTCGGTCAGACCTCAAACGATGGACACCCGACCAAGCCAGGACACACACAAGCGCGTGTCCAGACCTGAAGAGCAAAGGTCGCCCCAGAAGAAGCGGGACTCCTTCTACGACAGCTTTCGTTGGCTCGAGGAGGATGACGAGTTGGATTTGCGTTTGCAACTGGATGACTACCATGCCAACCTACGAGATGACCTCCCCGCCAACTCGAAACAGCGCAGGCCGTCTTTCCGCAGGCACCTATCCATCACCAAGATTCCTTTCGGCCGCACCTCACTCTCCGTCAATCGCCCCGGCACCACGCCTGGCGTGATTAGCAACCCTGCGTCCCCGCGCTACGCAAATTTTCCAAGTAGTCCTCAGCCTGCTTCGCCCGGACATGGCCGCCGAAGATCCCGCGCCCTGTCGTTGATTTCGCCAAAACATAGCCCTCAAGACAGTCTTGCTACCTTCGACCCGGAGGCGGCTCACTACCAAGACCCGGAGGCCCGCCTGAAGCTGCGAGTGTACCTTGCGTCTCCTCAAAAGTTTGACGAAGCCATCGAGTTCGGCTTTCCTTCCAAGGAGGCCCTGGCTTCGAAGCCAGGCAAGAACGTCAAACAACCCAAGGTCAAACAGCCGAAGCCTGCGGTAGCAGATGAGACGGAAACCTTGCGCACTTTCCTTGCCGACGACAGGTCTTCTATCTACAGTGACGACGGATCCCTCGACTCGGACTCTCCCAAGACACCTCATGAAATGGAGATGACAGGGCTTCGGCCACCGCCCATCAAGAGCGATCAACCTCATTCGCCCAAACCATCGACTGAGTACGCACGGATACCGGCAGAGGCCAGGGAGATGACTTTGCGCATGACCCTGACTCGACCCGATCTACGAGCCCACGAAGACCAGATGTACGGCTGGCAGAAGAACTGCCCACCCAGTAGGAAATCAACCAACGCCTTGCGCGATGAGTTTCCGACATCGACATACGTCCGAGATGGATCATCAAAAGAGAGCATCGAGCGTCAGTTCGCGGCCATGGATCAAGAGAACGCTCAGGCTGGCGACCAAGGCGTCATGAAGCGTTTTTGGAACAAAGTCCGTCGAGGGCCCGCATAACTCTTTGATCTGAGTGACGGTCATTATGCTCAGCCTCAAAGACCGAGTCGCAATATTTCGCAACGCCCCATTAGACAGAAGCGGCGAGGTTGCAAAACCTGCATTACGACATCAATAACACTTGCTTCTTATACCCCCCCCCCCCCCCCCCCCCCCCCCCACCAAATCTGTATACAGTTTCATCTTATAGTCTATTGTTTTCCTATGTCACCAAATTCTTTGCGAGCGACATTGTGTTTTGAGCCGGAGTTAGCATGGAAACGTCAGAAGCATGAGGGAGGAGTTACTACGAGAGAGGCATTTACCGCCCTTTCCGCCTGTCATATTTCACAATCACACGGGGGAGCGTTGTCGTAGGGGTAGATCTTGTCTCAAACGGGGAGGACAGGGTAGTATTTGCTAGTAATGGACTCTCGCGAGCGTCTGCTAGCCAGATTACCAAGAAAGATTTCCAACTTAGTTGCTACTCAAGCTCCAGCCGTCCATGTGGTACATGTCTATGGGAATGGCATGGTGACACTAGTCTGTGTCAAAAAGGTTGCGTCGACTCCGGATGGCACTGGACGGCTAAAGGCGTAACGCGGCTCGTCACCTCCAGTGTCAACGGCGAAATCACCGCGTGTTACATCCCAGGACTCCTCGGAGGGGTAAAAGCAGTAGACTAGGTAGGATAGCAGAGTAGAGACGGCTGACCCAAGAACCCGGTTGATAGTCATCCTAATCTTAAGCCTCACGGACCCTTCTTCTCGGGGGTTCCGCTAGACCAAAGTTGTAATCGAAACGCACCAGAAGGCCCAACCTTTTTTTTTCATTCCTTTTTTCACGTAGGCTGCAAGTCCCTGGCATCTAAGACGAGCGGCTCGTTTATTGGGAACCACGGTCGTCAAGAGGGGCCGCGAGGATTCGGAACGCAATGACGGGTGATGAAAATCCGGGAGCCAGTGTGTCGAGGGTGATGGGATGGGCCCTGTGTTTTTCAGTTTGGCTCATGGACTTGCAGTCTGCGAGGGCGTGGGTGTCCATCACATTCTGCTGTCATGGCGGCGCTTGGGGCTTCTCATGCCGGGGGGGTGTTAGCGTCCTCAAGCAGGAGCTCGATAACGGGCGAGGCGACGCGAGAGCGAGCCACAAGCATGCACATCATGTAAAGGCTGGGACAGGAGGGGCCGAGGGACTGTGCGCGCGTGGCAGTTCCTAGCAGATGGGATGGCATAATGTCAGGCTCGAGACGTGTGGGAAGAGTGAGTTGGGGCATTTTGTTATTTGGGTGGGTTCATTCCCCTCGGGACGGCCGTGTTCCGTGGATAGACTGAAGGTTCCTAATATCGAACCACCGGGACAGTTGAATGGTTCCTTTTGAACCCCGCGAAGAGCTACCGTGGTCATTGGGATTTGCATACAGGTGGAGGGTTGCTGGGAACTGGGGTTTGTGGCCGGCCGTGGATTTGAGGCGTTGTTACTATTGGGTCTGTGGCACGGCACATTCCATCGAGAGGCACACCCGAAAGACTGCCAGCATGGAAACCAGCATATCACGACGGCTGGCTGTCGTCGGTTTTCTGCACTAGAATCCCTTGGAGGGAAAAGTTGGAGGAAGAGCCGTTATTTGCCTTGCCGTCCAATGGTTCAGATGGGAAAAAATAATATAAAAAATTGAAACAAAAAAGTATGATACGCATTGCATAAGAAAGGAAATGCTGTCATCACACCGATAGTTGCTATCGTACTTGCTTTTTTTTGTTGCGTTTTTTGAGACGAAGAGCTCGGACCCAAGTCTACCATAGCTCCAAAGTAGTTCGCGAGGGGGAAGCGAACGGGGTTCTCGGCGTTCAGCGCGCGATTCAGGACGCTCGTTTAGATGGAGAAGAAAATGCAGGGCCACCAGCCAGCTCGGACGCCAAGGGCGAGCCCATTGATGCCACGTGCGAGGGACTCCTGGTCGGGTTTGTTTCTTTCTGTTGCTGCGCACTTTGACATGTTTCGGGTTTGAGGACAGGGAGGTAGGATTCCAAGAACGGAAGAGGGACGGCACGTGGCTGGGTTCAACGTGTGGAGACTGTAAGGTCAAACGAATGGATGCGAGCTTTGAGGACCTTCGGTCAACTTGCGAACCCTGGTTGACTTGAAGATGCATCATCGCGAGTCTTTCGGTGCTTTCTCGTTGATGAACAGCCGCGATGGGAAGGTCTGGACTTTTTCTGCTGATTTATCTTTGAAGTAGGGAACCCGCCGACCCTGTTCTTGAGGGGCACGGTGAAGCTAGTCATTCGAGAATCTCCGGCTGCGATGCGATGATAAGGAGTCTCTGCTCAAACGAGTCTAGTTTGCAAATTGAGGCAATATTGCGTATACAAAGTGGAGGAGTGCCACAATCGGGACCATTGGCGCTGTAGACGTGCAAGACGAACTTGCATGAATCCAAACAGTCCCAAAGCATTGTCACACAACCGGGAGGCTTGAAGTACCGTTGGAGGACTAGTAGAAAGCATGGGATACTACCGGTGTACGCCCAACAGAAGTTGCAAACGCCACCCCGAACCGTCTCTGGCAAGCAGATCGCAGGTTTGCACTCGGATTTCGATGGCACCAAACAGGGGTGACTCCATGGATTAAAGCCAACGGATTCGATACCTGCCGATTTACCACATTTATCAATTCGGGACAAATAAAGTGGCGGTACGTTTACTTATCTGGTCAAAGGACTCGGAAGAGCCAGGGATCCGGTTCAAAAGGGGGACCGAGAGGATGCCAGGGGAGCCGGTCCGTGATAACGGACGGTGTGGGGCCGATGATCGCCGGCACCGGTCATCTGACCAAGTAGCATTGCAAAGAGTCTCCATTGCCTTTTTGGGAAATCAGTTAAGCACGCCACTTCTGCTTTACCGTATCCTGAACGAACATCAATACTTCTCATTTCATCGGGCGAGAAGTTAAGTTTGGCCCCATTCATTTTGCTACCTTCGTGGGTTGAGGACGTTACCAGGCAGACAGTATGAGATCTACGTCGGATGACCTGAGATCTTTGGGGGTATTCACATCTCCAAATCTCGGCATCAAGCGATTTCATTTAGCATGTCATTCAATTGCCTCGGGAATGGGCTCTCAAAATGAGAATGAAGTCCGCCGAACAGCTCGACGTATGACTTCTGTGCTCGTCACGTGATAGCGCGTGGGTGGACCGGGAAAGTGGATCCCCGTGTGGCGTGGCCAAACGTCACGACACAGAAATTTTGGTGAGCCGGGACCCTGAGATTATGAGCGTGCTGTAAGGGACGCCACTCAACTCCAGGCCCTTTCAATATCGCCAAAATTTCGCTCAAGATGTTGAGAAGCTCGAGCAAGCCATTTGTGTGCTGGCGGTGTCTCACAGCCAAGACGTCGCTGTCTCCTGTGGCTAGCGGCGGGCCGAGCCTTACTCCACAGCTTCAACAGGGCTCCTCTGAGGTTTCCAGAAGAGTAGGCCTGAAACTCCCTGCACGAAGTATGATGAATATCAGAATCAACTGGGCTGACATGATTCACAGTCATATGCTTCTGCAAGATACAAGTATGGTGGAGGCGGCGGCGGCGGCGGAGGAGGGGGAGGTCGACGTCGCGGCGGCCCCTTGACCTCGGCTTCGGGCCAGGAACTCGCTCATATCCGCGAAAAGTCGGATATCAGGGAGCGGCTCCGGGATTGGGAGTCTAAGAACCACGAGCCCTCTCGCCGCCTGCTCCAGGACATGCCAGTGCAGGACACCCCGCTGTCCAACTACTTGACCAGGCCGGACCTGCTTCCCGGCTCCACGGATGCGCTGGGTGGGGAAGAAAGCGAGCTGCAGAGGAACAGCAAAAAGAATCGCGCACTATTCGAAGCAGACGAGCTCGCTGATTTGCGCGGGGCCACATCGGCGCTTGTTGCCGGCGACTTGGTCGAGACGAGGTAAGTCGATTACGACTTCGCTCTGCCAAGAAGACATCTCTAACGAGTCGTAGGTATGGAAGCGGACGCCTGCCTGTGTTGGCGGTTTGCTTGGGACGTCATTACGGGCTGCAGTACTTTTACATGAGCACTGGCGAAGTCGTTCCTGAGCACAACATCCCCACACTTTTCACGCTCACCAATTTCATTGACCCGGCCAAGCTTCAGCCACTAGTCGCTATCCTGCCCGAGGAGCCCGTCACCAAGCCGCGCAACGTGTTGTTCCACAAGCACAACCCGGCAGCCCTCAAGACGGCTTCTCGCCTGCAAGGGGAGCTGATCAAGTTCTACCAGGACTCGGTCTCGTTTTACCAGTCTCACCTGACGTTGGACAATGCCAGCAGTTTCTTGGCACACCCGAGAAGCCGCAGTACCTCGACCTTGAAGAACTGGCAGACAAGTTGCTGCCAGAGTACCTCAAGCAGGAAGGGCGGTTCCTCCCGCACGCCCTGTATGCTGTCCACACCGCACTCAAGCGCGATGAGTGGGGGTTTCGCCCCCTGAATATGAAGTGGCACAGGCGCAACTACATCTACGAGGTCCGACCCATCTCCGACATCCGCATCCTGCGCAAGGTCGAGAACCAGGTCCGCGAGCTGGTCGAGGGCGCGGCGCTACGTGAAAACCCGGCGGAATCGCTCTCGCTGCTTAGGCAGAACAGCCTCGGCTCCTTCATTCTCAAGGCCCGCGGCGTCATCCAGGCGAACCGGCTACGGAGAGAATGGACGCCGCATGGAATGATCGGCCCAAGCAACGAAAAGGTCGACAACCTTGCGCTGTGGACGAAGCAGGAGGTTGACTACATCCGATTCATGGAACTCTGGGCTTGCCACCGCATCGTGCCCAAGGCCTCGCAGCTCGAGAGTTTGGGCTCAACCATTCTCCGGCTGACGAGCGTATACAACGATGCTGACTGGCTTGCGCACTGGACCGGTTTCACATTCCTCCAGGAGATTGGCTGGATCCCGCCCTGGGAGATCCCGGCCCGCTATGAGTACAAGTTCCCCGACACCAAGGTCCACAGGGGCGCCGACATGGTCATGCCGCTCGTGGACGTGAACGGGTCCCTCCGACCCGACATTGCCGAAGGCCACAGGCGTGACTGGGGTGAGACAACCATCTTTTGCGTGGACTCCGAGCAGACGGCCGACGTCGACGACGGCTTCTCCGTTGAGGCGACTGAGAAGCCGGGAGAGCATTGGATTCATATCCACATCGCCGACCCGGCGTCGCGCATCGACCCTAAATCTGACCTCGCACGCCAGCTGGAGAAGGCCCCGTCGAGTCTGTACCTGGCCGGGTTTCCGAACAAGATGCTGCCGCGGGATCTCGAGCGGCAGTTCTCCCTCGACCCGGGCCAGCCGGCCTTGACATTTAGCGCCAAGGTCAACGAGCAAGGCGAGATCTTGGACTACAAGGTCGAGCCGGGCACACTCCAAAATGTCCTCCACGTGCCAAAGAACGAGGTTGCCGCCATTCTCCCCGGTCTGCAGCCCCAGTCCCCTCGGCCACGGACACCTTCGCCGTCGGCAAGCCGCCAGCGCCGCCACAGCCTGTGAAGCGCATTACCACTGCCGCCGAGCTCTCCCAGAAAGACAAAGACGATCTTCTCCTCCTCGATAAGCTGTGCACAACCCTCAAAGACCGTCGCGTCGAAAAGGGGCAACTCCCCCAGTTCCGACCCCGCTTCAGCTCCCCCGAGGTATCTCTCGACTCCGTCGTCGTCAAGGGCGATCCGGACGTCCTGGATTCCTCCATGGCGTGGCAAGGCGACCCCTTTATCAGATTCGCCCAACCGCACCCCACCCCGGCCGACCGCCTCGTTGAGCGCCTCATGCACACGGCCGGCGAGGTCGCCGCGAAATGGTGCCGGGCCCGCCATATTCCCGTCCCCTACAGCACACAACCCGAGGCGCTCCGCAACTTAGACGAGCTCTCCACCTTCCGCCGCACGCACGTCGAGCCCCTCACCGCCCGCGGCGAGCCAGTCTCCGTGGACACCCTCCATAACCTCTTTGCCCTCATCGGGACCTCGGAGCTCTCCGCGACCCCGGCGCCCTTCTACTCCGTTGGCCTCGACGCCTACGCCAAATCCTCCAGCCCCCTCCGCCGCTTCGGCGACCTCGTTGTGCACTGGCAGATCCACGCCGCCCTCGCGCGCGAGCGCGAGACCGGCCGTTCTCTCGCGGGCCAAGACTGCTCCGAGGCGTCCGACTTCCTCCCCTGGACGTACCGCACCCTGGCGCCCGCGCTGCCCGTGCTGCAGGCCCTGCAGCGCCAGATCAAGCAGGTCGACAACCGCGACGGGCCGACCCAGTGGATCGCCCAGGCGCTCCTCCGCGCGTGGCGCTTCGGCGAGGCGCCGCTGCCGGACAAGTTTACGTTTGTCGTCGACGGGCTGTACCCGTTTGGGCTGCGGGGCCGGCTCGAGAACTTCTACGGCCTCTCCGCGTCGGTGGACCTGTCGAGGTTGGGCAGCGTTGCGAGGCTCGCCGAAGTGCAGGTCGACGACCGCTTCGAGGTCGAGATTGCCAACATTAACGTCGTGACGACGCAGGTCTCCGTCCAGCCTCTGCGGAAGCTGGAGATCGCGAGGGCGGACGACCTTGGCCACACGGATGCGGCCTCGCGGAGTGCCGCCACGCCTGCTTGACGAGGGAACGATGTAGGAACGTAAAAACCAGAGGGTTCTCCTCGTGTAAAACAATGTACAACATAGACCTCTTCACTGTGTAAAATAGGAACAGCCTGGACCGTTGCAGGACAGCTTTAATTGAACACCTCACGATCGAACTCATCAGAAAACATTTGCGCGTAAACTTTGGTATCATATTCCATCATTAAATAAGACAATGTCAAAACACCGTGCTCCTTTCCGTACCCGCATAACAACTCAGAGCCCCGCCAGCACGCTCTGGATGCCAACACTACTGGCGTCATCACGCCGCTGCACAAAGGCCTTGAAATCGGCCTTGGTCAGCTTCTTGCCCTGGCCGGAGGGTCCCGCGGCGAGCGTGCGAGACTTCTCCCTCAGCGCCTCGGGACCCACGATGAAGAGAGAGCCGATATCGGTGAGGAGCTCGACCGAGGTCTCGACATCGGGTGCGAGCGACCACTCCTTGAGAGTGGACGAGTATTTGGACAGATCCTGTGCGACCATGAGTCCTCCCGTGGCGTTCACCTGGAACTTTTTGAAATGATCAAAGAGCAAGGCCAGGATGGCCAGGGCGACCTCGGAGCTCCAGACTTCCAGGTTCTGGCCGTCGACGGCCTGTGCAGCGTGCTTGGAGACGCGCGAGAGGAACTGGCTGATTTGCAGGCACGTGGCCGTCTGTAAAGAGTCGAGGTCTGCGTCGCGCGGACGGAAATCAAACTTCTTCTGGCTTGCCAGGGAACGCGTGACCCAGTTAGTAACAACATCGATGGAGCTGCGCATGACGGCGTTGGTCTTGCGCTCGATGCTGTCAATGGCGGACTTTGTCTGCGACGACATGCTGCGGCGGACCGTGGTGTTGGACTCGGCGAGCTTGATCAGCACAGTGGTGATGAAGCGCTCCATGATGCTGGTAATGGTTACCGCCGGGCGTATCGCGGGGAGATAGGTCAAGTCCGGCTCCGACTTGATATTCTCCTGGGATGAGGCATTGTCGAGAGCGGCATCTAGAGCCGTCTCGACATAGACGCGCCCCATCGTTGTAAGCAAGAGGTTGAGGAGGACGTTGACGTCCTTGGGCGTGTCGACAGGGGAGCCAAGTTCAAGGGTTCTACGGACGGACTCCGCGAGCCACTTCATCATTCTCTTGGCATTGGCAAGGCTGAGAATTCCGTCCTCTTCTGACACCTCCACGTCATCCTTGTTTTCGTTGTTGTCTTGGATTCCTGCGACTCGAAGCATCATGGCCTTCTGGGTGGCCGTCAATTCGGATGAATCGAGGCGCTCGAGGTAGGCGTCCTTCGCCGAGGATATCAGCTGTGAACTCTGTTGAGCAAGAGAAGCCATGAAGCCAGTTGGCGCCTTCTTCCTCTTGGAGTGATATGTCGTGAACTTGAACAGCAAGGAGTTGTATGTCTCCTCGAGACTCTTCTTCTCTCGGTCAATGTACGAGTTGCCGACAAGATAGGGAACAAACAGTTCCTCCATCTGCTGATCCAGGGTCTGGGAAATTTGTGGGGAAACTGGCTCTGGGTGCTCAGTCAGGCCGTGTGATTTCAGGTCTTCAATCAAAGTACTGATGTATGTCCTCGAAGAGTGCAGTGATCTCAGAAACGCTAGAGACGAGACCTCATTAGCCTTGTCGAGTACCATCTCGAGCCGTTGCTGGATGGACTGCTGAAACACTCTTTGGATGAATTTGATCAAGACGGTTTCGTAAAAGGGGAACGCCCGTTTGATGATGAATGATTCCTCCTGCATGACGAGTTTGACTTCGTCAATGAGAGATTGCAGGCTGGCTTCAACGCCAGGCGGGTCAGAGTCGGGGTCTGCGATCTGTTCCCAAGTGTCTCCGTCCATTGTCACTTCGTCTGAGATCAACTGATCTCTGTCGATGAAGAATTGATGTTGATTGACAAAAGTGGCAATGACACTGGCGCCCCCGTTGAAGTCGTAAAGCACTTTTGAGCATTCCATCATGTCGTCGAAGTTCTGACGTCGGTAGCTGCTGTTGAACTGCTTCAACAACTCTTGTTCCAGAGATTCCGAGAATTTTTCGAGAACTTCCCTTGTGTTGTGCACGCGACTGTTCCCGGTGACCCCGTTCGTGACTCCGTTTCCTCGAAATCCATTCATCCCGTTCTTCTGGCCCCAAGATGACGGATCGAGCCGCTGACTGATGCGCATAAGCTGGCGAGAGATGACTGCGCATCGGACTTTGTTCTCTGCTCCTCCCTGTCTCTGGATCTCCTCCAGCGACGTGAGTTGGCCTGTTTCGCTAACCTCAATCCAGCACTGGATGAGGAAGTTGGCGTCTTGAGCCCGTCTCCGCTTCCTATCCAGCTCTTCGAGTTTCTCACCAATCTGCACAGCAATATTTCCGCCCACCTCTTGCCTCGAGTTCTTGTCGGCGCCATTGGTCGTGGGTTGGTTTAGCGATAGATCGAGTGCCTCAAAGGACGCCATGGACTGGTCGAGCTTCCGGCCAAGGGTGTCGAGGGTTTGGTCATGCTGGGCTTCGGCCCTTCGCACGTTGGATTGGAGCTCCGATTCCCTCTCCTGGAGTTCCTCGGACAACGATCCAAGTTGCGACAGCGCATCTGGGGGAACAAGTCAGCGACGGAACGAAGCGGTAGATGGAGGCGTCATACTCTCAAATGTGCGAATGAGGGGCTTGGGGTCGAAGGCAGGCTGCGCTGGACCTGAGCGACGGTTCGCTGGCACAGCATTCTCAGCTAGAGTATCGACGAATTCGCGGACAACAAAGTCCTGGTTCGAGAAGTCGTCAAGGGTGAAGCTGGGCCCTTGAGGGAACAGGGACTTGGCCCCAGACCCAGCCCGCTCCATGGTTGCGATCGGGTAGAGACGTGTTTATGATTTGTGTTGATTTGATCGTCAGCAATCGGCTACATGGTTTTGAGGGGTTCGCTTGGTGTTGTTGAGTTACTGCCGGTAGCTTGGGTGGGTGCTCCTAGAGCTTGTCGTCGAGACTGTGTTTCGGGAGCACGGGTATCTGCGTGGCCGGTTGAGTGACGAGCTGCTTGTCCCTTGTGTATGCTCGAGATTAGCGTGCTGTTCTCCACAAGTCACTGCCCCGCCACCGTTGGCCCGTGTGTACTTCATCTCCCGCCCATCACGTGATGTGTATCGATTGCTGTTGTTGTCGGGACTCCTTCTCTCTATTAACAGCAAACCTAGCATTCATCCAGATTGTTTCCACATTCTTTCCCATGCCAAACAGAGCTGTGTTACCTTATTTAAATATAGCATCAAAATAGAGTTACATGGGTAGCCTCTCCTGGTAATGGCAACAAGCGTTTCTCAGCCATCAAACCATTCGGACTCGAGGCCTCTCCCATGCAACATTCGGAAGGGCGAACCAGGCGTTGAACCACCCAGTACTGGCTCCCAACACTGATACCCAGCATTGTCGTGCATAAATCGAAAAAGACCAGGAGGCAATCTCTGGTTTGGTTTCTTCTCGATTGTCAAATCAAGCTGTGCTGATATGGGTCATCTTAGAGAGTGGCAGCGTTCTCCGGCCACCAAGTTACTTTGTTTACTGATGTATCGACTCAAGTCGTTCTTGGATCCTACTTAGGGTACAAGACTCACGCACGAAGCGTGTGTCGTCCTGTTCTCAGCATAGGAGGAGGCATGCAGACTATCAGCTTCTCTCTCTTGAACAAATCTAAGCTAGGGCAGTCAGCTCCTAGCTCCATCGCCCTGAGATCCTTGTCCACATGCCATGACTTCGCAGACGACGCCCTATCAAGTCTCCAGGGGCAAGCGATAAACCGAGAGAACTCAGTGGACGATGGGCAGTGTCCCCAGGTTCCCACATACCGACCCGTCCAGCCATGCCCATGGCTCTTAGGCATCCAAGGACGAACCAACCCGTAAGCCCGGCGAGAAACCAAGGGTTTCTCAGGAACAAGTCTCGACGAGGCAAGGCGAATCACGAAGTGCTACTAAGACAAGCAGTGTTTGTAACTTGGCAAGCCATCGATTGTAACAGCCTACAAAAGTCGCTAGAAATAATACAACAGATCCTCCCCGCCTCCTTTTTCGTCTTTCATCAAAAGACATCCGCCGCATCGATGCCTCTCCTCGACCTCGCCTTCCATTGCTTCATATTCTCCCTCACAGCCCGTCGACTACACCGTCCTCTTATGGAAGGGGGCGCGCGCAAGGACGAAGAGCCGAGAGTGAAAGACAAACACCACGAGAAAAAGAGTTGCCCTGGTGCAACCCCCGCTAACACCCTTAAGATGCTTCCCCTTAATCCCTCCATGATATGATAAAAAAAATTGGTAATTACATATTCAACGCCAAACAGCGTGGAATACACTGAGTGGCACGTGTGATTGTGTGTCTGGTTGTTTGATGTTCTCTGCGATATTGGTATCACGGAAATGACTGACTGCGAAGGGAACGACCTGTCCCGGGTCTCGCTCTAAAATAGAGGAATGTACAGAAGAGATTGATGCTGGTAGAAGCGAATAGGAAAAGAAAAACAATCAAATAGAACAGAAAACGGTTGAGGTAAAGGGAAACTATGTTCGCGAGCAGATGAAGGGAATTACGCCGCCCGAGGAGGGGAGGGCTTGCCATGCTTGCTGCGGTCATGAGTCGGGAGGGTGGAAATAGTGTGCGCGGTGGAGCACAAGATGAGCCGTGGATCATCGGTGGACGAGGTATGGCGGCGAGGGTTGCTTGCGTGAGAGTATGCGTTGCTTCTTGAGGAAGCCGTGGTTTGTGAATGTAAGGTATGTGGTGAGTGCTGGGACTTTTGAGTGCTCTAAGCCGTGTGTATGCTGGAATGCAGAGATCCCCTCCGTCGAAAACGATGCTCCGGAAAAGACCTGGGTATAAAAAAGGACGGATCATGATTCTGGGTGTCGTGAAGCGCCATGGGCGAGAGCGGAGCTCGCAGGGTATTGCGCAGTGGCCATTAGTGTCTCATCACGGCCATGGCTTCAAGGCATGTTTGTTTTCGTTGTCTAAACCTAGCGTTGGTTTTGCTTGTTGATCTCACCGAGGTTGAGCCAGCTCATGTCTGACGACGTGGAAGCCATTGCGAGAGGGGGCTGCTGGCTGACGCCAATCGGCATGTCGGTTTGGGTTTGCCTGTACGGCATGCTAGGCGCCAGCGAAGTAGGATAGAGGCTTTCGGCGTACACACTGCTCGGCGCACGATCAGCACCCCAGGGCCTCGAGGGACCAGTAGGGTCCCACGTGTCGCGAACACTCTCAGGAATGCCACTCGAGTATCCAGAGGAAGCGTCCGAGGTAGGTCTTCGGGGGGATTCGATCTTGGCAGACACACCGTCCCGGAAAGGAATCTGGTTCGAGTAGTTTGACACAGTTGGACTGCCCGAGACGACGCGGCTGAGTTCTGGCCGGCCATCGTGCTGAATGGGCGGGACAGTGGACAAGTCCTGGGTGATGAGGTGGAGGGGAGGGACGGTGGCAGAGTCCTGCGTTATCCGGTTCTTTTGGTTCGAGTTCGAGTAGTGAGAGCTTCGGTCCGAGTCGACCGTTGTCCGCTTCGAGTTACCGAATCCAAGGATGTTGAGCGCGCTGCCTCCGGACCAGTATCGGTTCCAGCCTGAGCTTCTGCGCGTCTCACCGGCACGGCCGACGGGAGCTCCTCGGGGAGTCGGGCGGGGCTCGACAACATCAGCAGCGAACGAGACGCCCTTCTCATCGCGAGATGGCGGTGAGAGGGCCGACTGCTCGTTCATCTGGGGCATAGGCTTGCCAATGGTGCTCTTGAAGAAGCTGTTTGAAGTATCGCGGTTGCTACCGCTGTGCGCGACACCAGCAGACTTTGGCGCGTTGTTGCCGTTGACTTTGCCCATCAGAATAGCCATGGAAGAGAAGGAGCCCGCCGAGTCTTGCTGCTGGTGGCCACGAAAGTGGCCATCAGGGCCAGGGCCAAAATCGTCGTTGCCGTACCCAAGTCCGGCCTTCTCGTCAGGGAAGCCTCTCGGGCTCATGCCCCTAGCGTTTTGGCCACCCTCGACGTTCTGTTGGTTGTTCTTGCCGCGACGACGTCGGATGCAGAACAGGATCAGGCCGAGGAGAAGCATAATGCCGGTGATGGTGCCAAGAACAATGCCAAGGATGGCGTTGGCACCAACTGCAGCCGGGGCGCCGGCTGCGGCGGTCTCGGAGCTAGCTGACGATGAGGCGGAGGCGGAGGCGCTGATAGACGCAGGCAGAGTAGAAAATGAGGTCGCCGACGAGCTCGAGCTGCTGACAGTCGAGGTCGCGGTAGTGCTGCTGGCCGAGCTCGTTGATTCGCTGGTGATGAGAACCTCCTGCGCGTTCAGCTTCTGGGAGGCATCCTCCCAGCTGTTCTCGCGCGCGTTGAACATGCAGAGAGGATCGTTAACAGATCCCGATCCACCTGAAAAGACGACGAGCCCATCGGAATCCTGAGCAACGGCGTAGTTGAGGCGCGTGCCAGTGGGTGCCAATGTGCTGTTGTAAGCGGGCCAGTCACTGAGGGTCAGAGCCCGCTTCTCGAACTTGCCAGCCGTGTCTCTCTTCGACTTCTTCGAAACCGCGGCGGAGTTGACAACAGGGGCGCCCGAGGCGTCGACGAGAACCATTCGCTTGACCTCGTTCGGTGTCGTTGAAAGGTCGAAGGTGTACAAGCTCTTGCTACCATCGTCTCCGTTTATAATGGCGGCCTTCATCGCTGTCGTGTCCTTTGTCAAAGGTTCCGCGAGCGTCGCGCCCGAGTCGGTCCAAACAGTGTCGGGACTGAAGATCATGATCTTGTTGTTGGTGGTGCTACCTCCGACCAGGACCGCCTGAGTATCGGACCACTGCAACAGCATGGGGTTCACGACAGGCGGTGCGGTTGATGAGAAGGCTCGGGTGTTGTAAGGCGCGGACGCTCCGACTACAAAGGTTTGCGTCGAGGGCCCTGAGTACCCATCCTGGCTGCCGCCGTACATGACAATCTGGTCAGTGCCAGGGAGGTACGTGGCTCCATGAAGCAATCGGTTCTGGGTGACAGGGTCCTGCGGTGAGATGGATTCCCATTTACCGGTCGCGTAGGTGAACTTTTGCAGGCCGCGATAGTTGTCTGACGTCCCCTTACCTCCAACAATGTACAAGCCAGCCTGGCTGGCATCTTTGGGGGTTGAGCCCACGCAAACAGCTCCTGTTACTGATTCGCCCTGCGACAACGTCTTCCATTTGGCGCCTTCTTCGAGTGCCAGTGACTGAAAAGCACCAGCAGCGTACGTGTAGAGAGTGTTGTTGTGGATGACTGAACATATGTTCTCCAGAGCGACCTTAGGCTCGGGGAGCTTCATCGTGTCCGTCTAATGGGTAGATGATGTGGTGGTGTCGTGGTAGATGCGGACGAGAGATGACGGATAAATGAATGGCTTGCAGTCTACAACATGACATAAAAAGTCCTCGTCGAATAAAGTTGTCGAATCAAAATCAATTCCTCCAAATGAGGGCTTGGTCCCAATTCGACGATTTCTCGAAAGAGAAGAGATATCTCCTGATGGATGCTCTGCAGTGACGATCCAAGGATCCAAGGGCCGAAAACGCAAGCGGATGCCTTCGAGGCTTCGAATCGGGGGTTGAAACGGTCGGGTGTCGAAGCGAATTCGGTCGGTCGGTCCCAAGCTGGCAGGACGTGAAGCCGAAGATGGGAAGTTCGAGAGGCGGCCCAAAATGCGGGAAGAAACAGAGCCGTCGAGCTTGTTGTGGAGGGTAAATGTTGTTGCCCTTGTCTCGGAGTTTGATCTGCAGAACAAAGTTTCTAGTGGTTCTCGCAGACAACTGGTCCTAGGTGGACAGGAGGCAGGAGAAAAGGCCCGGATGGGTGGGCAGGAAGGAAACAAAAGGGATTCTGCTGGTTCTCCTGTGTCCTGAAGGCCTTGGTGTCGCAGGTTTTAGGGGTAGCCAAGCGGAGACCTCGCAGTCGTTGGTCAAGTTCGTATGTGTGTGAGGTGTCGTGTATATGTCGTATCGCCCCGGGGCTATTACTATTGCTCGTGTCGGTCGGTCGTTTTTCCCCGGTGGAGGAGGGAGAAGAGAGGCGAGCACAAGCGTAGTATGCTGCCGCGTTGAGGAATCGAAAAGGGCTTGCAACGAACGACTCTTTCTTTGTTTTTGTCTCGCGAGGATTCAACGTTCCAGACGATGAGTAGCAATTCCACCTCGAAGGAGCGAAAAATGCACACAGGGCACCAGGAGTAGAGAAGAAGAGGAAAACGGAGACCAAGGGAGAGGCCAGCAGAGAGGAAGAGAGGCGAAAGGGAAAAGAGTGGCACCCTCGTCCGACAGCGTGCGAGTAGTGGTGGTGGTGCTGCTACTGCTGCTGCGGCCCTCTCTCTCTCTCTGTGTATATCCCAGCAGCGCAGCAGCGTCAGGAGTAGCAGCGGCAGCAGGAGTCGACCAGGTACGCCCGACTTGCAGGCGAGGAAACACGAGGTAGGGATTCGGGAATCGTAACTGGGGGTCGCCAGGAACGCCCTGGTCCTGCGTCTGGGGGGCTTGGGCATACGATGGACGAATCAGACGGCCCAAGAGCCGTCAGATGGAGACAGAACAGGGGGTGTACCCTGAGCCAGCGCCAAAGTAGAGGATGGGCCAAGAGTACTTGGGCGGGTGGTGAGACAATGCGGTGCCGCCCAAGTACAGGCCGTGGATGCAACTACGCTCGAGGCTGGACCCTAGCGCAGCTTTTTGGATCAGCACGAGATTGGAAAAGGGGCTGCCGGGGTGTCTGGCCTATCAGCAACTCCAATTTCGCTGTTCCTGGACCAGGGTGGATGGCGGTCTCTTGACGCCAGTCGAGTTGTCACGGAAGAGACACCAGTCGACCGTAGCCAAACGGTTGAACGGCCAGCCGTCGAGCAGTCAACCACTCAAACCAGCATAGGGCCAGTCAAGCAAGACAATGACAACGGGCGGCCCAAGCGTGCCTACCTAGCGTGCTGGTTTCTCTTGGCTCGCGAGTGCGTATGGCATGAGCTAATACTTGTGTCGGGAGCGCAGCATCGTAAAAGCAAGCAGGAACGCGCGCCGGTGAAGCAAAGCAACGATAACGTCGGCCGTTATAATTGTCTTTCCCTCCGCCTGGTGCTTAACTCGGCCTCCTTCTCGGCCTCGTGCCGACGCACCGTGCTCGACGCTCCTCGTGGGCTCACGTTCCGGGTTCAGCAGACTTCGGGCTTGCACCATCCAAGAACGGGGGCGGAAGGACGAGTGTAGTGACGGATACATCACACCAGACGACGGCTGACTGACAGCACCAGCAGGTACTATTACGCTGCTGCCAGCCACAGGTAGCGCGAGTCTTGTCCGTCCGTTGCTTGGACGGTCGGCTTGGCGCATTCAGGTCGAGATCCCATATGCCCGTTTGCTTGCTTGCATCCCGGGTTGTCTGAACGGTGCGCCAGCCGCTCGAGGTATCCCTATGATGCAGATGAATCCGTCCACGATCTTCCTTTCCGGCAAAGAGGTCGTCGACGGACGACAATAGTGCTCGATCCGAAGGCCCCGATAGCCCAGCAACGCGTGGACTCCTGCTCCCGGCTCTGGATCTGAACATAATATCGGGATGCCTGCAGCGGGATGGCGATATGGGTCCGAACAAACGGGACCTGCAACGAGGCGAGCAACAGACAAGAAGAAAACCGAAGCCTGTGCGAGCGAGACCCGTCTGCGCGTTAGACAAACAAGACAGACTGGCGTCATACTGCACCACCCTCATCAAACTGGATGATTTCCCCAGTGGGCGAATGGGCCGGGAAAGCTGGGGAGAGGCGGCGGGAGAACACCGGCGGCGCAAATTGCGAGCAATCAAAAATTCATGCATGTCCTTCTCCGCCAGCTCCTTGAGGCCGTTACTCAGATTCGGGACTAGCGTGGGCCGCCCACCATCCGGGTCCCGCGCAAGACGGAGAACGCTTGCGTGCTTCTGCTGAAATTGGACGAGAAATCGCAGTGCAGTGCCAAGGAGGGCAATGGTGGGAACGAACGGACACGAATGCCAAGAACCCAAAGGAGAGTGGAAGTCGAGCTGTCCAAGGGCAAGAGGCAGCGAGTGTCTGGAGGTGAAAATCCAAGACGTGCCATTCCCATTCCCACTGCTACCAATGGCCGGGGGCGATGCCCGTCAAGGAAAGGCCCGGCTGGCTGGCTTTTCCGTTGCTGGACTGGACAAACGTGGGCGTTTCTCCCCTGTGTCTGGTACTCCCTGCGTGGAGCGAAAATAGTGTGAGAGACCGAGAGTGGTCGAGATGGGAGAGATGGGAGAGATGGGGTTGGAAGAGGATGGCAGCGTTGATCACCGGGATACGTACCTCCCTACCCTTCGAGCCCCCAATGGTATTTTGACTGAAACACGCTAGCATGGTGAGCCCCTGCGTCATCCGACAGCGCCCCCTGAACCACCATCGCGAGCATCTGCAGAGGCCCGCCGCGGGCAGAGTCGTCCGTTTTTAGGGTGTGGAGCAAGCCGTTTGCAACGCCGCTCAGCACCTGCGCGACACCTGTTCGGCATTTCAGCTGCCTACTGCCACATCCAAGTAAGGCTCGACTCCCGCGCCAAATGCTCTGCCTGCCCAGGCGGCCATCCCCCAATGTATAACTCTTGAGAAACATCGGCAATGGATGGCCCTTGTGCATGTCCGCATATCCCGTTGCCAATGATTCTGTCCGCCTACATCGGCCGGTGTACACTATAGGCGGGCACACGCGGCTGGAGGCAGATGAATGATGGTTGCATGGAGTTGGGAAAGCTCAGGATGGGCTACGGACACATGGCCGCATTCGCCCAATTCCTCGTCATTCTCCCTTCACTTCACTTCCGGCCCGGGTCATAATCCCTCCCCCTCCCATGCCAGACTCAGTCCGGCACGGCATCATCGGGATAAAGCCTCGACCACGTTGGGCTCTGGTGGGGGAGACGCACTAGGTGTCCGTACGCAGGACTTGTCAAAGTGCTCCTCCACTTCACATCCAGAGGTTGATTTGCAGAGTCGGGGCTGGATCGCGACCAAAGCAGCGCACAACTCGATGCAATGACATCCGACGGCCTTCGAGTGGGGGGACCGCATCCAACCTGACACCGACACTGACGGAGGCGGCCCATACCTTTCTGTCGAGAGGTGACCGCTGACAACCCCCTATGCTTTCCCCCTCTTGCCCCCCGTATCATACCTGGCCACGATCCTCACGCATTCCACTGTACGCGACGCAAGCAGCGTCTGCCCGCTGTGGAACGAGGGAGGGGCAGCTTGCAGGGCTTCGCCGCAGCCGATTCCTTCAAAGAATTCCGCTGGAACGCCTCCTGTCGACCAAGGGCCGCGTATGCTTAAGAGCGACTGAGCATCCGAGCCGGTCAGCCTGAACAATGGGTCAGGGGCAGGCCATCAATCTGAATATCTCGAACCGCAATGTCCATCAACGCCCCAAAACTTTCATAAACCTCGAACGTTGCCGGCCCCGGCCTGGCTACGCAAAATAGCATTCCGACGGTTTCAAGGACATTGCCTGACTCGAAGAAGTGGGAGTTGCCCCGGATCGTCCGTTCTATCCCTCTCCAGCCCGGGAATTGTCACCCAGTGCCAGACTTGCCAGTGTCAACGTTCAAGGTCCAGTCCTGATTCCGATACAACATTGGAGCGCCGAACTGCCAGAGCAGCCGGGCACTTCCTTTCCGACAGAGATGAACCGGTCTTGGTCATCGATCCGATGAACGACAGCCTCCCATTCTTCATGCTCACTACCCTAAGTCAACACCCCGCACCGTCGGTTCTCGGACTGCCGCGCCCAGACTTGGAAGCCAACAATCATCTCAAGTCCTCGCTTCTTTTAGAGCCGGTCCCGTCCAAACCTTGCCGCGCCATGTCATCTCACGAGGACCTTGATTTCGGTTCTTGGCTTGACGGTGACCCGAATGCGGCATGCAAGACATAGCTCATATGCATTCGTGCGTCACCGACAGCCAACGCTGGAATCGCGCCCCAAAAAAGCCATGTGGGAAGTCCCACCTCCATAGACCACCCTCTTCGCACCGTCCCAAGCACCGTAGCCTTCCAAAGCATGTATGTGTGTGATGCGCCGTCGTCCAAGTTGGAGGGATCTCAGAGTTTCCCAGGCGGCTGCACAGCCATCCCATCACGAATCGTATGCGCACTGAGATAATCATTCCCCCCATTTTTGAAGTACAAAGTCCGTCCAATCACGAGCGAGCGCCCCCAAAGCCAAGGTGGGATGTCCTTTCACACCACAGACAAACCGTGTAATGGTGTGTGTGGAAAGGGACCACCCGACAAGCACGCATGACATCAAATCGGAGACTCTCCCTCTCACTCCACGCTGCAGCTGCTGACTACGCAAAATGGATTATGGCAGCAAGGCGGCTCTGAAGAACTCGCACTAAGATTCAGATCTTCCTCCCCCCCTCCCGACAATATGCCCAATGTGCCAATCAATCCGCTCTGCTTCGCCACACTGGAAATGTATGGGAACCAAGATTACGATTCGCGCTCTCTGCCAGAACGAAAGCAAGAGAGACATGTGATCTTCGTGCCGCCCGAGCCCCCCACCCACCGGGAGCATTCTCAATCCCACTCAAGCTTAAGAGTCTCTACAGGCCGCTGTAAGTGCGCACACTGCGAACTTTAAGCGCCCGCGAAGCCAAGAAAAAGTCAAAAAAGTCTCTGTTACCTTCCACCTTCCACCACCGACTCACCGCGCGGCGCCTCTCCGGCGCCCCATTTCGGATCCGATTCGTCCTCGGTCTCTCTGACTGAGAGACATACAGTGACGCCCCGAAGAAACATTGACGCTAAAGAACCAGAGACCTTTGGCCTTGGCCTTGGCCTTCTTCCCGCTACTCCTCACTAAATTCAAGATGCGCTTCTCATTAATCCGTCCCGATCCCACCCTAAACCGCGCGCCTCCAGATTCCAATGAACATGATCTTTGCCATCCCCATACTCTTATTGGCCTCCAGAGACATTTCCCAACCTGACCTAAATAAATGTATGCACATGACTCTCTGACTTTCCAGCTAACCAGCTTTTTACTCGCAAACACCATCGTCAGAAAAACCGCTGATGATGTCAGTTTAGCGCCGAGCTTTATATCTGCTTCCTCATTCTTGAACCCAGTTCCAAACGAGTGACAAACCTAGTCACATGAAATCACTCAACTTTCAAGGACAGACAGAAGAATGGACAGTGAACCCTTCATGTGGGCAGTCCGATAATATTTCCACGTTACACCACCTAAGGCTACAGCAGCATCAACTCCTCAATACCAAAAACACGAGGCTGCCTCTATGATGCGCTTTTGTTGCCGGCTAAAATTATATACGAATGCTGTTTGGAACTGCACCTTTTTCGTCGCCAAGCCGATCTCTGCTCTTCTTTCATCTTGTTCCACCTCGCGCATGGGGAAAAGGATAGTTTTCCTCCTATCCTCCTATCTTCCGAGCCCCGGCTAGTTGTCAAGGACCCCTACCCAATATTGGTCGCCTTTTCGACGTGTGGATTGTTTTGCCCTCCTTCCAATATATCGCTAATGTGGGCCACACGTCCGATGCCGTGGCCCCATCGTGATCCTTCCTAATCCATCCCTGTCCTCCGAGTTTCTCAACGCCCCCAAAGTGGGCGAGACGAGCACAGCATTTTCTAGACGCTGGCGAAGGCTTCGGCTGGTAATTGAGCCTGTGCGAGACTTAGTATTGGTTTCGAACGTTCGAGGTTTCGGAGCAACTTACCTTTTTCTCGTGAAAGACTGCCAAGGCCCTAGTGAAGTCCCACGCAACGTCCGACAAGCACATTTCCGAGTACGTAGGTGTCATGGTGGTTTGCTTTGATAATTCGACAATCATGGCCTGGCGTTGTTCTTGTTCCTGGACTGACGGGGCTTGGGCCTCGGTAATGAAGACATTAGGGAGCGGGTTGAAGGCTCTGAGGGAGAGCATGTCGCTGACTACGCGAATAGGGTTGCTGTTGGGTCGCCCAGGTCCCAGAACAAATGTACGAGAAAAGCTCCGGAGACCCGTCTTTCCAGATTTGTCGCATTCTTCGAATTGGCCGTGCACAGAGATGATCATGCCGTCCACTCCGCCAGGTGTCTGGCCAGTTGGGTCGGCGAGACCAGGTAGAAGATGGCAGTCCATGATGTACTTGCTGATATCTGCCTTGATATCGGGGTGTTGTGTCTTCGGGAGGTCGTTCCAGAGGTTCCAGATGGACTCTCTTCCAGTGATCAGTCGTGCAGCTCGGGCGGCCGGTGTCGTGATCTTCATGAGATTCCGAGACTGCTTAATGTACGAAGCCCAGGGCAACGGCTGTGGCAAGTTCTCGTCTCTGACAGAATGAGTATCGACGGCCAGAGAGAACTGGCTGTTGTCGTCGTAGTACTTGGCCAGCAGACCTGTGCGGTCGGTGTCGAACCCCAGGAAGAACTCCAGCAGGAACGCCTCTCCAATGCCGGCAACGTCACGGAAATCGGGTCCGCGTTGGGGGATCGGTTTTGGTCGACCTGCTGCTTTGATTTCCGCAATCCGTTCCGGTGTCAATTGCTCACCATTCAGGACTTGCAGCTTGGGGAAGAAGTGTAACAGCTCAAGCACTACCTTGGGCTCCGCGATTGGAAGCGGGTTCCCCGTTAGGTAGAGGGTTTCCAGCTTCTTGAGCTTCTGTCGCCATCTTGACAGCCCTGTGACGGACGCGATCTGATTCCCACTAAGGTCGAGGTTCTTGAGGTCAGGGAACGTATCCGCCATCTCTTCGACTTGCGCGACGGTATCGATGTTGTTGTTGGCCAGGCTGATGCTGTGGATAGCATCAATCTTCGCTTGAGCCGTCTTGAATAGCTCGTCGCAAATCCTCATCATGACCTTGAACAGCTTCTCAGCTCTGTCTTTAGATTCTAGCATTCCCATTTGGATCAGGCCTTCGTCTTGGTTCAGCGCATCCAGCCTCAGAAGCTTGTTTTCCATGTCGTAGCGGAGTGACATGATACTTTGCAGTTTTAGCTTTGTCTCCTGCGCTGCGGCGGATGCTTCGTTCGCCTTGGCAATCGATCCGTCACTATCAGTGATCTCCAACTGCGTACCAGCGAAAGTGAAAGTGTTGACTTTAAGAATTTCCTCCGCATCTTCTTTGCTTGCTGCAATGTTGACTAGATCCCCTCTCATACTTGACTATTGATGGTTAGCGGTTTCGCAGTCTCAAACTTCACCCCAGCTACATAGAGGGCATAAGCAGCCGATATGGGGCTGTTTGTCTCTCGCTTCGCGTAGTGTTTGGCGTTGCAACGAGGCTGGACCATTCGGCATCCCTATGTAGTTCCCCTGAGCCTCACAGCAACGCGACATACCTTCTTGATGTGCACCGTTTTGTTGCGGCCAGATAGAGTGGTGGCTTTCCGTTCTAGGAACATCAGCAGGTCCCGCAAACCACCATCGTCATTGCTTGCAGCCTTGCTCTCCTTCAGACCCTTGACTGTCAGCCAGACGAGGCCAGAACTCTGTGGCTTCCTCCTTGATACCAGGTCATTTCCATCGCCGGTGTCCAGGTGTCGGGCAATCGCTTGGTGCACTTTTGAGCCTGACTTTGTAGGGGGACCGCCAGATCTTGTTGGTCGTTGAGGCCGCGAGTTGTTGGTGTCAGCCGAAGCTGCTCTGTTGTTTGGTCGACGTGTCCCACTTCCTCCAGCAGCGCTCCCCATATCAAGGTCTCCGTCTCTGTCGACCTGGGTCCTGCCACCTCGACGCTTCTGAATGCCGCCGCCGCGCGAGGTCTTCGCCCCAATCGTAGAATTGCGGGTTTCGCGCGCAGGCTGCGAGGCCATGCTGCGAGGGGCTCTCGGAGGCGCCATTTTGGAGTTGTTGCGACAAAGTAAGATGCGACAGATGGTATTCGGCGGTAGGTAGAGGGGTATTCGTGGATAAGTTTCGCTTGGTGGAGGCGGTGTGTAGACGACGACGAGCGAGTGAGTAAAGGTACCGTCACGCTTTCAGTAGGAATAGGTAGCGATTGTCGGATCAAAAAGAAATCGCTGCGATATCGTAGAGCGAAGGGCTGTTGTCTCGCTTGTTGGACGCGGACAGCTTCAGGTACAAAGACTTCAAAGACCTAGATGCAGACTCGTGGGCTGCTGCGAAAAGCAGATGCGATTTTGGCAGCGCTTTGACAGTTGACAAAGAGAATGTTAAAGGAGCGGCCAGTATGGTAGGCGGGGCAAAGACCGCGCAGCTTTATGGGTGATGTTCGAGGTGAGGTAAGTGATGAAGTGGAGAGAAAAGGCAGTGAAGAAATTCGCCCGTCGCGAAAAAGCAGTGACGTTTGAGTCAGCCCCACTACAGGCCACCAGGCAGGCACGCAGGCAGGAACGCTCAGATCGCATGCGACCTCTCTGGAATAGGATTAGCGCATTTGTGGCTCATCCAGTCATGCGCATCACTCTAAGCCCGACTGCCTTTCCGAGTACCTATATGTTGTGTTTTACCGTATTCCATCGTCACTTAATATTGTCCTTGGTTCTTTCTAGTTTTGACTTCCTAATCAGACCATGAGATATACTGACGGTCTTCGCTCGTTTTGTAACTGCTCCGATGTGCTGACTCCCCGCTGCGGACTGTTGTCCCGGCACTGGAGTCTTCCAGGGACCTTCCCAGGTTCAACAACTACAACAAGAGACGGATAAACAAGGAGGACTGGAGCACCATGGTCAATGACCACTCGCCTGTGAAATGTGCAAAGAGGACACTTTCTGCTTATTCTTCCCAGGAAGATGCATCGTAGCACCCATATCGGTCCTTCCAAAACGCTAAAAGAGCGAGACTGAGGAACTCTTATGGCTGGAAAGCAGACACGATCTTGCAGGTACCAACGGTGCTAAACGTTGGCACCTCGGCCCCACTTGTAGACCCTGAACCTTAGCTTCTAATGTCGGCCAAAACTTTATAGCAGATTATGTAATTTATATCAGGTGACTCAGATCTGCTTTCGCGTTGAGCAAGTCGACGCGTCTGGGGTCAGGTCGCCACGCGAGCCCCTCATTATCCAGGAAAGAGACATTGCCGACCCCAGATTGGCGGTTCTTCACAGCGACCGCGAAAAGTCCCATCATGCTTATGCATTTCCGGTGAATAACTAATTTCTCACTCGTCGAGTGAGACTCGTCTTCTACTATCGCCATGGATTCTGATGAATACGACGATGACCTCGCAGACGAGGATTTGGTGGAGGCACTCAGTCAGAGTCAAGCTGGGCCATCGAGCTCCTCTGTCCATGATCTTCAGACTGCACCATCTGGGATAACATCCTCGTTTGCCCGTACCCTGGCGCCGTCCTTCAACTTAGCCAACGCGGGACGTCATCCTCACGCCCCTCGGTTGAACGTAGTGCCCAAGGTTAGAACAACCAACGTAAGTCTACAATCTATTGGCACCGCCTGTCTTCATTACTATGATCATTCTTTTAAGTTAATTTACAGACACTCCAAAAGGCAACATCAAATCAATCTCTAGGAAACGAGTTGGATGACTTGCCCTCGGATGCGTTTTCCTCGCCGGAGCCTCCGTCTCTTGCACCGCCCACCAGGAATGCAGCCTCTACGGCACCCAGAGCTCAGAACGGACTGACTCGCACGTCATCGTCAACTTTTCGGCAGACCACCCTGCTGGGCGGTAGAGTGGCAGATGACGCCCCTGTCCAACCATCTCAGCCAGGATTCGGCCGGGTCTACAGGGGAGACAAGCCTGAAGAAGCCCCTTCTCAACATGTCATCAATCGCGAAGCTATGAAGACCTGGCTGTATCCAACCAACCTTGGAGCCACCAGAGACTATCAGTTCAGTATCGTCAAAAACGGACTATTCAACAACACACTTGTCGCCTTACCCACTGGTCTTGGCAAGACATTCATTGCTGCAACCATCATGCTCAACTACTATCGTTGGACCAAGGACGCAAAGATTGTGTTCGTCGCACCTACCAAACCCTTGGTGTCGCAGCAGGTCGATGCTTGCTTCAACATTGTGGGCATACCTCGGTCCGAGACTACGCTCCTCACAGGTGATACAGCACCGGCCCTAAGAGTAGACGAATGGTCGTCGAAACGAGTGTTCTTCATGACGCCGCAGACGTTGCAGAACGACATTTCTCATGGCTATGCCGACCCAAAATCCATTGTTCTGCTGGTGATTGACGAAGCCCATCGCGCCACAGGCGAGTATGCCTACGCAAAAGTCGTCAAAAGGATACGCCAATACAACCCCTATTTCCGATTATTGGCATTGACTGCGACCCCCGGCTCAAAAGTCGAGACGGTACAAGAAATCATCGACAATCTTGGAATATCACACATCGAGATTCGAACCGAGGATTCTATCGATATCCGCCAATATGTCCACCAAAGGAACGTTGAGCAAGTTATCCTAGACCCCTCGGACGAAATGTGCGAGATCAAGGAGCTGTTCTCCAAAGCGTTGAAGCCGCTGATGGACAAACTAACCCAGCAAAACGTTTATTACGGCAGAGATCCTATGGCAATCACAACGTACGGCTTGGTGAAGCAACAGCAGGACTGGTTCGCTAATGTCGGACGCAAAACCAACCCCGGGATGCAGTTCATGATGAGAGCCATTTTCAGCATTCTACAGAGCCTCGCCCACGCAATCAAACTGCTCAACTTCCACGGAATCAGACCCTTCTATGAAAACTTGAAGGAGTTCCGAAGCGAGATTGAAGACAGGGGAGAGAAGGGGTCCAAATACAAGAAGCAAATTGTCAACGACCAAAGCTTTCAGGAGATGATGACAAAAGTAGAAAAATGGCTTCGCATCGAAGGCTTCGTTGGCCATCCGAAGCTTGCCGCTCTACAGGACACCGTTCTCAACCACTTCATGGATGCTGGCGCGACGTCCACTCGCATCATAGTGTTCAGCGAGTACAGAGATAGTGCCGAGGATATTGTCCGGGTTCTTAACGTCCACAAACCACTGATCAAGGCTACCGTGTTCGTTGGCCAAGCAGACTCGAAGCGATCCGCAGGCATGAAGCAGAGCGAACAAATTGCAACGATTCAGAAGTTCAAGGACGGCGAATACAACGTACTAGTTGCGACCTCCATCGGTGAAGAGGGTCTAGACATTGGGCAGGTCGATCTCATCGTGTGCTACGATGCTTCTTCCTCGCCCATCAGGATGCTACAACGAATGGGCAGAACGGGACGCAAGAGGGCAGGTAACATCGTACTCTTGCTGATGCGAGGCAAAGAGGAAGACGCGTTTGCCAGATCGAAGGACAACTACGCAGAGATGCAGAAGTTGATTTGCGAAGGGAGCAAATTCAACTTCCGTTACGATCTTTCGGCTCGGATTGTGCCTAGGGATATTCGGCCTGAGGTGGACCTGCAGCACATCGAGATCCCCATCGAGAACACGCAAAACCCGTCACTGCCTGAGCCTAAGAAGGGAAGGGCAAGGAAGAAATTGCCCCCAAAAAAGTTTCACTTGCCAGATGGCGTCGAGTTGGGCTTCATGAAGGCATCAGAGATGGGCAAGGCTAGTGCGGCCCCTAAAAGGGTTCGCCCGAAGAAGCAAGAGCCGACAGAGGTTGACTTCGTCGCGGATGTGCCGTCGGTCAATTCGGTCGTCCTCACAGAGATGCAGTTGGCCGAGTTGGATAAGGTGTATCGGTCTCTGCCAGCCAGCCGGGCCAAAATCGAAGAGACAGAGATGCCAAGTCTAACTTCTCATCCTGGACTTCAGCGAAGGCTTCGGCCAGTAGGCAAAATACAACACGGGCAGCGAACGAAACGCTTTGTTAAACTATGTCAGAAGTTTGCCAAGAATCAAGACACAAGAAGCCGCTACATAAAACCATTCGGAGAAGAGGACACAAGCCGGTGGGAAGAGCTTCCAGTCCCACCTTATGCCAGCGACACGGAAAACGAGGCGCTTCCAGGCAAAAGTGTTGGGGAGCGGTTGACAATGGTAATATCTGAGGACGAGCACCCCGAGGAGCCACGGCCAAAGAAACGCAGATCGACCGGTGCACCCAAGCGTTCAGCATTCACATCTGCTGCAGTGCTGGTGGACGATGATATGGACGAAACCGTGGGCGAAGAGTCGCCACCGCGTCGACTTCCGAAGCCGAAGAAGGGTGCTGCGGGAAGAGGACGCGGCAAGAAGGCCTCGAAGAGAGTGGGACGCGGTATCAACAGCGATGAGCTCGGAGACGACTGCGACAGAGACAGCGACATGATGGATACGGACGGGTCGGACAGCGGAGGCGACTTGCTCGACTTTGTCGTGTCGGACGACCATCCTGTCTCCAGCAACCATCCGACCTCTTCGATGTTGGCCACAAGCCCAGTAGCAGCTACAGGCTCGACGAAGCGCAAGGATATCACTCAGCCGTTCTATGTGCCGACTGAGTTCCCCGCAACACAAGAGTCTGTTGACTCGCTTCCAGATCTCGACGATGTGCTGCTCAGTACCAAAGGGAAGACGTCTCGGACAGTAGCGTCGAGGGACGAGTCTGAGGATGAAGATGCTACCCCACGACAACAGGCGGGTGGGCGGCAGCAGAGGAGACGGCCAGTTTTTGAAAGTGACAGCGACGAATAAAATGGGCAAGCTGTACTGCCAAGTTTGGGGCAATGCCATGTAACAGAAATTCAGGAACGGACACGCCGCCATAGGCAGCATCACTAGTTAGACATCACAGAGGACGATAATGATTGAATGAACATGTATATATTGCTTGTATATATTGCTCTGATCCATTTCCATCCCCATTTACCCCTTTCAGCCCACTGAAGACATCCAAACCTGAAATACCCACGACGACGCGAGCACGCTTCCTAATGTCATAAGTCAGCAAACGCCCGATGAACTGCAAATGCCAACGTGTAACAAAAACTTTTTGACCAGCAAATTTCAGAAACCTGAGTTAAAAGCACAACATCCCCACCCCACCCCTCGCCGCCCCTACCCCCCGACGGAAACAAGGGACAGCACATGACGATGCAATCTTCCCAAGCCCATGTGCCGGTTTTGAGAGTAGGGTGTCTCACGAAGGGCAGAGCCGAAGGAGCAACAACCTCCTCCCCCGAACCCGACCCTCAACCCTCCAACCCCAGGCCCTCCGCCGCCTTCGCCTTCCTTGAACCCGAACAGACACACCGTTCCCCGAGGCTACAGAGCTCCCAGTGGAGAATGCGCCGCAGAGTCCGGGGTGCCGATCGGGAAGTAACGGTTCCAGCGAGCGAGAAAGAGCCAAAAATGGGCCGGAGAAGAGAGGGGACAAGCCGGAGGGGAAAAGGCTGTCTTGAGATGCCCGGGGCGTCTCAGACGGCTCTTCCTATGAGTATAAAAGGTTTTATGACTTCATCATATTATGGTCCTTTCCCCTTCTGAGCTCGAACCAGCGTCGAGCTCGAACGGGAAGTTTTCGAAGAAAGAAAAAAAGAAAACATGTTGGCTTACCTCTCTGGTACGGACTGCAATCCAATGACCGTGAACATTCGATAGAGAGAGAGGAGAGATCGCGGACGCGTCGAAGTCGGCATTCGCAGGGCAAGGACGCCTTCGTCGGCGGCGGCAGGTGCCGGTGACGACTGGACGGGAGCTGTGGTGGTTGAAAGAAGCGAGGTTGAAAAATTTCGCAGCAAAGAAACGCGGTTTTGGAGAGTGGGCAGGAAAAAAGAACGTGGGGACAGAGAGAGAGAGAGAGCTCCGGTCGACTGGCTGCCAGCCTCCGAAGCGGGCCTCTCCAACTGTCAAGCCGCGGGGGCCAGTTGGCGCGGTCGACTGGAGCTTTCGCCAATCACGTAATGCAAGCGGCTCTGGCCTTTCTTACCTAAGAGAGAGAGAGAGACGGAGAGACACCCACAGGCTGCACACACCTCACATATTATCCCGACTTGGGAGGAAGATCTCTCCGACGGCAGCGGGAGCGGCACGAACGGGAGCCCGTCGCTGACGAGAAGCTTACGGTGGTGACAGATTCCACTCCAAGGAGGGTGTAATGGGACAGAGGTGTCTCACACAATATCGCCTGAGATTTAATCCTATCTGCTGGGTATCTATCTACTTGGTATCTATCTACTTCCGCCTTCTCGCTTGTCCTCCCATCTTCCCCTCTATGCGCTAGGTGTGCTCGGGGTGACTCGAAGTCCGTTTAATAATAAAAAAGTGTGTGTTCTCGTGTTCCACACGCAGATCTCTCCACCGCCGGTCCCTGTAGTTAGTTGTGTCTTGCGCCACATAGAGTTGTGAGGCCAAATACGGGCTATCGGATTTGGCCCATGCCGCTGACGTCCAGCAGGAGCGAGACAGCACTTGGCCTCGCCGCAAGGACTCACAACCACAAACCCAACACGTCATTCCTGTAACCCCTTCCGCGGGAACCCGAATCTGTCCCGATGCCTCGCCCGCCCGGATCGATTGTCATCGGCCAGCGTCTCTCTTTTTTGTTGTTTAGTAGATTTTATTGTTTTTGTGTCTCAGAGAATCCAGAGCAAACAATCCATCAGTGCACACGAGAAGCTGCAACACAGCAACTCCCTCAGTAAAACACTTCACGGCATTGCTCAACGGGCACTGAGGAACGGTTTGTGTGGTTTCAGAACTGCCATATCAAAATTGAGCGAGATAACGTCTCTAAATCGTCTTCCTCAAAACGTGGAGTTCCTAGCCTCAAGGCCCTATGGCCGAGCTGTCCGGTCACCAGTCATATTGCCAACCATGTCTTCTCTATCATCAATCTCGTGTGAATCGAAAATGAGAAACAGACAAATCCGAGAGCAAGCGGAGTAGTTGTGCAAGACCAATAATACAAAATCGCAAATAAGGGAAAGCCGAGCATACGGCCCCCTCGAGCCCTCTCGAGGCTCTGTCCATATCCAGTCATCAAATCATAATCCGATCCCGCGCCAAATGAACATTTTTTTGTCACACACGCTAGCGCCGCCTACGAGCAGCTACCACCGTATCCACCGCACACCTTCCAGCACCCAATCACTGGTTCTGGAAGTTCTGGTAGTCCATGTTCCAATCGAGGGATTGAAACGGATCCTGCGAGGTCTGGGAGTAGCCCAAGCCGGCACTAGGCATCTCGCCAAAGAGAGGCTCGTACGTCTTCGACATGTTGTTGGCAGGGAACAGCTGGAAGTCATTGCCGCAGAACTCATTGCCGCCACCAGTGAACGTGTCCTCAAAGCCCTCGTCCACATCGGCTAGAGAATTTGGTGTATAGAGCATGGCGTTGCCCTGGCCAATGGGAGAAATGTGAGGGGCAGTCTGGACGGTGTCCAGCTGAGGCTGGCATGCAGAAACAGACTGGTAGATGGGGAACGCAATGTTCATCTTCTCAGCGAAGACGGCTCGATCAGGCGTGGGGAGCTGCGCGTGTGCACCATAGATGTCCTCGTTCACAGTGAAGTCGGGGCCCTCCTGGTACGAGTAGGGGCCGTAAGACACGTCGGTGGAGGGGGTGTTGTGGTCCGAGGGAGACATGGACATGTCAAGCTGGCCATCGAACGGGCCCGAAACACCAAGGACTTGGTCGAATTCTTCGTCCGAGATGTAAGAGGGGAACTCCATACCATCAATGTGAGAAGCAAAGTCGCCCACAGGACCGATGGCGTGCAGAGGAGCGAGAATAGGGTCGTTGAAGTTGAACTGAGCCTGGTCGATGGGCGGAGGGGGAGTGGCAGCGCTGCTGGTAGAAGGAGTAGGCATGTGAATGAGCTGGGGGGTGGAGTGTGTCACGCTGCCGGCCTTGCTCGAGGGCTTCTTGCCGTTGGTCTTGGTGCGAACGTATTGCCAGCCGTGAGCCTTCTCCATGTGCTGTTTGCAGTTCGACTCCCGCTTCGACTTGTAAGGGCACGGCTTGTACAGGCACTCGTACATGGGCGGGGCCGAGGAGTGCTTGTCGTTGTGGTGGCGGTCCATCTCCTTTTCAGTGGGCCAACCATACTCATGGTATTTGCACGACTTGACGGGGCATTTCCAGGGACGAGAGTGAGTCTTCTCGTGCTTGGTGAGGTCGCAAGGGCGCTTGAACTCCTTGTTGCAGCCGGGCTCGCGGCACTTCTTGGGGCGAGCTCCTCGGGACTCGCGTTCTTCTTGCGGCGAGCCATGGAACGCATAATCTCCTCATCGTCCTCTAATTGTTGGCTCAAAGAGCGCTTCATCTGAATGGGGCTCTTGGCATCGTCAAGATCGACCTCCAGGCCGGTCGCCATAGAAATGGCCTTTCCGTCCTTGCGGACGCGGACGAGCTCAGCAGGGCGTCCGTTTTCGGTGATGCCGCCAAACAGCTTGATTTCGTCGGTACTGGAAAGGATGTTAGCATGGCGAAGTGAGAGACGGGGACGGGTGTCATACGGATCAACGTCCATCTCAGCAGCGTCTGTTCCAGTTTCCTTAGCGGCAGCAAGTTGGCCGGCGTACTGGCGGATCTGTTCCACAAGGTCGATGAAATACCCGTTAGTGTAAGGCCGGTCGTTGGGTCGAGTCTGTTCTCGGTCGCTGAGGTATTCCACGGTGGCTTGAATGCAGCGGATCGACGTCAGGCAGAAATCGAGGTACAAGGCGGCGGTCTTGGTCCTCTCCTTCATCAACGATCGATAAGTATTTCCCCAAACTCCAGTTTCATTCAGGAGTTGACTTACCGGTGCCATGAAGATGAGGGTCTTTTCCAAATCTCTCAGGCAGATGATCTCCTTGTCTCTGATGCGTCTGGGAACGTCAAGAACGATCGACTCAAAGTCCTTGAGGGCAGGCTTGGCTCGGAGTGGTCGAAGGACGTGCTCGTGGATGCGGTTGACGGCCTTGGAGCTCAGGGCAGGAAGCTTCTCCATGGTGGAAGAAGAAGTGTTGGCGGCAGACCTTGTGATGGCCGATGCCTTCTTTGATGCGGTGGTTGCAGACTCTGTCTCGGTGGTGGGCGCGACAGAGGTGCCGAGTCCGCTGTCTGATTCATGATGTCTCGAGGAACGACGGGTTCTAGGACGCAGAATGCGACGTTCCGTCTCCTTTGACTTCTCTTTCGCCATGGCGGGATCAACGACAGGAAGGTTGAGGAAACCTCTGGGGACGGGAAGGCTGTCGTCTCGGAAGGACTTGGCCTTGGGAGAGACAAGGTTGATGTTGGCAAGCGACTTGTCGATGTCGTCGACAATCAGCGCCATGCGGCGGCAGTGGGCATCGACAACGTCGTCCAAGTTGGTCTGGGAGCGTCGAAGGCTTGGAGGGGCAGTCAAGGCATCGTCCTGAGAAGATGTAGGACTGGTGGGAGAATGGAAGGTAGCGCCCTTGCGGAGGCTGTTGGTCTTAAGGGTGAGGCCACTACCGGCAGGGGACTCCGGACGAGTCACCGGAGTCCTACGTCGAGGGTTGACGGAGACGGACATGGTGACGGTGATGACACGGGTGTCCAGAACTCTGTCAACTACGGTGTGTTAGATCTCTTGTGGATTCATCAAGTTGTAGGGCTGAAGAGAGCGCCGAGAGTGAGTCACGACCGGGACCACGCTGGTAGGCCCGATGCCGTAGTCCTAAACTCTTGAGCAAGCCCAAGGTTTGGGATTGGCCAATGTGATGATGTGGCGGGAAATGTTTGAGAAAGGAGAACGTGCGAGCGACGTGAATGAAAAGAGGAGACCAAGCCTTACGTTGAGATGGAATAATGGTGTCAATGAGGACAAAGTCGATGCTGTGGATGATACGACGGAAGAAGGCAGACAGCGAAGCAGGCGAGTCGATTTAAGTCGAGGCCGAAATCAGTCTGCCTGATTTTGAGGGGTCTGTATGCAGGACAGAGATGTGAGACGGTGTATGGTTTGCGCTTTTGGTCCCAGTCGTACGCGTCGGGGAGTAGACGAGGATGAAAGAGGGAAGAAGTTGTGGTTCTGGTTTGGTCCGTGGGATGTATCCGGAGGGAAGACGAGAGGCGAGGTGGGTGGAGGGGGGATTAGGACTCAGGAATGGCGTAAGGTGGTGGTGGTGCGGCGGCCTCAGTGGGACAAGGCGTGCGTGTTGAGGAAAGCGGCGTGTGTCCTACGAGTCGGGAACTGGGAAGAAAAAGCTGGACGATGAGGAGGATTCGGTCGAAAGAAAGGACGGCGAGGATTGGGGGGTAGGAGGGAGAAGAAGCGCGGTGGTGAGCGAGGGCGCGGAAGGACGAACTGGACGGACAGAGGCACGGTCAAAGGTCGTCGAGGTTGATTAGAAAAGCAGCAAGCAGCCGCCAGACCGGGAGTCCAGGACGCTGGAGCGACATGAGCCGACCAGAACTGAGAGCGCCCGGGGCGAGAGGCTGCTGCCTAATCGACTAGCCAATGAGAGAACGTGGCCGCCAGCCAGTGGAGGCGGAGCCTGGGCTTTGCGGACCACGAAGGATCCGACCCCCGGTCCAACAACGACCCTCGGAAGGTACGTACCTTTCCGCTCCTCGCCCGCCCATCCCTTCCTCTTCTCTGCGGGCGCCAGCCCAGCGACATCTGTCTCCATCTCCCTGCTCGTTGCTGAGAAATAGATTCTGGCGAGTATTTCCGTGAAGGTCCACCTGCCGGGTACCACACACGGACCAAACAACGTTGGCCTACCTACCCTTCTTCTGGGGCATTTTAACATGCGAGACCCGCTGTTAGGGTCACCGCAGCTCTGCAGTCTGCAGCAAACTGCTTGAACTTGCAGAGCAGTGGACAGTATTATGAGCACAGCCCCAAATCAAGCATCCAAGTAATCGATTAGCACGAACTACTTGGCGTGAAGGATTACACGCGATTCCTCGCCCTGACCACTCTGCTACTTGGCCATGCTGCAGCGTCAAGCCTCAGCCCATTTGCTGGGCGAGACAGTGCAGCCATAACCCGGGAAACGAGAAAGAGAAGGTGTCAGAATGGGACAGTTCGCACTGCGACCTTAGGGGCCAACGACACTGTCAGCACGGTAATGAAACCTAGAATAATGCTCCGGCTCCGTTTCCGTGCCTGTTACGATGGCTGCACCTAACTGTCATCGTCATTGCTGTACGTATGTGGTCCTCGCACTCAGGCTCGGCACCAAGCTGGGGTTCTCGCCGACGCGCACTATAGCAGAGGCAGACAGCAAGTTCCCTGGCCTCGGAGTGCTCCGTGCTTGGAGATCTGGAACGGGAAACGCAATCCGTCACGAACCACTCTGTACCTGACGCCAGAACGGTGGGTGTCGGATTGACGGCTGCCTTTTCCTGCTCGCAAATCTTTACGGGTGCAGGGCAACAAGGGAAGCCAGGGCCAGGACTATCCTCGACAGCAGAGTGCAGGGTGCGCTATCCGCATGGTCCTACGTATCGGTTCTCCTACTTTACACAACGTCACTTCGCAGATGGAGACGATGAGAGGTCGTGATGGCAGAGGGGGAAAGTGGCATCGCAACGCCCGATCGAGTTTCAACATACACCGCTGAAGATGAGCCGAAGTGGACTCAGTGGTTATCTTCATTTCTCCCCCGTCGCCAACTCGAAACGATGATCTGGCATGATGACCTCGTTAAGCCCATCACACGCATTCGCTTAGATCGGCATACGAATAACTGGAAACGTATCTACATGGCCAAGCTGCCAAGTGTCATCTCAATACGGCATGGCATGGCATGGCATGGCAGGACATAGCATTGCGCTGCACTGCACAGCTCGACACAGCACGACACAGGTCTGCACCACCTGTTGCACCGGCCGTGGCTTTGAGGCCGCTAACAATAGGGGGCCCAGGTTAGGAAGTCCCAGACTGGAACAAGACTGAGGGGGGGTATCATGCACGGTACCTTTTTCCCATACGGAAACTGCGCGTGGGATTAGACTCAATTTGGCCGCCCTCGCTTACCCTCGTCGAAATCAGCCCATCAGAACCAAAGTCCCAAAACTAACTCCGTCTATCAATCTCCACCCGCCAGTCCGATCCATGCCTTCCCACTGGCGAGTTTCATTCTCCGCCAACCTGGGACCATGCCACAAGCGAACAGCTGGCTCCTCAATTCCGCTCACTGGGAACCCTCAGCCTCCTCCGCAGGGCCCTCAGGGTCGCTGCCATGCCCTGTTAGCGACAGATCGGCCCCTGGCATTTGCCCAAACCGGTCAGCGGCTCCATCCTCGAATTGAGACCAACAGTAACCGTCGATTGTGCCACCAACTCTGCGGAAACTGACCAATCACCCCTCGGGCACCCTTGCCGTTTACCGCACGTTGATATCAGCGCCTCCATCCACCCGTGGTCCGTGATCCGTGGCCCGTGGAGTTTATTGATGACGGTCCACTCGGGACCAAGTGCCAGGTCTCGCTCACCGTTGGGGGCTGGTCCAGCAATCCAGTTGTCAACGAGAGACAAACCCGACAATCCGCTCCACGACTTCCGGTCCTCGTCGAAGGTCGGTATCTTCGCTCGGCCGGCAGGTCACCCGACCACGGGATTAACAGGGATGCGGACGGCCAGCGGGCGCTCTCGTCGCCCTCTACATCCGACAGGCCAATATTATTTGGTACCATACGAATTACCTGATTCGATCAGCGAAGCAGAGCCCACCAGTCCGGTCTGGGTCGGCCGAATGACGTCCGGCACAGAGCACGCGGTGACGGGGTTGCGTCTGAGAACTGCTCAATGTCTGGCAATTCGCAGTTTCGCGCTGGTGGGCGTTCGCACTCTCCTATTCGGATTGCTAGGGCACGAACATGAGCAACATGGACCTGCATGTTTTGACTCGTCACCAAGCTTGCGTCGTTTGAAGCTTGGCGCTTTGCTCTGATGGTACTGGATTGCGCGGCTGCGCACATCACCACCCGCCGAAATTCGTACTCTGCCGTGTCTGCTTCTTCGCTGCACGGGACTTTCGTGCAGGGAAAGTCGCATGATGGCTGCGCATATGCTCGCAGGTACACAATCGAACCAACCCTCGCCGACCAATTAGTTGCCACCGTTGACTCTCGCGCTCCTACAATCCTCCTTGTCCATCTCCACACGTAGGGCTGGCGTGGCTGTTGCAGTGACTCCGACTCAAGCCAATCCAAGCTTAATACCGATAGACTGAACAAGCAAAAACTCAAAGCAAGCCATTTGAGTCAAAGTCGGTTCTCGGTCATCGCCCACCTATCAAACGGAAAGACAGCGTCCCGTCACACCTCACCTTAGCCGCTTCGTCACCACCCTTCCGTTTCCCGAACTCATCCCCGTATTCCAGGTCGCAAGACTCAGGATCCCTCGTTCCCACGGTTTCTGTTTGTTATACAGGCTTTGCTGCGGTCCTATTGGTTCACGAAGCCCAACTTGGGTGACACGTACTCGGTCACGAATCAGTGATTCTCGGTCTTAGCTGTCTGCCCGCTGGTCAGCCTTATGGATCCCCTTCTCGCCAATCAACTCTTTGGGAATTGAGCAGCCTATCACCAGACTCCGCTCTGCCGATCTTTGCGGCCACCTCTTCCCAGATATCCGACTGCATTTGCAGCCAAGGCATCAGCATTTCTGTCTCATTGTTCGACGAACACGATACGTACACTGCGTTCCTAGGACCGATGCGGCACACCCACATCTAGACGCCCTTTGCGTACTCCATCTGTCCCACCTGACACACGAGTGACAAAGGTTCAAGGGAACCTGCCCCCAATTGGGTCGAAACAGAGGCCACGAATCTGCATCGTCACAAAGTCAATCTCACTGTGACAAAGAGCCAAAGTTGGCTGCATCGTTGTTTAATTTCTGCCTTGAGCTTGTTTCTCTCGGCTTGGCCCTTTAGGAATCGGGACGATCCCAGACCACGCACGTCAGATTCCCAAGGGCCTCCCAGGCGAACCTTCTTTCCAGCGGCCTCTAGACATGGTTCAAATCCTTTGGGAGCGAGGCAAGGATTCCCGGGTCGAGTGCGTCGTCTCTGTTCATTCATTCCTCTACTTCTGGTTTCTCGTTCCCCTCCCGCCAGGGCGGCTAAACCTTGCCTATCGCGGCTGATTGGGGGCCATTTGCCACAATGCCTCAACCTCCTCGATTAACTCGTCCAGTGGCAATTCCGGAGTGTATTCAGGGCATACGGTGTGCAGGTCTGGGCTCCCGGCAGCGTCACTCTGATACCCCAGCTGCTTCGCTCCTCTAATATAACGCTCAGGGGCGGGCTCTTTCTCGCTTTCGCAGTGCTGCGGCCGTTGACCCTTGCCTTCCTGGCCATCTCTTGATTCTCTTTGGCTTTCGATACTTGCAGCTGACGAGGGATGAGGTGTGCAGTCGAGTCTCTGGACTGGCTGGGCTGACTGTAAGCGCTTCTTCCGCGGCTAAACGTAGAACCACTTGGCCCCTGGTCCTGGCCATGATCCCTATGATGATACGCCGTTACCCGTTGCGCGTTTTTTTGATAATGCTCGTGATTCTGGGCACTTTGTTGCTCTCGACGAATCCGTTCCTGTCGAGCAGCTTCCTCATACCGGGCGTTTACCCAAAGCGGCGGCCGGTTCTGACTAGCTCCAGCCGCTGCACCGCCGCGGCCAGTCTCTGTCGGACCGTTGCCGTCGCGCCGGCTTCTCAACGGCCTGTAGTCTTCTCGATGCGGATTCCGCTGCGGTCCTGTAGCCCCGTAAGCATCACAACTCCCCGAGCGTCCCTCGGCATGCAAGTGCTTGTCGCCAATGAACCCCTGCCGCCTGAACGTCACCACGACGGCGTCCTCCGGTCGGGCCGGCGTGTTGACGCCCAAGCCACCAAGCTCTGCTGCGTCAGCTTCTTCCCGGACACATCGGGGACACTTGCCGTTGAGTGGTTCGAGGATAGGCTTGAGGCGGCATTTTTCCTTCCTCGGGGACGTGTAGAAGAGGGAGAAACATGGGCAGACGAGGACTAGCCACGAGCTTCTGTGGTGCTGTTCTCGTTGCTCCTGCCGCTTCTGTTGCTGTTGGTATGATTTATATGGACTCGTAGACGCCGCCGGGAAGGCGTATCTTCTCTGGCGCTTCTTCTCGTCGTCGCAGATGATTTCTTCAATGTGACTGTGCCGGCAGCCCGTGTAGATGGTTTGCTTCTTCCAGCACATCTTTACTCACCGTTTGCCTGATTGGTTAGTTCCGGACTTGGGTTTGGTTCGTTTACGTGTTGGAGTATGTGGTGCTCTTGTTTGCCTTGTCTGACGAGTCTGGAAACGCCCCGATGTTTTTGAAGAAGAGTCTGAATGTTATAGTGTGTACGGGAGGCTTGAAGAAAAGCTGAGAACAATCCCTTGTGCCGGATCTCATAGGCAGTTCGGGGATATGTGTGGTATGGCAAAAAGGTCATGCGGGTTGTTCTGTGAAGGGGTCGTGGATCTTTGTTAGCGATGCTGAACAACCACATTGCTCAATCAGCATCCCCTTTTTGACACCAAATGAACGGCGAAGCGCAACATCGAATACTCCTTGAGGAAGCGGTTGCAAATCCGTACCGCAATAGAATATTCGCCATTGAAGTTAACCTGTTATTGTCTCTGCTGTTCATGGGGTGGTTGTCGAGGTTACGATGAGTTGCCAAAGCTGTCGTCAAGGAATGACAATGCACTTGCCCAGATGTCACATTATTCAAACCGCTTTTCAGTCATCTAGTGTGTTCGTTCCATGTGCGTTTGTTTCGAAGGAGTTCCTTGTCGACGTCCGGGCGTCTTGTTTGCCAGCTTTTCATCCCTTTGGTTGAATAGTACAGTCAGCCAACCAGTCATTGATTCTTCTTGAACATGAGCAAAACATGAGTTCTTTCGAACCATCAAGTTAAGAAAAGGGACGCCTTAAGAGCAGTAGCGTACCACATCAATATAAACTTGTTTCAAGATTCTTGTTTGCTAATCTAATGTCTGGTCTAAAGTCTGGCCAAATATCGCTGGACATTTTTTGAACAAGGAGAAAGGTAAGGTGTTACAGCACCCGTGTTTTCTTTATACCACAGAGTCGACCTTCCTTTGTTTCACGAATAAGGGATAGGAAACTGCCCTGGTGGTCCGAAAGGTGTCGTCTGGCTGGACGAAACAAGGAAACGACTTAGACAGAATATTGGTCTTTGGGCACGTCCGATTTAAAAGGGAGTTCAATAGCCCGCATTACTGTCGACTTGACTTTCTCCATGACTTGCTGAGTCTCTCTTCCTTACCTCACCTCTTCTCTGGCATCAATACCACGAAATCTCAGCAAGCAAGAATGGGGGTTTTGTGGCCGTCTCTAGGACGCTGGACATCCCGCAGAGACCAGTCTTCCGAAGACTCACTCGAGCCGCTCCGAAACATCCCCGCCGGCCGCGCCACAACGACTACGGTGTGCTACTCCCAAAAGGACGGTAAACATCACGCTCCCTCGTCCCACTTCACACCATACGACGAGACATCATCATCATCCTCGGCGCCTACCGATGAAAATGAAGGACAACCCCCGACCGGTGCGTTCGAGGTCCGGGCCCAGGGCGTCAAGGAGACGGAGGCTCTCCTCGGAGGTGAGTCCTCCCACGCACTTCTCGCGCTGCTTCAGCGACAGAAGGAGGCTGAACGGCGTCTGAGAAGCGAGTGGAATGAAGCGCATTCGCACTATTGGACGAGGGCGATTTCCTTTGCTTGGAATCGGTGGCAAGAGAAGACGGCTTCGCAGCAGAAGCAGCAGCGATGCTACGATCACGAAAACCACCGACATCACCACTACCACCAGTCGTGCAAAGATGCGTATCCCAAGGAGGAGTGTGATGAGACGAAAGAGGTGAATTCTTATCAACACGAGGAGGACTCACAACTGCTTGACCGGGGCGCACACGGTGCTAATGCGAGACACAGGTCGGAGACGCAGAGAAAGAGCATGGCGGGTACAGCCGAGATGGGGACGGAAAGGGTCCCTCGGCTGCCGTGTCTGTGTTTTTCGGAGTTTGGGATGGTTTTGGAGGAGGCCGGTGGAAGTAGTGTGCTTATTGCTAAACACGAGGAGGATGTGGAAGCGGGAGAGTCCTCGGACGAGAGCCCGACGTCGAAGGAAAATACCCTGAGTTGCCTAGACGATGTTCATGATGAGAAGGGCTGTGGCCAGGAATGTCCCGAGCGTCCAACGAGAGGCGGATTGGACATGTACCGGCCTACGGCCGATGAGTTTGAAGGCTGGCAGATGGACGAGGAGCTTGAAGCTCCCCACGGGATGAGCTACGGCATCCCTCGTCCTGCTACTGGCCTGGGCTGGTACGACGACGAGCTATCGACAACACCCACCGTTGACCACTTCGACTCGCAGTTGAACAAGCACTTCTCGGGCAGATCAACGGACACTATTGCATTGGAACCACGGCACTTGCCTGTACGAAAGGATTCGCTACAAAACAGTCCCCTTGCCAGCAGCTTCTCTCAAGCGTCGTCTTTGGTCGAGGTAGGAGACACTACAGTAATAGGAGATCGCAACTCCAGCGAGCCGACCCCGTCTATGGGTACCGTCATCGACAACACGAATAACTTCCTCCAATCCGATACAGAAGACGACGACTGGCTGGGACCAAAACCAGTGGAATGGGGTTCGGTTCTATACGACAACGTCGAATGCTCCTGCAACCCCCTCCTAGACGACCGAGAAGCTGTCTCCCCTACATCATCTAGATTCTCCCCAATCTCGAGCGAAGAAGAGGAGATCGACGATCTGTTCGACATATACGCAACCTCCTCCGACCGAGATCCCCTCGCCTCCACCGCTTCTGTCCAAGAAAGCGACCTGCCTCCTTACCCGCCCTACCACCCTTCCGCCCTCGCCCCTCTCCTCGCAATCGCCCGCGGCCTCTCCCTCCCACCCACAACCTCCTTCCCCGACATCCAGGAACACCTCGCCCGCAACGCAAACATCCTCCGATACCTCGTCCTCCACTGCATCCCCTCTCCCTCCACCAACCCCATCGAGCACGCTACCGACCTCGTCGAGCCGATCCTGCCCCCTCCTCTCTCGCCCCACCCCTCCTTCGCCCAGAACTACCCTCAACACCCGCGACGGCGTGAGTACACCTGCCTCCTGCAGGCGATCCGCTCCGTGCGCTGGTCTGCCGACGCCATCAACGACATGCTTGCCGTCATCGACTTCAACCCTCCGCCGCCGGGCCGCGGACGCCCCTCGACGGCGCTGCCCATGTTCCGCAAGCTCCGCGCCGCGGACGCGCAGAGGAAGGGGTGCCTTACGTCCGCGCAGCTGCATACGCTGCACTGTCACGGGGTGTCGCTGCTGGACGTGCTGCAGATGAACGATATCTCCAAGGTTGTCAGCTGCGGGCTGGGCGGACGGCTCGTGGAGGCGGCGGAGAGCGGGGCCTTGGGGATCGCGAGGGAGTGTAACCTGCTCGACGAAGAAGGGGCTTTATTGGAGTTGCTGGCTGATCCAGATGATTCAAAGAGCCCTGGGAGTGACAAGAGGTGGGCGGTTGGACAAGGGAGCAGGTTGAGGAACTGCGTGGATATCGACGAGAACGAAGGGGAGGAGGCTGATGATGAGAGCGAAGGATACGACGAGAAGTCGTTTGTGGAGTCATTTGTCCAAGATGGGGATGGCGGACACGGAGTCGACGACATGCCGTACACCGTGAGCCCGCTATCTCCCGATGCGACCCCGGGCGAACACAGCTGGGACCAGCAGGAGATATCCCCCTTGACGACGTCCTACCGCATCCAGGCGCCGGAGACTCTCTTTCATGAGGTCCGGACCTTGTCATCTACACAACAGTGCCAGACCGATGAGACGACTCCTGACCAGGGACGCATTTCGCTCAAGAGAACACATAGATTACGAACATGCGGAGACAGAAGAGGCGTTCTAGTCGACGAGGAGACTGCCAAGAGTCCCGAGATGCGGCACTTCTTCCACGAGATAGGGGCGGCACCGGTGATCATCGATTCGGACGTGTCCGAGGACCTAGCAGTGCAGGAGCTCATAGGGAAGGACGGGTTCGGCAGCAAGGACTCCCAGAATGCTCCAGGGAACAGGACGAGTTGGGGCGTAGACCTCGGCGGTATGCTGACTGAGTAGAGTTGTAAACGGGTGGGAATCAGCAGCCTTTGCATAAATAGACATGAAGACACTTCTACAAGACACGGCGTAACGATGCAAGAGGCAGTTGGTCTAAATATCTATCCATCTTACACGCCTCCAAAACAGGGTATCACTGCTTTTCCTTCTTATACATGCGCCCACCCGTTGAAAACAAGAACCTGCCCCTCGTTGATCAGGCAATCGACCCCCTTCTCTTCCCGCCCCTCCCCCTCGGTCTCCCACTCCCTCACCCTCTTCTTCACAACCCACTCCTTGACCCGGTCGCTCGTAATCAGCCTCCTGATCCTCGCCTCCCAGGTCCCGACCACGATCCGCCACACCGAAAGCCAGCTCTCCCCGCCGTCCTTGGGATGCGTCCTCTCATACGCCTCGGGCGAGTACCCGACCCTCACCCTCGGGTTCACAAACACCCCCAGGCTCTTCGACAGCGGGTTGTCGACGTGGATCAGGCAGCACTCGCTCGCCTCGAGGTGCTTCTCCTCGGCCAGCGAGTCCGGCGCGGCCCGGAACTCCAGCCGCTTCCACCCATTTTCCTGCGACACCAGGAACGGCGCGGCGGGCATCGCCACGATGCCGTTCCAACAGCTCCGCACGGGCACGGCGTCCGAGTACGCCTCCAGCGCCTTCCTGCTCTCCTTGGACCGGAAGTACGGCCACGTCTGCATCAGGTGCGCCTGCCCCGCCGAGTCCCGCAGTGCGAACGTGTCGTAGTAGTACGGCGGCTGGGCGAAGTCGAGCGAGCACGCCGCGGCGTAGAGGCCGTTGTTGGTGTCGAGCAGGGCGAGGACGTCGTCCGTCTGTGTGTGTCGTTAGCGCCCGGTCCTCCAAGTCATAACCAAGTCACGGACGGGAAGGGAAAGCAGGCCTACCGTGAACACCACATCGTTCAAGAAAAGCACCCTGTCGAAAACCTCCCCTTCCTTGCCCAATTTCCATAGATCCTTCAGCGTCAGATTCCTCAGCCTCGCCAGGAACGGAATCCGCCGCATCTCCCTCTTCCCCCTCGGCGTCTTGATCCAGCCTTCCCTCCGCTCCCCGTCGGCGGGAACAGCCTCCACCTCCTCCAAGTGCGTCGTCTCGTCCAGCACGACGTTCCTCCTGACGCCCCTCTTCCCCAGCTCCTCATCCAGTGCCCTTAGCGCGACCTTACTGTCGTCCCAGCTCCCGCTCTCGTACACGCTTAAAAACACATTCTCCCGCCCCAGCGCCTCAACGAGCTCCAGCACCGCGCCCGCCCAGTGGTCCCTAATCACCGCCGCGTCGTTGTAGTGCATCCCGGCAATGTACACCCGCTCCACGCGGCGCGGCCGCTTCGGGTTGTGCCGCGGGGCGCCCGTCACCAAACGCTGCACGCGCAGGGCGTCGAGGAAGGTGTAGACGGCGAAGACGAGGACGAGGTTGCGGAAGCCGCGCGAGCGGAGGAGACGCCTGGCGCTGAGGCGCAGGCCGTTGAGGAGGCCCATCGGGGGGAGGACAGTTCGAAGGGGGTCGAGCTCGGCTTGCTCTTGGGCCCAGAAGAGCAGATGGGTTTATAGAAATGACAGGTCGGCCGGGCATGCATATATGATTTAACAAACAAATGTCTCTGGAGCGAACGCCATTGAAGCAGTCAAGGTCTGCCAACTGACTTGTATGTCACCAAATGAAGTTCGAGCTCAGTACCTCTCCCCATCCCCTTCCTGTCTATTGTACCAGCCAAGACGAATAAGACTGGCTACCTGTCCAGAAATATAGCTCTGTACAGGGGACCTGAAAGGACCCCAGGCAGCCGTCAGAGGAACCGGTGTCATTGGTGGACAGGGCCGTCAGGGTACGTTTTGGGGAGCGTGGAGAAGACGGGGAGCAAGACGATTGGCTGCCAATAAGACACCTCACCCTTGCAACAAGTCGCCCGACACATGTGTTGTTACAATTCGCAACGGTAATATACAGTGCCATGGCAAGGCATGGCATGACTGAGAACCCTGCCCGCGGTTCCACAACGCAAAACGTGCACGTAATTATCATTGTGTCACTAACAGAGAACCGCCATTTTGGAGTTGATGATTGAGTCAAGAAAACTAGTTATACACTCCAAGACGCCCCCTTTTTGTTCGTCGTCTCATCTTACAATCACAAGTTGAGCCCTCGTCCCCCATTGGGCTCCTTGGTTACTGTATTCCCTTGAACGATTTACTACTGTGGGTACTGTAGATCGCTGGACACGAGAGTCAATCTGACTGCGGGGCAACATCGTTTACTCTGTGCATCAATCCCGCGCGGGCATGATTGCTGCGACTTTTGCTTATTTGGCAAAGTGCAGGTCGTAGCCGAGCCACTTGCGACGGACGACTTGTTCAACACTCAGACCAGGGTAGCCGTAAGTCAACGGCAGGAAAAAGTACCAGCCGGCAAGAGCAAGGAGCAGAATGGCACCGCAAGCAATCCAGGCACCGACGAGGCTTTGGCCGGCAAACCGCTCGCGGGCGGAAATGTGCCTCTTGGGTCCATCGGCCTTTTTGTTGCCCTTGATGGGCTGGTATCCCTCCTCGGGCGCGGGCTCAGCGGTGAAGATGAACTCTAGGAGAGCACCAGCAACCAGACAAGAAGCGAGGTGAGCCGGCAAGTAGTGGTGCAGGAAGAGTTGGCGGCCCATCAGGTAGAACGGGAAGTAGTGGGTGGCCCAAGCCAGGAAAAAGAAGCCGGTGGAGTTGTACAACCGTGACCGAGTGCCTGGACATGGTTAGCATCGACATTCAAGGTTGTAGGATACGCACGGAGCTTACGGTGGTCAAGAGCGTCGATACCCCGTCTAAGTGACACCTGGTCCGCGCCGATAATACCAGCAAAAACAGCCAACAGACTGCTGGCGAGCCACCAGCCAATAGGGTTGCCAAGGAAGTAGATCTGTTGGCGGGTGTCGTTCTGGGTCCAGAAGCTGACACCGCGGAGCAGGAAGGGCCACTGGTAGGGGTGGCTGGCGTAGGGGTGACTGCTGGTCAACTGGTTGTTGTGCCAGAACATAGAACGCTGTAGTTCAAACCACTTGCGGAAAAAGGACAGAGTCTTGACCTCCTTCTCGGGCTTCTCGCGTCTCTTGGAGTCCAGCGGAATCGAGGGGAGGTCCTCAACAAACCAGATGTTGGAGCTCGGTGCCAGCTGCTTGTTGCCGTTGATCTCCTGCTGCTTGTGTCCCCATTCAGGGAGGGGAGTGGTGTGAGTCCACATGGCAACCTTGCTGGGGTTGTGGATCAGCTTGAAGTGGCTCGAAATACTCTTGAACTCCTGGCCTGGCTTCCCGTTCTCGACTCTAATCTCAAAGAGTGTGTCGTTGAGACGGTCGCCGTACGCCTCGGTCAAAGGAACCGTGGTGAACTCCTGGTTCGTGGGGTAGTAAGGCGAGGCTACGTCGTGAGACAAGAGCATGGTGTCGGTACCCAAGTGCCTAAGACGAACAACATCCTGGTTCCTGACGGGCTTGCCAGTCGCGTGGTCATCGACCAAGGGAATGATCTGCCAGTAGTTGTTGGTGTCGTTGTAAGGGTAGCCAGTGACCTGCTGGCCCTGGCTGGAAACACGACCATCGTCGTAGCGCAGAGGGTAGTGGTCCTCGTGACTGTGAAGGTAGGTTTTGGTCTCCTTGTGGCGGAGGGTGATGGTGTCGTAGTACTCGACAGTCAGTGAGTTGGCCAGCATGACGTTGTCGCTCAGCGTCTCCTGGAACTCGGGGGTCATGAAGTCGTCGCCAGGACCCGATCGGGTCAAAACGGCGAAGTGCACTTGGAACCAGAAGAGGTAGAACATGAAAGGCAGGATGATCAGGCCAAAGGCGCGAGCAGCAAAGTGCTTGGCGAACTCGGGAAGGCTGAGGGCGCCACCGGGTCTCTTAATGTCCAACAGAGCCCAGAGATCAATGATCACAGCCGAGCCAATGGTGACAAAGGCGAAGAGACCAACGTACTTGGTCGAGATATCGGCAGACAAGGCGAAGCCGGTCAGGACAAGCCACTTCCACCACTTGCGCGAGAAGGGCTCGTGGCGCAGCTTGTAGAACTTGATGTAGCAGAGCAAACTGCAGGCCATGGCGAAGACAAGAGTGGCGTCCAGGAGGATCAATCGAGTCTGGCCAATGTGGGCGTTGTCAAGCAGAACCAGACCAGCAGCCAACAGGCAAGCAGGCAGGCTGTACCCAGACTCCCACATGATGAGGTAGGTAACGGAGACGGTCAGGGCGCCAAGGATGGCGGGCATAGCTCGGAAGGCGACATAGGGCACCTTGTTCGAGATGTATGAGTCGCCAATGTTCTCGAAGTGGAAATGTCCGTCGTAGCCAACAAGCCATCCCATAAAAGCAAAGAGGAGCTTTCCGAACGGAGGGTGGACATCGAAGAAGTAGGTTCTCTCGAGGTAGTAAGAGGCAAACTGTTGGAGGCGTTCATGTTAGCTAGAGCAATACAAATAAATGTTCAAGGACCAGAGCTTGGGGGAAGCTTCCAACATACCTTGCCAAAGTGAACCTCATCGAAGACGACTTCATTGGGATGGCTGATGCCCCAGAATCGGGTGACGAAGGCAAGAATGGTGGTAATGAGGAGACCGACGCCGTATTCGCGGTCCGAACCGGTGCGTCTGGTCTTTGCAACGGACTTGTTCAGTGCGTTGGCGATGTCGTCGGCAGCGGCGCCCGGCGTGGTAGGCCGCTTCGCAGTGTTGCGCTGCCGAACGCTGCCCTGCGGGGTGGCAGTCGTCGACGCCATGATTCGCGGGGAAGGGTCGAAGTCAATGAGGACGAAAGACGAAAGATGCTGCTCGCGATAGAAGTCGTCAGTAAAAGCCTTGGGAGGCTAGAAGAGGTTTGTGGCAGAGCTGGGAAATATTTTGATCCTCGGGCTGGATCTCACGTCGAAAAAGAGAAGGACAGATAGCTCCAACTGATCGACCCCGATAGGACGGGAAGGGTACGTATCGCTTCGTTGAGCTGTAGGTACTCAAGGGAGCACTTCAGGGGCTTCGTAGCTATGTACTTACATGCTATGGGAAAAGTGGACCGCGTCAGCCCTCACGTCACGCTGATCGAAGGAGGAGGAAAAAAGAGAATGGGAAGAAAAGGGTGGCGTTAAGGAGCGACTGAAGAAGAAGCTGTTGAAGAGTGAAGAAAAAAAAGAAGGTGACTGACCTCGAATCTCGCAACGACGAAAACGGAGATGGGGAGAATGGACAAGGGAAGATTGATCGTCTCCCGGGGGGAACACTCTCGCGGAAAAACTAACAGGAGATGGGGACCCCCTGACGAGGTACAGACTGACACTGAACCTACCCGGAAGACACGAATTCTAGCAGGGATCGATTGCGTCGGGGGCCAACGTTCGGACTGAGGTGGATTGGACACTTGGCCAAAGTGAGAGAGCTGTCACCACATCGTCCATTGAGTCAATCCAATTGGACGAAGCTGCGCTAACAAATTTCGGGTCTTTGGACCTATGTCCCAAGGGAGGACCTACTCGAGAGAGCTCCAGCCCACCTGCACCTGCACCTTCCTGCTTTCCGCGCGTCCATCGGGGTGCTTGCTGCGATAAGATAAGGATCCCTTGATGGATCGAGAGCCTCCGACACAGAGTCACTCTAAGGGTTACACTGTCAGTGCAGGGTAGGTAGGACGTCTTACGGCCCCATAGGTACGCGCCATTGTGAGTTTCAGATAAGGCTGACAGGTCGATGGAGGGTTCCGGAAGGGGTTGACCAGAGGTGCAGCGGTTTCCTCACGAGGGCAAATCCAAGTCCTGGGCGGGTACTGTCAAAACCACAGTCAGAACCGGTGACATGCTGGAGCTGCAACTCGAGGTACCAGTACGGTGTTCAGCCCGTGACTTAAACGGAAGAACGTGCCTCAATTGACTCGATGTAATGCACCACTGGCATCATTGCACGTAACCGCGCTGTCTCGCCTCAACCCGTGTTTGCCAGGCCGAAAAGAGACGCCCGCTGCTACCCGCCCGGGTCAGAACCCGTGGGCCAGGGAGACTGAACCGCCGAAGAACGGAGCTCGAGTACGTGCAACGGCGGGGTCGACCGAGTCCCGCACCCCCAACGGTGAACTTTATGTGCTCCTGATCGCAACCCAATTGGAACCCCCACGATAGTTTTCTCTTCACCTTCTCAGGCCACGTTCACGCTTACGTTCACGTCAATGTCCTTGCTCCTCAGACCTGTTACCAGACTTTCATCCCGTGCCGCCATCCGTCGCCTCTCCTCATCCCGCTTGACAAAGTTCCAGCTCCAGCCCTTCAGCGTCCACGCCTCCAAGATGTCCGACCAGTCCATTGTCTTCACCAAGAACGCCCCGGCCCGTAAGTCCCCTCTCCGCCCTCCCTAATGACGCACGTAGTCTTTAGAAACAATTGCTGACTGGTCGTTGAATAGCTGTTGGCCCTTACGTAGGAATCTCCGTGAACAATGAATTAGTGCAGGCCATCAGACTAACCCTGACTCCCCCTCCTTCAGTCCCAGGCCATCAAGACCCCCACCGCCATCTACTGCTCCGGCCAGATTCCCCTGACCCCCGACGGCAACCTCCTCGAGGGCTCCATCACCGACAAGACCAAGCAGTGCATCACCAACCTCAAGGCCGTCCTTGTCGAGGCCGGCTCATCCATCGAGAAGGTTGTCAAGGTCAACATCTTCCTCGCTGACATGGGCAGCTTTGCCGTGAGTTCTGCCTCTTTTCCCACCTCGTTTTTCTTCTCGTGTAATCTCACTCTGACAACCACCAGGAGATGAACGGCGAGTACGAGAAGTGGTTCACCCACAAGCCCGCCCGCAGCTGCGTTGCTGTCAAGACACTTCCCAAGAATGTCGACGTTGAGATCGAGGCCATTGCCCTCCCCTAAGCATCCCGAGGTTTCTTCTTGGTCCGGTAGATCCAATTCAAAAAAAGGTCAAACGTAAACCAAGTTTCAAAGACTTTCCAGTGATTCCAGGACTGCATGTCGTGACTGTGAATATGTCTGCGCGTGTAACGAACATTATCCAAATGGGCTCTAGAGCGCTTAGCTGTGTGTTCTGCAGTCACGAGATGTATATAGTCCGCGCTATCTGGATTGTTCCTTTAGAACAAGTATCCTTGTCAGGTCAGGCGACAACATGGCAGCTCATACCGGAATTCCGGCCATATACTCATCCCCTTCGCCCTCCACCAAGTTGCGTTCAAATGTGTTCTTCAACTCTCAAAAGCTAGATTCGCGAGCCTCGGTGTTTCAAAGTCAACAAAGAATCACTCAGATACCAGCGCGGAGGCAAGTCAAATGTAGGTAATATGCAGAAAGGTAGCTTGATGTTCTACAACGCCCTTCCGTCTATCGGTACAGTTCCACCACTTCTAGTAGAGCCTCCACCAAACCTAAGCTCCAAAAGCTCTCCCACAACCACACCCGTTCGTAGCCGTCGCAAATCATTTATTCCTCGTCATCGTCGGCGGCCTCGACGTACTTGTGGCGGATGTCCTTCCATTGACGCTAAATTCGACTCCTTGTCAGCAAATCCATTTCCCACTTGTGATCGAGCGAGTTTCCGACGAAACCGCAATGCTCCTTGAAGCAAGTTCATTATACAGCAGAGAAAATGGGATTCCTTACGCCGCGGTTCAGGTAGTCCCAGTACTTGTTCATCGCACCGTTGAAGCCCCTAGAGCGCGAGATGTCAGCCCACTCCAATTCCTCTTCAAGGTTCCGAAACGCCCCGGATCTGTCGGTCCTTGTTCCTCTAGCCCCGGGGATCGTGTCGAAATCATGCTTCCGGGGTTATCTCTTACAGCTCGAAAGCAAAGCCCGTCGCAAAGACGAAGCCGAGCATAGAGAAGTTGTTCTTGAAAAGAGCACTGTTTCACCGAAGCCGTTAGCAGGCGTTCCTCATCGTCTCATCCGTCATGTCGGCAATCAATCGTTCGGTGTCCCAAGCCAAAAGACTCCGGTCATTCGGCGATGCGAGTAGGGAAGGCGTCGAGGGGGAGGACTTGCGCGTAGAAAGGGCGTGTGGCGGCCTACGGAGGTGTAAGAGTGAGCGATTAGCCAATTGCGGTCGCAGGAAAGGGTCCCGCGAAATTCCAAGCATACCATCTTGAATGTCTTCTGTAAAATCGCACGTCTCGTATAGAGGCAAGGGTGCTTCGTTGCGGTCGGCAAGGCGGTGATCGCTAGGAGTGGGTTGAGTCGGATGGTTTTGGGGAGCGAGTCTTGACGAAATTCGCGATGTTCCGGGAGCAACTAGCTTTGCCGAAATACATGCACTCTGATTGGCTGCAGATCCACTGCCCTTCACCCAGCACTTGCTTGATGACTAAGTTATTCCGATCGACTGCGTCAGCCTCGCGCAGGTGCTTTCAAGCCACACTACGAATGTTCCATTAATCGATAACATCTAATCACAATACTTCAGCAAAGAGTATTATAGTGCTGGACAGGTGACTGGAATCGTCAGCCCTGACTGCAACTTACAGTTGCTGGCGTACTTCTGGTATAGAATGTTTAAAGTACACTTCACTTTGAAAACACTGCTCTCATCATGCGTTTCTACCGAAGAAAGCCGGGTAAATCTGTAGAGTTGCCTCTGAGCGGCAGAGGCTGATCAACTCACGTTTTCAGCCATTCGTTCGGCGCAGAGTGGCATAGCACATTGATGTAGCAAATAAGGGAAACATGATGTCAGACAACTTGGTAACGGAACAAGCCTGAACTTGGAATGATCACTACCACGGTAGACTAGTTGTGATATAAAAAGAGTACGGATCCTTGACTGCACCCCTATCTATCGACCATCTTTGGTCGGCGATGCGCTGTGGTCGTGACCGCCCATCTTCACTTTGGCGTGAACCTTTGCGTCATGCACTCTCTGTCTGAATGGAATGTGCGCCTCTGCCCTGCGGCCGCGGAGTCCGGTGTGTGTGCGCAGAGGAGGATCGAGACCATCGGCAAATCTGCGATGCTCCTCGAGGCGTTTGTCTGAGATAGTCTCCGGCGCCCATTTCTTCCGAATGAACCAAGGCAGGCATGCCGCTATCCATGTATCGGGGATTAAGCGGATGAAGACACCAAACGGAAGGGAAATCGCGCCGAGACCGACGGACAACCCCCATTCCTTTCCATTCAGAGGCCTAATTTGGAATGCAGCGCCTCCAACAAAGATGATTAGCACTTGTCCGCCGACCATGATCAGATTGATGCCAATGAAAAACCAATTCTTGGTGATGTTCTCGAAGACGTTAAACCTGTTGTCCAAACGGCGGTTGCTAATTGACAATTAACATACACTCAGTCAGCAAAGCATTCTGGGCACGTACTTGAGTTCGTTGAAGATTTGCAGCCAAACAAACGTGTTGAATACCAGAGTCCTCAAACTTGTGTGGTCGTCGTCAGAGTTGCTATAGCCCAGAAGACTTTGTCCGGCAAAGTTCAAAACGAAGGTAATGACAAGCTGGCAAATGGCCTGGCCAATAATCATCTTGGCCATTCTTAGGGTTATGAGTGATGCTGACTTTCGGTCAGGCTTGCGGTCCAGAACACTGCGTGTTGGGGGGTCTGTAGCCAGTGCAAGTGCGGCAAAGGTGTCCATGATCAGATTGACCCAAAGCAACTGAACGGCGTTGAGAACCGACTCCTCAGTTGAACTGGCAACCGCAGTAACGAAGGTCAAAACGACGGCGGTGACGTTGACGGTGAGTTGGAACTAATTCAGGAGTCAGCAATCTCGAAGAAGGGCAATAGTGCATGACTCTTTCAACATACCTGCAGAAACTTCTTCACGGAGTCATTGACGGCTCTTCCCCACATCAAAGCCTTGACGATAGAAGCAAAGTTATCGTCCATAAGAATGATGCCGGACGCCTCCTTCGCGACCTCCGTGCCAGCAATGCCCATGGAGAACCCGATGTCTGCCATCTTGAGTGCGGGAGCGTCGTTTGTACCATCGCCAGTGACGGCAACTGTCTCGCCAAGGTCCCTCAGGGTTCGGACCAAGATTCTCTTGTCTTCGGGACTTGAGCGAGCGAGAACTTGCAGCTTGGGAACAATATCCTTGAGTTCTTCATCCGTCTTGCGTCGGAAAGTCGGGCCCTCCATGGCGATGCCGCCGTCGTCAGGGTGGTAAATACCACATTCCTTGGCGATTGCTCTCGCGGTCAAGATGTTGTCACCCGTGACCATGCGAACAATAACGCCTGCGCGATTGCAGTCTTTGATGGCGTCAATAACAGAAGATCGTAGCGGGTCCTTGATACCGTAGATGGCAATGAGCGTCATGTCTTGGTGAACCTTATCGAAATCTGCAGTTCTGGAGTCCTCCTTAGAAATGGCGTCCTTGGGTGGCCAGGAGTCAAAGTCTCGGAATGAAGAACCGATGGTGCGGAGGGTCTGACCAGCATATGAGTTGATCGTCTGTGCGAACATCTCTCTGTCTTCGGCCGTCATGTCCACAGCACTCAACTCGGAGCTACCGGGATTCTCAAGGACTCTGTTGCATTGTTTAAGAAGAATCTCCGAAGCTCCCTTCACGTACACTCTGTACTTTCCATCGGGAAGCTTGACAACAGTCGCCATGTACTTGACTGCTGAGTCGAAAGGCACGACCTGAACGACATTGGCGTTCGTTCGCTCCTCTTGAACAGGCCCGGCTCCCAACTGATCCCGGCTGAAGGTAAGCAGAGCGACTTCAGTCTTGGATCCAATAAATGTGTGTTCTCCTTCCTGATCTCCTTCAAATGCAGTGGAATTGACGGCGTTGCCTTGGATCAACAATTGCTTCGTCTCCGGACTCAAGTCTTTTGTAAAGTCACCAACTGAAACGTTCCTAACCGAGTTAATGGCTGTTTCATCCGACGGCGACGAGCTATTTTTCGGCTTCTCAGCCGTGGGTTCCTCGAGAGGGGCATCCGTGCCGCCAAAGCTGATGCTTTTCCCAAGAGTTGTAGCAACGACCGACATCTTGTTCTGTGTGAGGGTTCCTGTCTTGTCCGAACAAATAGTCGTCGCATTTCCCATCGTTTCGCAGGCTTTCAGAACTCGAACCAAGTTGTTGTCTTTCATCATTCGAGTAGTTGCGAATGCCAATGCCAAGGTGACAGCCAGGGGCAGACCCTCGGGAACCGCTACAACGACGACAGTAACAGAAACGATAAAGAGCTTAAGAAAAGCCTGTCCTTTCTGTTCAGGACTGTCGTTGTTTCCGGGGAGTGCGGCGAGAAACTTGATGAAAAGCACCACAAATAGTAGCAGAGCTGCGCCGCCACCAACCTTGGCGATGAGGTCGGCAAGGATATTGAGCTTTCTCTGTAACGGGGTGTCTTCTTGCTCGGTCCTGAGAGACATAGTGATTCGACCATACGAGGAGTTGACACCCACTGCAGTAACCAAGAAAGTGCCGGTGCCCTCCTGGACCTTACTTCCAGAGATGATGAAGGGGTCCATTTTCTCCATGTCGGGATGGTCGACGTTCTCATGTGCCATCTTCTCAAGAGCTTCGTACACCTCGTCGGCTCCAACCTTTTTGAGGAGATCAGACTCGCCCGTGGCTGAAGACTCGTCGCATTTGACCCCATGGCCTTCGATGAAGATACCGTCAACCGGGACCATGTCTCCCGTTGAAAGGTGGACGACATCGCCAACCACGATGTCGTAGACGGAGATCTCCACGGACTTGCCAGAACGAACAACCTTAATAGTGCGGTCGTCATTCTTCTTGTTGAGTGTGTTGAACTGACGCTGCATCTTCCAGTCGTTAATTGAGCCGACCAAGACAACGATGATGATAGCAATCATAATGGCAACGCCCTCTACCCATTCGACTCTGGCTTCACCTGGTGCGTGTGCTTGGCCAAAGGTTTCATATAAGCCCAGAGCGAGGGAAACGACGGCCGCAATTGTCAACAAAATCAACACCTTGTCGTTGTAAGCAATCCAAACCATCTGCAGAAAGGACTTCTGCTTCTTGGCGGGCAGTCTATTGTCTCGAAACGCGTGCTTTCGATCAGAGAAACCGCCAGTGTACTCGGAAGGGGGAGGTGGAATGGGAACGTCGTTCTTCGCATCAGGGTCTGGCTGGGGAACCGCATTGCCAGCAGCGCCGTACTTGGGCACGCCCTTGAGGGCGACTTCCTCAAAGGAAACCCGGGCATCCAACTTGTCCTCGTCAACACCTAGGCCGGTTTTGCGATTGGTTTGTAGACCTCGCTCCAAGCCACGCAGGCCTCCCAGAGCATAGAAGGCACTGAGGCTCTTGGGGTTCAGGAGCTTGGTAAGATGGCCGGGGGTAAAGGCAAATTTGCTGTCCTGCTGGGCGTTGAACATGTCCTCTGTGCCGCGATCAGGGGTCAGAGCATCCGCTGTATCGAGGTTGAATTTACGAGATCCATAATGTTTCTCATCCTTGGTCGCCTTGGCTTCGATGTCCAGTGGCTGATTCTGGTTCTTCTCGTCCTGGGCCGACATGTTGACGCCTTTCTCGGCATCATGCCCACTGGCTGTTGCCATGGTAATGACGAATTGTGCTGTTGTGGACTAGGTGGCTTTCGAATTGAAGTAGTAGCCAAGTTCAATGTGATGATTGATTATTAGACAATGCTTGTCATTTTCTATTTGTCGAATGAAGAATCGACTATAGGAAGAGGCGCGTCTGTTGATTAAGTTTAGACTTGCGCTCACTAGAGTGAGGAGGAAGGGAAAATGTCAAGCGATCAAGTGCATTACTTATCGCAAGGAGAGAATGGAATTATTCTTACCCGATGAATCGAAGCGAGCCTATGTTGTTGTTTCTGGAGACCGGTCGCCAAAAACTTGAAGGAAGGTGCAGAGGGTGAAGCTTTGGAAATATCTCTCAGGAGGAAGGAGGGACCACCGCAGAGTGAGGTAGTAAAGTTGGTCACTGGGGAGAAGAAGGAGAAGAGGGAAAAGAAGAAACACGAGAGACGGACGAAAGAAAAGGGAGAGAAGAGCACAAAGCTATCTGGCTTGGTTTACCATTGTACGCCAGTCTGCGCCTGGTCATACTTGCTCAGTTAAGAAACACAGCTTCAAGTCCAATTTCACCTGCCACGACTACATTCCAAGGACCGATACCTTCTTTTGCGCCTGCATAGAGCGCGGTATTCCGCGGGTCAAGCGAAATGTACCAATGATGGGACGAGCCATGACGACAAAAGCTGCTGCTTGACTGCCCAGAGCAGCCCAAATAAGCAGGTTGGGGGAGGTCAATGCCAAGATCGAGCGTGCAGGGCTATGACCGTCGCCTGGAAACACATTCGCTGGCTGCCCCTTTGAGTCGTTTCTGGTTTGATGAGAGCAAGACCAGCATGTCGCCAAAGGCTTGGCAAACGCGGACTGTGACCACGAAAGCTTGACTGACGGGACGAAGCTTGTGTCTCTTGTCCAGGGTGCCTGCCTCGGCTAAGAGGAGCGTCGGTTGTTATGAAAATACTTCATCGATCGATTGATGTCCGCAGTTCCTCTCATGTCGTCAGAGAGCATGGAAACTGCCCGCGCATTGCTGCATGTAAAGCCCACCGTTCAAAGGGTGTAGCAGCATACGAGATGCAAGCTTGTAGGTTTGGATACACTTTCGTCCCAGACAATAGGGAGTGCTACACGCGCCGCGCTTTCGCAGACTTGGGTGTCGACATCATGCTGCCCGATGGGCACTTCGTCTCACACACCCTTCTCTTGTTGTGATGACGAGAAGTGGCCAGCTGGCAACCATACAATCTTCAGGGCAACCCGTGTTTTGTGCTAGCAAGCCCACCTGCTGCGATAGGTGGATGTTGCCCATGTCGACAATCTGGTCGAAACAGGTAATCAGGAAATTGACTTACAATGGCCAGATACTATGCTGTCACCCACTTTCCAACTATCGATTGTCATAATCGCCAAGACCTTATTGTTTGAGAGAACAGCAGATCAACCAAATTGGAGTACAATAACCTAGACGCACAGGGGTTCAAACTCGCTAACATGGGATGGCACACACTGAAGTACCGTACTTTAACACTCCTCACCGAAAGACACGCCGGCCAACTGCAGGTCTGACCAGCCAGTAACGCGACACACGTGGCGTCATCCTGACCTGACCGCACTTTCTGCTTTCTGAGGCGCGGGGAGTGTGCCCGGCTTGCCCAAACTGTGGCTGCTCTGATGCTTCTTGTCTAGCTACCATGACAGATGAGTGACGCGGTACCTCCCCTTTCCTCTGTACTGTTTCCCCTTGGCTCCCTCTCGTCTGGTGTTCCTGAATCCGCCGGGTTGGATGATGGTTGTTTTTGGCCAATCAGAGAGCGAAGTTCCAAAGAAGGTTCAGACCCCACCATGGTCTGTGCACGACGCAGGAGGGGTTGTTTCGACCTCGACTCCCACAGGCGCATTCGCTTTCTTTTACCCGCCAAACCAAACCGCCCTATCGAACCGCATCTTCGCATCGCCTGGCAGACGCCGCCTTGTTTGCAATCTCGGCTTGGCCTGCAACCAAAGGATCGTCAAACTGCCCCGAAGCCTGCAGCTGCCCCGGGTTTTTGGCGAAACGGACCAGCTGCACGCACACGCCCCGCTCACCTTGTACCGAGCTCAAGCTGCCCCTTGCCGGCTTCGCATAAGTGCCCAAAGCCATCAGCCAGCGCTTTGGGCGGGCGGTGAGCTACGCATCCAGCCTGCTTGAACTGCGCAGCCTTGCGACGATCCTCCAAAGCTCATTGATTGGGCCAGTTTGGCAGCAGGATTTCCCGGCCAGCCCGTTGCTACCAGTCCAGCCAACTCTGCTTAACCCATCAAGGTTTCTGACACCATGCCTTCCGAACCCACAAAAGCCTCCAATGCGGGCATCATCACAGATGATGCGGGCGAGCGCCAGATTCCCGAATCGAAGCGAGCTGATGGTAGCACACGCAAAGCCATCAAGATCCGTCCCGGCTACCGCCCACCCGAAGATGTTGAGGTCTACAAGAACCGCACTGCCGCAGCTTTCCGTGACCGCACCGCAAGGGGCGGCATCCCTGGCGCGGCGGGTTTGAAAGAGGAGAAGCCCGAAGCTTCCCCCTCTGCTTCGAGCAATAAGAATGCGAAGCGTCGCGAGGCCAGGAAGAAAGCCAAGGCTACTGGAGAGGACGAAGCCGAGGATGCCAAGCAGCAAGCCAGCGCCGACGCCCCCAAGGCTGAAGAGGTCGATCCCGAAGTCGAGAAAGAGAAGAAGGCCCGGAATCTCAAGAAGAAGCTCAAGCAGGCCAAGGACCTCAAGAGCAAGAAGGAGGGCGGTGAGACGCTGTTGCCCGAGCAGATCGCCAAGGTCATCAAGATCAATGAGCTCATTCGTGAGTTGGACGCCTTGGGATTCGATGCCGAAGGAGAGCCCAAAGCCAAGGATGGGGCTGAGGGAGATGCCACGCACAAGAACGAGCCCAATGAAGCCTGATGCTTAATCCAACTACATTGGCGTCTTTCAACTCCCAAACGATGTGTTAGGGGGTCAGCGTTTGATCAAAGACCCACTGCCACAACTGTCTGCTCGATGTTTACAGATGCATGTTGAGATAGAGTCCCATCCGCCCTTGCGACCCAAAGCAAGCGACTGCTAGGATTTCTTCCTTCCAGCAGACGGTGCCTGCAAACACTGGCAAACCGAAGTCCTTCAGGCTCTGCTGGTTCTTTCTTGACTCGATGAGAAAACGAGTCGACAACAGGGACGTGCAGTTCTGCGCCAAGCAACCTTTACCACAGCTAAACTTTCCACGGCTACGTTAGATGCGGATACATATCTCTAGCTGGGCACATCGGAAGTCAAAACCTGCACTTTGATGGAGGCGAAAGGGCAGGGCTATGCATAGTTCATTTTTGCATGAAAATAACCTCCAGCACATCATGCGTGGTGATGGTGCGAGGATCAACAGATGAACGACGCTGCGGCTAGAGATAGCGGGACATGATGCTTTTCCCTACATTGTACCACTTTAGTTGCCTTCAACAAAAGAAACTCCTGCTTGGAAGCATTTAAGAAATTTGGTCAGCTTTATGGCCTGGATATTGGTTAGGCCTGAAGGAAACACACGTTGGCTGCTATCGCTCGAGTCTTAGGCTCCAAGGAGTTGCACCTGCGATGCGGCCGAGGTGAGCTTCGCATAGGTGAAATAAAGCTGCAAAGTGACTGCTGCCATCACATCATCCGAACATTCCGAGGACAGCTTCGTTGTGATATGTTCCTGCTGTTTGTCTGCAATAGCCCGGCTCTGTGGCCTTACGGGTCAGAGCTGGGTGCAGCGCCCTGCGCCGATCTGGGATACGCCGTGCCGTCCCATTCGAATCCCCCATCCGAACCAGGGCATGGGAGTATTTTCCGGTCAACCCCAGCTCAAACTGCAGACTGTTCTGGAAAACTTCCAGCGAAAGTGGAGTTTGCAGACAGATGGGATCCACTGGGCAGCCTTCACGTTCAGTTTGAGGGACGAGCCTGCGTGACAATCGGGGCCGGAGAATATCCCCAGTACCTATGGTAGTTACAGAGGTACAATGAGAAGAACAGATCTGGAGGTGTCTTCAAGAGCTGACGGAAGTACAACCCAAAGTCGTCTGCTATCCAAAGCCAAGCAGGCAATTACCACAACCTTTAGCGCCTCATGTTCACCTACAGGTTCGTCCAGAAATATTTGGCACGCTCTTCACTTCCTCTGTATTTCGTACAGGGTGAGTGGTAGGGTTAGTAAGCTAGCAAGATCTTACAGATTTGCGTGGGTTTACTGATGGGGACGGGACCGCCCGGCAGATCGGGAGCTGGATCGGACCCGATTACGAGGTGATGGTGGTTATTTCTTGTGAGATGGATCAAGACTCGGGAATTTGAATTTGACGATCCAAGAGTCAGACTGAAAGAATTCAGGGTAGTGATGATAGGCTGAACGAACGGCAAGCCATGTCCACGATTTACTTGTAACCCGTTGTGTATCGCAATGAGAACCCGAAAATTATACAGAACGAGTTCTCGTTGTCAAAACCCTATATTTTGTCGATATGGAAAATAGGCCTCTTTACAAACGAGCTGCAGTTGCACGTATCCCATGAAGTAGCATAGATGCGATCAGTTTCAATGCATGACTCTGCTTCACGAGTATTGGCCACGATATCGTACATCAAACAGGACTAGATTCTGTTGTCTCTGGGTCCCTAGAGTTTCCCTGCCAACCACGTGCCTGATATCGACCGGAACGGAAGATGGCCCGTGATATGCTGCGATGCTCGGAGCGAGGAGAAGAAGACGTCTCCGAGAATGCAATCGGCCTGGACAGAACATACCACTTCACTGTCGTACCAATGGCCGATGCAGCCAAATCCGGAGGAGCATATCCTCGACTGTGAAGAGTTGTATTGCAAGCCAGACACCAATAAAGACTCCAACTAAGATGTCTTGCGACATTCTTGATTCCATTGTGCACACGCATCGTTGGACGGTGATGGTGGCGGGACGTGTTCTATATAAAGTCGCAATGCAGGGGTGGCAGGGGGTGAGGCAACGTGGACCGGGCCAGGGAGAGAAGACAGCTGTCGGCATCGCACTGGGCCCACCCTACCGGGGCCGAGCGACTCTTTGATGCGCTGGTGTGGCGTCAAAGCTAGGGTGGAGCTGAAGCTTAGCCACCCGACTCGCGTGCGAAACATACCTCCTACGCTGACGTTGCCCTCCTGGACATGTTTGACTTCGACAACTTTCCAACAGACACGTTCACCAACCAACAAGTCAATTACTGCTAGGCCGGCCCTTACGATACCTGCTCTGTCTCCCCGCGCTCCCTTGGGCGAGTCTTGTCATTTCGCGACGCATCCGTTATCGACAGCCTGTTCTTTTTGATGATCACCACCACCATCCAGACCAACCTCCGAACATGAGGCTTAGGGGGAAGGCTGCCGCCTCCTGGCGCATCCTGCTGTCTGTCCTTACCCTGACAGCAGCTGTCCAAGCAAAGGACGAGCCGACGATCAAAGTCACCACTATCAAGCATCCTCCTCTCAGCCTGAACTATTTCGAAGATTCCAACGTTATCCTCTACCAAGATGTCTCCGAACAAAACCTCTACCGATCCGAAGACGCGGGTGTCACATGGAACCAAGTCAAAGATATCCCTGACCACCAGGCCTCCCTCCTCACAATGCACGAGTTCGACAAGAACCGAGCCTACGTAATTACCGAAGGTACCGAACACTTCAAGACGACCGATAGAGGTAAAACGTGGGAGAAATTCTCGAGCGGTGCGCCTCCCAATATCTTCATGGGGGAGACATCCTCCACTTCCACGCCGGCGATCCGGATCGCGTCATCTTCAACGGAGCCGATTGTATAGGCATCTTTTGCGACCTGATTACTCTGTACACGACCGACAACTTCAAGTCCAAAGCCAAGTTTTTGCGAGGCAACACGGAGGGATGCTGGTGGGCCAAGTCGTCGGAGCTCTTCACCACGGGCAAAGACGACCTCGACAAGCAACGTATTCTCTGCATCGTGCGAGACAACTTCTCGCCTTTCAAGGAAGATAACAGACTACTCGCATCGGACAACTATTTTGAGAAGATCGACAAGAAGATCCAAGAGTTCGAACCGGATATGGACACAAACCACGGCGTGCATGGTGTTGTCAATCTGGCGATAGTAAAGAAGTACCTGATGGTCGCCACATCGTCCCTCAACACTGATGAAATGGCTCTTTTTGTCACGGATGACACCATCAAGTGGCACCGCGCCATGTTCCCCACCGATCACGGTCACAAGGTCAACCAAGAGGCCTACACCGTTCTGGAGAGCACCAACTACAGCATTCAGATTGATGTGATGAACACTAGACCCTCGAACCCAACCGGAGTCATGTTTACGAGTAACTCGAACGGTACGTTCTTTACCGAAAACCTCGAGCATACGAACCGTAACACCAAAGGACATGTCGATTTCGAGAAGATCTCCGGTGTCCAGGGTATATTCATGGTCAACACTGTCAAGAACTGGGAAGAGGTAGAAAAGGACACCAACAGGGGGAGCAAACAAGTCCAGAAGGAGATTGTCAGCAAAATCACCTTCGACGACGGCCGAAACTTCCACGACCTGAAGAGCGGCGACGACCAACTTCACCTTCACTCGGTCACTGATCTCGATAACGTCGGCAGAGTGTTTTCCAGCCCTGCGCCTGGTCTTGTCCTTGGCATCGGAAACAAGGGTAAGTCCTTGGGCAAGTTTGGCGACGGTGACGTGTACGTTTCCGACAATGCGGGTGTGACCTGGAAGAAGGCCTTGGATGGCCCTCACAAGTATGAGTTTGGTGACCAAGGCTCAATTTTGGTTGCCGTGAAGGACTCCAACAAGGAGGATATCGGAGAAATCCAGTACTCTCTGGACCATGGCGAGAGCTGGAAGAAAGCCTCGCTTCCGGATGACTTGAAGATCAAGCCCGAGCTCCTCACAACGACACAAGATTCAACTAGTCTCAAGTTCCTGCTCGTCGGCAAAACGGGAGGTGACAATGCCAAGTTCCACATTATTGCTCTCGATTTTGAGGGGTTGCACGAGCGAACATGCAAAGACGACGACTTGGAGGATTGGCACGCCCGTCTGGACGAAAACGGCAAGCCATCGTGCCTGATGGGCCACAAACAGACCTACCGCCGTCGCAAGAAGACAGCCGACTGCTTCTTGAACCAGGAGTTCAAAGACCCCGTCCCAGTTACTGAAGATTGCGAGTGTACGGACGCAGACTTCGAGTGTGACTACAACTTCGTCAAGGATGGCGACAACTGCAAGAAGGCTGGCCCGATCGTTGCGCCGGATGATGCATGCAAGAACGCCAAGCCGGATGACACCTTCAAGGGCTCGTCCGGCTGGCGCAAGATTCCAGGAAACACTTGCAAGCGAAAGAGTGGTGCTCAAAAGGATGACCCAGTTGAGCGGAAATGCTCTGATGTCATTAATGCCCCAAGCGCCCCTGCTGATGGCAAGATTAAAGCGATCCAGCATGTCTTCAAGACCGACTTGAAGGATTTCGAAAAGGTCTACTTGGAGCGAGGCGAATCGAGCACCGAGGTCGACGAAACCATTATCGTAAGACCTGTCGAGTATGCAGGAAACAGCATGCGAGCCGATAAGCAGATATGGCGGACCAAGGACCATGGCAAGACCTGGGACAAGATCCTTCAAGACGAGGATGTGCGAGGCATCTACCCGCACTACTTCTTCAAGGATGTCGTCTTCTTCACTACCGATTCCAACAAAGTTCTGTACACGATCGATCGTGCCGAGCACTTCCATTCCTTCGAGGCCCCTACAAAGCCTGGGTCGAGCAACCCCCTGTCATTCCATCCTGACAAGAAGGATTGGCTTATCTGGGTTGGAGAGAAGTGCGAAAAGGTTGATGGCAAAGAGACTTGCTTCAAGGAGGCGTCGATCTCGAGAGATCGCGGCGACAACTGGAAGACCGCAATGCGCTACGTCCAGAAATGTGAGTTCACGGGTCACTCCGCCTACAAGTTCCGCGACCTGCGCCAGATTGTCTGTCTCGCGCACAAACGGGAGGACAATGAAAAGGACAACCCAAAGGTTATCGTGTCTAGCAAGGATTTCTTCGACGAGGACAAGCAGTACCACCAGTCGGACGTTAAAGACTTCGCTACGATGGCCGAGTTCATTGTTGTTGCTGCCGAAGACAAGGAAAAGAACGGGTTGCGAGCGCTTGCCAGCTTGGACGGCGTTTCTTATGCCGAAGCTCACTTCCCCGTCAACTTCAAGGTCGGCCACCAAAACGCCTACACAGTCCTGGACAGCTCCACGCATGCCGTGAACTTGTTCGTGGCCACTGAGACTGCCGAAGGTCGCCGCCATGGAAGCATCATCAAGAGTAACTCCAACGGTACATCCTACGTTATGAGTGCGCAGGCAGTCAACTGCAACGACGAGTACTACGTCGACTTTGAGAAGATTCCTGGTCTCGAGGGCGTCGCTCTCATCAACACAGTCGCGAACCGTGATAAGTCCAACGAGCCGAAGAAGGTGCAGACCCAGATCTCCCACAACGATGGCTCACAATGGGCCTTCCTTCCTCCGCCAAAGGCCGATGTTGATGGCAAATCCTACTCATGCAGTAGCAGCGAGGGAGACGAGAAGTGCGCGCTGCATCTTCACCATTACACTGAGCGCGCAGACAAGAAAAAGACGTTCTCTGCTGCTACTGCTGTTGGGCTCATGTTCGGCAATGGCAACGTCGGGTCGAGTTTAAGCTCTCTTAAGGAGGCCGACACCTTCATGACCACCGACGCCGGCATCACTTGGAAGAACGTCAAGAAGGGCGCTTGGACTTGGCAATACGGTGATCAGGGTTCGATTGTTGTCCTTGTCCAGCGTGCCACTCGCGAGAACCCCGTCAAGACGAAAATTATTTCATACACCACTGACGAGGGCAAGACTTGGAAGGACTTCACCTTCACCGACAAGGAGGTCACAGTCCTGGATATTTCTACTCTCCGCTCTGGCGCCTCGCGTAACTTCCTCATTTGGTGTAAGGACGACGGCGGCGAGATGTTCTCTGTCAACGTGGACTTCACTGGCCTGACCGACCGTCCTTGCAAGAGTGACGAGAACGGTGGTGCGGACTACTACCTATGGTCCCCCAAGCACCCATCGCAGCCTGGTGACTGTCTCTTCGGACACGTATCAAAGTACTTGCGCAAAAAGGACGATGCCAACTGCTACAACGATGCCAGGGTTCAACATCTCTACCAGCTGGAAAACTGCACTTGCACAAGGACCGACTTCGAATGGTAAGCAGTCCAGTACACCAACATCTTTGCCTCCAGCTAACGCTCTCTCCAGTGACTACAACTTCGAGCTCGACAACCACAAACAGTGTAGCCTTGTCGAGGGCAAGTCTCCAATCTCAGCCGAGCAGTGGTGCAAGGAGAACCCGGATGCCGTCGAATACTACGAACCCACGGGATACCGTAGGATTCCGCTCACTACTTGCGCCGGAGGCCAGGAGCTCGACAAGCAGGCCCAGGTCCACCCCTGCGCTGGCAAGGAAGACGAGTTTGAGAGGCGGCGCGGAACATCTGGTATCGCCATCTTCTTCGCCGTGGTGATCCCCATCGGACTCGCGGGTGCCATCGGCTGGTGGGTGTACCGCAACTGGAACGGCAAAATCGGTCAGATCCGGTTGGGCGAGTCGTCAAGTCTCGACAATGATGCACCGTGGGTCAAGTACCCAGTCATCGCCCTGTCGGCGGTGGTTGCCGTCGCCGCGGCCCTGCCGCTTGTCGCCTCGGCTCTGTGGAGGCGCGCCACCTCTGCTTACGAGAGCGTGAGCGGCGGAGGCGCAGGCAGCTGGCTCAACGGGCGTGGCAACCGCCGGTTCACGACGAGGGACAGCTTTGCTCGGGGCAGAGGAGATTACGCCATTGTCGACGACGACGAGGGCGAGCTCCTGGGCGACGATAGTGATGAGGAGGTATGAAGAGTTTTATGACTAGGGCAGCGCTGTTGCCAAAGACTCATGAGAGAGACAAAGCGGCAAACCAATACTGTAGCAGGGATGTTTCTCTTGGATTTTGGCATGGGGTATCAGGCAGGCAGGTGGTCAAAGCTGGTGAAGGAGGAAGATACATTTGTAGACCTTTCCTTAGAATTTGTATTTTGTCAGGCATGGCGTTGCTTCCAAGGCTTTTGAATGATCTCAGACTAAGGATTTTTTTGAGAGCGGTTGCTTTCCGGTTGACATCGTGAGACCATGACATGAAGGCGAAATGGGGTTAGGCACGTCAATCAAGAGCCGACCGGCACGGCGAGAAGTGCCGAGAAAGATCTGCGCTCCATTAACTACAGTAAAGAGCGGTGATGCCTCTGGTTTCTCTCACTAGGCGAAAGATGCCCGTACTATGCAAATCGGAAACACCCGAGTTAGGATTTCAAATCCCGGATACCCCGGGCCGAGGGGGCGGCGTTCCACGACCCGGCCGCAGGCCGCTCCCCTTTTTCCTTGAGAGGAAAGCAACGCCAAGGGACTCTTGGGAGTGGGCGGGTAGTGTGGGCCGCGACGAGTCGCGGAAACTCGTGATTTGAGATGAGCTTGCCTTCGGTGTGAGGGACCATCCTGTCGGCCTCTGGGACTCACGGTGAGGGAGCGGCGTTGATCCCGACTGGGCTGGACTTGTCGACGTGCAATCCAAGAACAGGTCAAGCATTTTTTTCGTTTTGTTTTTCTTCCCACTGATCGCCCACACGTGTATACCTTTCGGGCAGGTCCAACAGGGAAGGGGAAGGGGGGGAAGATGAAGGGTTGAACGGCGTGCATGTTGCCCAAAGTGTCGAGTCCACAGAGAGAGAACCCCCGTTGACTTGGTTGACGTACATCTCGGGCAAATCTGCAAGAGGCTCGAGGGAGATTGGCTTTGTGAGGTTCACGACGGCTTGAGGAAGGGATCTGCATGTCCCGAAGGTGTCGGACAGTTTGATGAACAGAGAGGTTCACCATATTTGTGCAGCTGGGGCGGTGGCGCCCTTTGCCTTGGGAGACAGAACATCTTTTACATAGTAGACGGGCGGGAAATACGAGAAAGAGAAAGAGTGTAGGCAAGGGGCCCTGCCTGACATACTGTGTGGGAAGGAGGGCGAGCGAGCGAGCTGTGGTTCAGCTCTCGGCTGTTATCTGGGGGAGCATGGATGAGGCGGAGATGGGCGCGTGTAGCTGGGCAAGGCGAGTGGACGTTTCCCAGCAGAGGGAAACAAGGACCTAGTAGGGGAAAAAAGGGGGCGGGAAATGGGCAGCGTTGTTGGCTCCTTGGCCCCGTAGCTGGATGCTCAACTCTAATATCCAGTGTGGAGAGGACGCATGCAGCCTAGAGTGGCTTGCATAATTTAACCATGGGCGAGCATTTGGACTTTTATGCAGATGCGACGTGATTGTTCACGCCAAGGCCCGCCATGCACCGTTTCCCTCGTGGTGGTTGTCGGCCGGTTTCTTTATTCTCCCTTTGGGTTGTTCTTTGCGCAACGCTGCTAGCGTTGAACCGCTTGGTTCGCAATCTACGGTTGTATCCGTTTATATCTGGGGGAGGCGGAACCGAGGACACGTTCAAGACATTTGGCGGATAACCGATGAGGAATGGGGAATGTTTGTGCGAGGGCCGATGCCAGGCTGGTAGCAGCCTTGTTCTGTTTGCCGATGACTTTGAACAGCAGGCTCGAGTCTGAGACTCCGAGGGTTGTGTATGCACGACGACATCATCCACGGGGTTGGTCCAGACGCTGGAAGGGCCCCCAGTAATTATAGAAAGACATTTGGACTGGGCTCCGGTAGACCAGAACGGTGCGTTTCGAACTCGCCATGACTGGCCTAAGGTGAGGCGTCTGTTAGTCTAGCTGGCTGGCTGTTGGCCGCGAAAGTAGGCCGCCCGCCTCGGGGTATTTCCCCTCGAGAACGGGCCCTGCATCTGGCAGATGCAGGTGCATCGGCTGCGGACCATGCCCGAACCGGAGCAGCGTCGTCTTCTTCCCTCGGAGGGAGTACACCGTCATCTTCGACCCCCTTTTTTCCACCTCACTTCGAGCGATGGTTATCTTGGGGGTTGGACATCACTTGCAAGAGGCGCAAGTGCCGGGGCATGGCGGCAGGAGGGTAATGTATGGTTCAAGATTGCCGCCGAGGCGCCGGCGGTCAGCCACGAACAAGAGATCACACAAGGTAACATTGTGGGGAAGGTTTGAGAGACAAGCATGGCAACTATCGGTCTCGAGGCGTCTTGCCCCAATTGGACCAGCAGCCCGGCCGACTGTCAATGTCGTTTCATTTTGTTCTCTTCCTAATCCGTCGAGATCATCGCCGACATAATCAGCGTAGGGCGGGAGACGTTGCCGTCAAGAAAGAAACAAAGGCGTGCCCAATCTGCACCGAACCTTGTCTATGCAAGGAAGGCCCTTGGCTATGCAGACCAAGGCGTGTGCGCGGGCGCCGAAAATAAACTGTCATTCAGGAACGAACGGAACGGCAACGCTTATTCGTAGCGTAGTGTACGAATCAACCAGCCAAGATACGTACCGGCGGTTGCAACGAGATGTCTATGCTTCAGGTGGCTGACAACATCGCACCCGGACTGGACCAACGAGCACTGGCTGGACTCTGGACTCGACCGTACCGTGCAAGGTTCAGGCTCAGGCTCTTGCAATACTTGCTGGAGGTGCTGATATGGACGACTTCAGGTCTGTGGTCACCTGTTGTGGTGCTAAGGACGTAATGGACGGCCGGCCGAGGGACCATGGTCAGGTTCCTGGGCTGAACCAAAAGAAGGTTCCCTGGCAATAAGAACCAGATGGGATGGGGAGGGAAGAAGGGGTTCATCTCATTTTCTGGGCCTCTGGAGCTAATGTCGCTTAGCTAATTTCCCGGACGCACCAGTCGTGGCTTCCCAATGCGCCCCGCCCTCCTTGCAGGCCCCCCGCAACGTCGCCGATCCCTCCCCAATCAGTGGACATGCCGGTTCGGGTACCTTGCAGCTCCGCCTCTCTAGCCCTGCGCGCTCTCCCATCCTTCTTCCTCCACCACCGCTTTTTTTCTTGGTGTCTCCTTTCCCAATGGCCGCCCTCGTGTGGTGGCTGCAGCTCACCTCACACCTCACACCTCAGTCCCCTTTTCCCTCACTTATTCCATTCTGGTCTGCTCATCGTTGCTTCTTCTGTCTCGTTATTGGTCAATGCGGGAGCCTAGCCCCAGAATCCTTCTGTCGAACCACGCGCAGCAACGGCCCCGACGTTGCACAACAGCTTCTCTCTCCGTCCGTAATGGAGGGTTAATTTGCAGACTCCCACACTGTCTCTCCCAATCGCCTGTTCCCTCCTTCGCTCATTGAGACTTGCACCCAAAGACGCTTGTCCAGTGCCGACTCGTCAACTTTGGGGTCAATCAAACGCGCCCTCCGCACGGTGGATTCGGTTGGTCAAGGGACTAGATTCGGTCCCGTCTCTCTCGAATTTCCTCTGGTCTCTTGCCTATGCGTTTACGACGAACCCACTCGCCTCTTCCGTGTCTGGGCTGGATCTTCTTGGCCGTCCGTCCAACAAGGAAACCAAGTCCCCAGCTATGCTTAACCGGGATTGCCATCTCGCCTCCCTTTTCCTTGCCGCCCTCCATGGTCTTCAGCGAGGTGCTTCTCACCGTCTCATTAACTCGGCTGCCAGCGCAGCCCACATTGCGAGCCCGTATCTTGCTTATCCTCTGGTCCAAACCCCTGACCGAGTCCTTATGGATGGCAGTGTCTCCATTGGTATCATGTCAACCTCGACAGCTTCTTCTGCTTAGTCCACCATGATCAAGGTGTCCGTATGCTCCACGCTCCACTGGGCCTGCCCTGGAGCTCTGCTTCGTTCTGGCTCCTGACCCCTCTTCGTTCGGGTTCCTCAAACTTGTCTGTTGTGTGCCCTGCTGCCAAGCGCAGGGGCTTGCTGACTGCCAAGTCGCTGCTTGTACACGCCAAATATCCTCTTGGTCTGGACAAGAGGCCCTCGTCGTCACGCATGCTGGTCTGTCGCCCCCCCCCCCGCTTCCTTGTCCAGCAGAATTGAAATCCGCGAAAGAACCGGTGTCCGGTTGGTAAACAAGTGTCACCAGCACCGGGGATACACAACAAGACGCACACAGTCCCCCTCTTCCTCTGCAGTCCAGTGCTAGGTCATTGGACGCTAGGCAGTCCGTACTTTGCCCACTCATCCATCTATGGGTGGGCACACACACCGTCGCGCGCACACACCCCGGTCCAGGGCCCCAGGGACATGCTAGACTTCTCACGGTCGTACCCATGAACGTACGGATCCTAGCCTTCTACCTGATCTAACCACCATCATAATAATAACATCCCGGTCCCGCCTGTCTCTTTCATCCTCTTTCCCTCTCTCCTTTCCCTTCCTCACGAACACACCGTCAAATGAGTTGATGCCGTCAACGTAGTTTCGTCCTTCTTCGTCTCTACCTACACTCTTTCACTACCGCTTCACTCTTTTAGCGGGCACTCGCTTCCAAAACCGACACTATCGTCGATTAATACTCCAAAAAACCCCTCTAGAAAAGGCAACTTAATACACCATGAAGGGATCCATCCTCGCTGTCGCCGCCGTTGTTGGCGGTGTGAGCGCCGCTGCCCACCGTCACGCTCACGGTGAGCTGTTCAAGAGAGGCGCCGACCAGGCCTCCGTCTGTGTCCCCGGATGCACCACCATCTACACCACCATCTACGGCGAGCCTACGCGTATGTTTCTCACATCCTCTCACACTCCAGCTTCGTAGGATGCGAAAGGCTCTCATAAAAGGACCCGATGCTGGAGTGCTGCATGAATCGATCGTCGTGCTGACCTGACGATCAACAGTGGTTCCTCACCCCCCCACCAAGCCCAGCAGCAAGTCCGTCGCCGTCCCCTCGGCGCCCGCGACCACCAAGGTCCCGGAGAAGCCCACGTCCACCCAGAAGCCCGCCGTGGACCTGCCGACTCCCGTCCCTGAGCTCTGCCCGACCCCGGGTACCTACACCTTCCCGGCGACCACCATCACCGTCAGCCAGACCACCACCGTCTGCGCCCCTGAGACCACCAAGGTCCCGGCCGGCACTCACACCATCGGCGGTGTCACCACCATTGTCGAGAGCGCCACCACCGTCGTGTGCCCGTACGCCACCGAGAAAACCACGAACGGTGTCGTGACCAGCGTTGTCGAGACCACCACCTACGTCTGCCCCACTCCCGGCACTTACACAATCGCCCCCACGACCACCACCGTCACCGCCCCGACCACCTGCGTCTACCCCGTTGTGACTGAGGTCGTCCCCGGTACCTACACTCGCCCCGCCGTCGTCACCACCATCACCGAGACCAGCGTCGTCGTCGTCTGCCCCTTCACCAGCGAGGAGCCCAAGCCCACCAGCACTCCCGTTCCCACCACCCAGGCTCCCGTCCCTACGACCTCTGCTGTCGTGGTCCCCGCGCCTGTCCCCACGACCTCCGCCGTCGTGATCCCCGCGCCCGTCCCCACGACCTCCGCCGTCGTGACCCCTGAGCCTGTCCCTACCACGGCCAAGGCTTCCTCCGCGCCCGCCCCGTCCTCTGCCCCCGCCACCGGTGGCAGCCTCGGCGGTGACAACGGCGACCACTGGGCCATCACCTACACCCCCTACTCTGAGGATGCCTCCGGATCCTGCAAGTCCGCCGACCAAGTCGACTCTGACATCGCCTCCATCAAGAAGTCCGGCTTCCGCACCGTCCGCATCTACTCCACCGACTGCAGCACCCTCGAGAACGTCGGCTCCGCCTGCGAGAAGTACGGCCTCCAGATGATCATTGGCATCTTCGTCAAGGAGTCCTGCGACCCCAACTCGGCCGACATCAAGAGCCAGGTCGAGGCCATCACCAGCTGGAAGAAGTGGAACATGGTCGAGCTCGTCGTCATCGGCAACGAGTGTATCTTCCAGGGCCGCTGCGCCGCCTCCTCCCTGAAGCAGCTCATTGTCTCCACCAAGGCCACCATCTCCGCCGCCGGCTACACCGGTCCCTTCACCACCGCCGAGACCGTTGGCGTCTGGCAGCAGACGGACGTCATGTCCGAGATCTGCGATGTCATTGACGTCGTCGGTGGTCAGATCCACCCCTACTTCAACGCCGACACCGCCGCTTCTGATGCCGGTACCTTCGTCAAGGGCCAGATCGAGCTTCTCGAGAGCTCCAGCATCTGCGGCAACAAGCCCGCTTACAACCTTGAGTGCGGTTGGCCCTCGGGCGGTAGCTGCAACGGCAAGGCCTGCCCGGGTGTCTCTGAGCAAGCCGTCGCCATCGCCTCCATCAAGGAGCTCGCCGGTGGCAAGACCGTCTTCTTCTCCTTCCACAACGACCTGTGGAAGGCTCCCGGCACTTGCGAATGCGAGCAGTCCTGGGGTTGCGGTCAGCTCTTCATCTAAGCGGGGGACGAGCGAAGGGATCGCGATCAGAACACCATCCTCCAAACCCTGCGACGGTCAACGAAACGAAGCCTTTTTCACTCGACGTTCGTCATGACAAGAACAAGCGACGTTGGATACAAAAAGAAAGTCAACGGTGGAACATGAACGAAGAATTAAAGGCGCCCATGCCCCCCACACGCCCTTGACGAAACGACCTTGACGTTTCCTTCAAGTGTAAACAACGACAATACGGATACCCCCAGCCCAGCCTGTCCTAGCATTCATATATCTAGCTTACTTCTTTGTATATATACATGTCCTGGTTGGCGTTTGTCGAAGAGCCTCCAAAAGGCTTTTTCTCGGTTGTATAAACACTTTGGATCTCGGAAACGCCGTTAGGGCGCGTGCCGCAGCAGCAGCAACAGCTTCTCTCGGTGCCAGAAACCTGCCAAATATTTCATGTGTCATCTTGCTGAAAACAAATTCATCACGTCCTCGAGCCCGAGGAGAACTCGCACACTCATGGTGTCGTAATTCTAGTGTCTTGTCATGAACGCCGTGAGCGCGAAGCCTCGAATCCCACATGCATGCCCAGGAAAGTCGTGTAGATCCCACCACGTCCGTGTGGTGATCCTCGCGCAGAAAAAGGTCCAAAATCTCCAGGTTTGAATGAGCTTAATCCGACCGCTCCGTCGATACTGCCACGTCCGTCCGTTCCTCTGTCCTCCCTTACCCCAGGGGTCCCAGGCGTCGCGGGGAGAGCAGCAGCAAAAGGTGTGCGGCGCTTCCTTTCAACTGAACCCCTGGTCCGTGAGCCCCAGCCCGAATGAACGATATCCGAGCCCGTTTATTACCCTCCTAACTGGACTACCCAGTCCGAGGTAAGCCGCCTACCATTCCCAATGTTTCGTTTCAGGTGACTCGTACAGAGGCAACCCCCCCCCCCCCCCCCCCTCGCAACATCCATCGAGATGCAACCCTACGAACACATGATCGTGGAATCCCGATGGCCGCAATTTTACCTACTCGACTCATCTCAAGGCCGCGACGCTTACCATGTCGGGTTGGGCATCACGTCACACACCGGGACGACGGCCACTCTGTGGAAGGAGGGGAGGACGAGCAGGCAGAGGCGATCAAGTCGCGGCCAGGAGACACGCAACCCTTTGAAGGGGAGAAAACACAGAATGGCACTGACGAGTTGATGGGCTCCGGTCTTCATGTGAAATGGAATTCGTCTCGTCTTTTCGAATATGTACCCCAACAGATTACCCCTCCTGAACCATCCCCCCCCTAATATGCCACATCACCAAATGCGATCCGGTAAATGCGAAGCCAGGATGCAGTCTCGTCAAAGATCCAGAGCCGTCCGTCGTAAGATGAATCGTAACCACATGCCCCCCCCTCCCCCCCATCAAACCGTGGTGTTTGACCCAGATTCGTGCCAACATGCCGTCAGAAGTGATTCCTATCATCGATTGCCCTCATATATCCAAAGTATAGAATAAATAAAGATAGCACACCAAAACTAGATAAATAAAGTTAATGGAAACCTTTCGTTCGACGGAGACCACGGACACCATATTCCCAATGCCCATTCCATAACGTCGTTAAGTTCCATGCAGAATGAGCAGTACCACGCTGTGCTAGTTGAAAAGTAAGAAAGAAAGAAAAAATGCTCTTGAAGCAAACATGGGTTCGGCCACCTCCTTTTTCCATTGGCCAACGCTCCAGAGCACTGGGCCGGTTTATATATCGATTGTATGTCGAGAAGAGCAGGGCAGATCGGCAGAAACAGAATCAGGGGTTGCCACTTCGTCGTGACTGAGCATAAATACCGTGGTAATGTGCTCTTGAACGCCAAAACGCCAATACCAAAGACCAGACCAGATCGGACCGTCGTTGCTCCTAGCCAAATAGCACTGCGAGCCTGGACAGGCGGTTGTATATCGCGGGGTATCATGTACTTCAGAAAGGCTCCAGGTCATCAAAGCAGGCGGTGGTTCTTTCTCGTCGAGCCTTCATCTTCGGTCCAGGCACCTCTGTGTCAGCCAGAATGCCGTTTTGGTTGGACCTCCACCAGGGATCCAATGGTGTCGCTTGGTGCGCATACTCAGAGTCGGCGCCGTAGCCCACGTCGCAACGCTCCAGCTGGACCAATCCTCCACGGGTCCGGTCCATGCAAAGAATGTTGAGATCTTGACCGTCGTTTGTGAATTCGACACCTCCGATCTCTCCAAAGATATCGAACGTTTGCTTGTGGGCAAGAGTTTGTATGTCAATGATGTTGACATAGTCGGCTTCTTCAGCCGCGACGAGAACTTGGGGCCCACTGCCTGTGGGAGAGAATCGCAGACTGCGAACACCTGCCATCTCGGATCGAATGGTGGTGAGTGGTTTGCTGGTACCATCCGAGTTGGTCCACATTCGTGCGTCCCATAGCTTTACACTCATGTCCTGGAAGCCCGTTGCGACTGTCCAGCCGTTATCTGACCAGTCGCAGGCGAAACCGAAATCTCTATGACCTCCCAGCTCTTGCAGTATCTCGCCAGTGTCGGCGCTGGCAATGAGGACGTTGTAGTTATCGCCGACCATCACTCGCAAGCGGCGATCGGCTGACAGGGCGGAACAGTTGATGGGGCAGCCATACTGCGTGTCGAGGATGAACTTTTCCGTGGCAACATCCATAATACGGAAGCCCTGGTCATTGGACGCGAATGCCGCTAGCGGTGCCGATGAGTTCCTCGATTGGTGAATCTGCAAGTGGTTGGTGATACCACTGACGTGGTTGGTGATTTGGCCTTCAGTGTACTTCTTGTCCTGGCTATAAATGTTTCGCATGCAGTACTCTCCGTTGAAGGTGCCTGCGATGAGAACGCCGCAGCTGGCATCCAAAGTCGATATCTGTACCCCAAACATGTCGTTGAGATCCATGGCTACTTCACTCTCGCCAGATACAGGGTTGATCTGGTGCACGGCTCCCAGGCCAGGGTAGAAGGCGTGGCTCCGTCCTGCGCATGCCAAAATGTTGCGCAGCTGGAAATGGGCCAAGTGAACATTTTGACGAATGTCCATACGGCGGAACCTGAAGAAGTCTTCTGTGTTCCGAATGATCCTGTCGGGTAGATGGGGCTGCGATACTTGTGTCAGCACGGCGGCGACACCTGAATTCTCGAGTGGGTGACTTACGGCCCAGATGTCTGAGTCTGTCCTGTTAGTGTAGTTCTTGTAGTCCAGGCTTCGACGTTCACGGGCGTTCTTCCGCGTGACTCCTAAGTCCTCCCAATCGATACCTTGCGCATCACACCGGTTGCCCTGGAGTTCCGAGTACCGCACTCGCGTGATCTGCCGTGCGGCCTGCTCGTTGATCTGGCGAATACCAGGACTGGGGCCACGAGACTGGTAACGGTTGCGCCAGGCCCAGTCTTTGAGGAAGTCGGCCAATCCCGGGTTTTCTGGGCCAAGGGTACTGGAAATAGGGTTACTGCCGGCTGGAGGACCAGTTGCTTGCCATGCCGCCTCTTCCTCGTCGACAGTGACGCTTTGGAATTGCTGGAGTTGTTCGGCGACGCTGGGATAAAACACATCATCGTCGTCATCCTCCTCCATGTTCCCGGCATGCAGCATGGGGTGGAAAGGAGTAGTGTCGAGGGGGGTGGGATGTTGGGGTCCTGCCGGATCCAGAAAGCCATGCCCGGCGGCAAGCGGTATGCTCCAGTAGTTCACCATATGGGCAGGCGGCTCGCTCGATGCGTGGTGATGCTCCTGTGCCGGGTGAGAGGGCTGATCGCCATGAAGGGCCCCAGGGTAGGGATCGGGAGGATTCATGTTGGTCTCAGGGTCGGGCATGGGCGAGAGAAGGCTGGTAACCGTCATGACGTGGTCCAAAGGGGCGCCTCCGTCGCTGTCGCTCATGTCCAGGTCGTCATCGTCGTCCTCGGCATCGTCGGTGTCCTCGTCGTCGTCGTAGTCTTCGTAGTCGTCGTAATCGTCGTGGGTAAATGAGCCGGGTTCATGATAGTAGGATGACGGTATCACGGGGAAGGTCTGATGGTAGGAGGAGAACGAAGGCTGGCCAAGGTTTGCGCCGCCCTGCGTCGATGGTTCATGGGACTGCTGTTGCTGAGTGGGTTCGCGATGGTGATGGTATTGTGTGTGTTGATCATGGTGAGCATCGGGAGGCGGGGCCGACGCGAACCCTTGGTGATGGCTCGAGGGAGCGGGAGCCGCTTGAACCTGAGCCTGGGAAGGCTGGGTTTCCGAAGTTCTAGGGCGCATTTTGCTCTCTTCAAGTGTATGCCGTGGCCAGTGGCGACCGAGTGAGGAACATCGAGGTTCGCGGCACAACGAAGAGCAGCACCCGTCGTCGGGTCGGATAGATGCGTCTTCTTCTGGGGTCGGAGTGCGGTTGCGGAGGGGAGGTGACGATGGTTTCCCCTCAGGTCCGGGTTCTCTCCAGGACAGGGCGGTCGGTGTCGCTGACCAAACGCCAGGCTTCCGTGGATCGAGGATCCGTTTGTCGTTCCTCCTTGTTCGAGTCAAACGCACTAGCCGCAACGTAAAATGGCGCCGATGACGACCGGTGTGTGCACCGTCTTTGTTGTCGGCAGCAACGGTCAGGTTCCCAGGCTAGCGAGAGTCGAGTGGGTGATGGGCAACGATCCGAAGCCGGTGTGTCAGCGACTCAGTCGTGTACGGATACTTGAAGTTTATGTGGCAGAATGCGTCGTCGAGTGTATGGTCGTCGGAGCGAACGGACAGAAAGGATGAGGTTGCTGACGCTGAAAGTTTGGGACTGGAGCTGGGGCTGGGAATGCGGTCAGGCGTCGGTAGAGTCAGCCAGATCGAGTCCAGCGGATGGGTGGTGTTGTAGCAGGGCGGGAACGGGAATGGGACCCGAGCGGGATGTCTTTCGCTGGGATCCAAGAACGAGGACAAACCCAAGCAAGCTTGCCTGTCTGTCTAGCATTTGCACCTTAGGTTATGGGGGCGTTGGCGCCGGTGCTGGGGTCGGAGGCAAGGCGCGCCAACCAAATCGAGCAACCGCTCAGCGCAGCACAGTACAGCACACCGCAGTGAGGCGATCTGGTGGTTGAGTTTCACTTCCCAGGGCAACATGGGTGATGCGAGGGCGAGAAGGGCAGAGGAGCGGGGGACTTGTGGCCTGGCAAGTTACATCGGTACGCCAGCATATCGCATACGATTCCATGTACCCTGAATGACACCAAAGTCCATTATTCCTTCGCACCCCAAGGCACCCATCCTAGGGGGGTGCTGTGACAGGGTCTGATCCTCAGCTCTGCTGAAAGTTAGATTACTCGATGCCGGGGAGAAAACCAGAACACCCGCCCTTGCCTATGGATTTGCAGGCTGGAAGCTGCCTCAGTCAAGGGCATCACATCTTGGCCACCGCCTGTCTGTCCATCCAACCGCCTAGTCTCTGATTTGGGAGCGCTCGCGATGTGCTGCTCTGAACACACAACACATGGCCAGCAGCCCCTACCCCAGCTTCGACTTTACGGACAACATCCGTCAACCACACCATGGGCAAAGTCACGACGAAATGATTGCATCCAGATACGGCTAGCGAAGCGGCACCACTCAGTCGCAACAATGAGGTGTGGGACGGGCCACCGACGACCGGCACCTCCACCATGATGCCGGGGCATGTCCCCTTGAGCCAGCCAACACGTTCCACCAACCCGTCGATCCCGACCTCAACCTCGACCTCGGCCTCGTCACCTGTTTTCTTTCTGCACAAAGATACAAAGAGGGAATGCGATGATGGGAAACGGCCACCACTTGGGTTGCGCTCGGGATGGGCTCCACGGTGATTCCATGGGGACGCCACCTCCAATATCATATGCATGGCTGACTCTGACGAGGGAATATGGTGTGCTAGGCTGAGCCCCAAAGGAACAAGACTCCCATACAGAGAGAGTGCCTTCGATCTTTGCCGCATCAAGCTCAACAGAATACCCAGCCCCAAATAAAAAACAAAATAAAAAAATACCCAAGAGCAGCAGCTGCAGCATCTGGACATCCCTACCCGCCCTTGATGGGAGCTCCTAACCTGCTTGTCTGGCCTGGGCCTGGACCTGGGCCTGCCTGCCACCTTATGTCGCACAAGAAGCATTCTTCCTGGCGCTCAATTCAAGGGATTACCTACGACAAAGCAAGTCGCCACAAATAGAAAAATAAGGGGGCGCTGGCTCCCGCATGGGAGTGTGCCTGTCTGTCTCTCTATCCATTTGTATCGCCTCGATACGAATACAGTTCCGTCACGTTGCCGAGTGCACACCTGGCACTATCCCTCCCCAGGTCGCTCGCTACCATTCTCCGTCCGTGGGCCTGCCTCGCTTCTTTCGACATACGCTGACGTCACTGCCTAGGTGCCGTTGTGGCGGGTTGACAATGCCTTTCAACGGCCTCGCCCAAACTGACTCTTGCACCGCACTAGTTTGGTCATGAGCAGACGCAAAGAAGCTGTCCAACCTCAACGTCGGTGTCCTGGCTTGCTTCTAGTGCGCGAATAAACTGTCGATCTGCTGCAAGCCTACACGACACCGCACGTCGTCGTCCTCCGAAATCCAATCAACCACACCTCGCAACCAATCCTGCCTTTTGCCCTTGCGAAAGGATCCTCGGCCGGCTCTTCTCGTGTTCAGCCTCTCGTGGAAATATCTCTATGCCATGCGTCCTTCATTCCCCCTCGGATACGGGTTCTCGATGAGCAACGCGCTTGCAATGCCCCGCGGAATCTGCATACCTACTCGCGCAGCTGTATGACCTGTCATTCGGTCACATCTCTGGCCATGGCCATCCCTGATTTCCAGCCCACTCATGTAAGTGGTTGGATTAGGAAATATCCTTCCCACTCTACCCTGGCTGGGCCAGGCTGGAGAAGAGAGGAGATGCTCACCGACTGCCACCTGGCACCAACAAAATCATGCAGGGCTTTTCACACTTTGGCTCGTCGCCCGGTACGCCCGTTGCGGCCGAAGACACTGGCGTTCCTGTTCCTCGCGGCTGTCGTTGCTTACTGTCACAACCACTCCCATCTGACCCGGAGATTTTTTTTTTATCGCATCTTCCAGCCATCCCATTCGTCGGACGAACCTATAGGAGCTGACATAAACACAGACCACGGCACCTTCCCCTAGAATCTGACCAACTATGCAACCTCATATTTGACCAAGAAGCCGTACATCAACGTACCGAAAGGAGTGCCGGCTGCGTCCGAATCCCTGAAGCCGCCTGCTGGCCGTCATCCGTCGGTGCCCACCCCCAACCACGCCCGCGTGACTAGAGGCCGGTTAAGGTGATAAATCACATTCGACAGCATGCGGTCCCCGAGTTTCAACCACCCAATGCTAACCCGTTTCCTCCATGGCTCCGGTCCTCAGCTCCGCACACCTTTGCTTTTTGTGCCCTCAGACTTTGCTCCCAATTTCTGCCTCCCCGGCCCCTTGCCGAATACGCAGGGACTCGGGAGCACGACAGGGAAAAGACGGTGTTGGCATCTTTGACACTGTACAGCCCGGCTATGCGCTCTACTGAGTGGCCTTGGTCGCCATCGGTTTGATCTTCAGCAAACGGGGCCAGCCAGCATCAGAAGAACTGAGAAAATTGGAGCGGCGGGATCGCAGTATATTGACCAGCGAGGCCAGCCGGTAACCGTTGAAGATACAAAGATCCCTCGAAAGCAAGTTTTGGCCAAAACAGGAGCCTTGCCAACTAGGGCGACGGCACGTTGCTTTCCCCTGTGTCACTGACTCCCAGTTCCAGAGTCAACCCTGGCGACGAGGATGAATCGCACATCATCGAGGCCCAGTCGGCCGATTCAGTCGCTCGTTGCGATTCACCTCCAGTCTCAAAAACCATAACCTCGAGACAAATTTTCCTGAACAGACCGAGGGTGCGGGTAGCCCAGCTTCTAGAAACCAGAGAACCGCGACCAACCGGGCCATCCAAGCTGGTGGCGCTGCGTTTCGGGTAGCAGCATTTGGCCGACCCATGACCAGGCCGGATATGAAGAGAGTGAGGGCGAGAGAGAGAAAAAAAAAAAAAAAAAAAGAAACCACTGAAAGAAGGGACCCAGTCGGCCTGCAGTCCCGCTGTGAAACTTGGCGGGCGCGATGGCCGTGCGGCAAATTGTCAATCACCCACCTCAGTTCCCCTTTGGTTTCGAGGCTGCCATGGCAGGCGCTTTTCAAAGACTGCAAGGCGAATGAGAATACGGTCGACAAGACATTGCATCGCAAGGCAGGCAAGCTGCAAAGGGCCACGGGAATAGGCGAAATGGCTGTGTCTCGGCTACCTGCAGTGCTGCTATTGTGCGCTCTCTCCCTCTCCCTCTTTTCCCTTCTCCTTTCCCTTCGCAGTCTCTGTGTGTCTCTGGTATTATCACGTCGCCTCCTTCTTTTCCCCTCACATACACACATACTCTCTCTCCCTCTCTCTCTCTCGCGTCCCTGTGGCCTGCCCTTCCTGCTTGAGATGTCCGGTTCTCCACAACCTCACCGGTCCGCCGGATCGCGTCTCCCCCCGTGCAATAAGATCCGTCCCGCTCCCCACCCCCTCTTTCCTCGCCCCTTATCCGTTTGTCCCGAAGCGAGTGGCAGTCTGGAGAAGGTTGATCTTGACCTACTGCTTTTCCTCGGCGGGGCCATGGGCGGTCGAGACGGGAGGAGGAAAGCTGGACGACCACCAATCCCGCGGCCGGATTCCTGAACAATGACAGAAACGGTGTAAAGAGGGAAACCGAGCCGTCATCGAGACAGGTTTCCTGTCCTTTCCCCCGTATGTCCATCTCTCTCCAAGCCCATCCCGCTTCCTCCCTCCCCTTCAAGCCGCCGCCTCGTGCCTCGTTGAAAAACCCTGTCAATCACAGTCCCCCAGTGTGGTTGCACAGAGGCCGCCCGACCCAGCAACCCGACATTGCTTCTTTTTCTCCCCGAACGTGTCCATGTCGCGGGCGGGTGTGTGGGTGTGTGTGTGGGTGGTTCGCGCAGGTAGTCGCGCAGGCATGCATGCGTGTACGTCTCGAGTGATATTTTTCTCCTTCCTTTCTTTCTTTCTCTCTCTTTCGAGACCCGATTAGGGCCAGGGAAACAATACCAAGACCGATTTGCCAAACCCCAATGCCCCGTTCAAGCAGCCCTGCCTCCCCCCCCCCCCTAGTCGAACGCCTGCACGCGGCCCAGTCGACATCCGAAACAAGCGGCGATCCATTCGTCGCCTCTGGCCGACAAACGGGTTCGGCGCTCTCGACCCGGTGCCGCTGAGGCAGAAAGGGGGAAGGAGGGGCGGGAGGTTAGAGATGCGAGGGTTCTTTCAAAAACACACGAGGCCCCGGGTGGGCGGAGATGTCAGTGACCACCAACCCTTCGGCCGAGAAGGGATCGCTGGGCAGAGGCAGTTGCTTTTTGTGACGGCGTTCGGCCGCGACGATTGGATGGACGGCAATGAGGTTGGTTTTACTAGGCAATACCACTATGATGGATGAATCGGTAGCGTTCCAGGATATGTACAATGCTGGAAAAGTACACGTTCTCTCTCTCTCTCACTCAATACACACAAAGCGCTCGCCGCCCAGTGCCAGGTTCAACAATCCATGCGAGGCCAATCATGAAGCCAATGTACACAATATCCGCCCTCATCGAGAGACAAACCATGCAAGCCTGGGGGTGTGAGCAAATAATTGGAAAACAATAATCAAGTTGCGGCAAAAACACTGCGTCGTCGACACGTTCCACCTCGCGACTTCTCCTCCCATTATTACAAGTGTCGAGCCTCGACTTTGGGCAAGCCCACCTCCTCCTTTTTATTCATTCATCAGAGAGAAAAACTAGGCCCCAAAAATAGCGCCTTTCGTATAAACCCGTTGTACCCTTATGCATCAAACAAGAACGCCCGGCCGTGTGATTCCTCTTTATGCGTCAGGGAAGTACTCGTCGTTGTACTGGTGACCCGGGGGCACCGACCAGCTGTTGCCCCCGCCGACGACGTTCTCCTTGGAGCCCCAGTAGTTGGTGCGCGTCCGGCGTTCGCGCTCGAACTCGGCCCATCGTTTCATGGTGATCTTGCTACTGTCGAACTCGCCCTCGTACTCGAGACCAGCCTTCTTCGTCTTCTCGCCTGCCGTTTTTCTGGTATCACCCCACGAGAAGTCGTCAAACTTCCAGAACGCGTACGTGGGAAGGACAAAGTTCCAGATGGGGAGTGAACATAGGTAGATCAGCATCCACAAGACGTAGGTCCAGGAGTGAGCAGTCAAAACGATGAGCACGGCGGGAAGACCAAGGATGAGAGCCAGCAGAACCAGGGGGATAATCTGCACAGGCTGGCGGACGATGGATATAATGACTGCGAGGCCCGTTAGCTGAGCTCCGGCAACTTCACTTGCGACAATTTACTTACCGACGTAGAAGGTGAAGGCAATGGCGGCGGGTAGGACAAGGGTTCCCATAAGCTCAATGAACACGACGAACTGCATGCTGAAGCAGAAAGTACCGCAGAGATCACGGACCAAGACCAGTTCCATCAAGTTATGGATAGTCGAGTTGATCCAGCGGCGACGCTGCGAAAGCAAAACGGCAAAGGTGTCGGGCACAGTAGTTTTGCAGACGGCCTGCGGAACAAAGACCTGCTTACGCTTGGGGAAGGTGCGGAGCATGAGCGTTGTCAGGTATCGGTCCTCACCGAGCAACAGAAGGTTCTTCTTGTGCAAAGTATCCACGACGTTTTCGGAGTAGTGCTCGACAATATCCGGGTTGGCCAAAATGGGAACCCAGTAGTCCTGAGCTCCCTTAGGCGCCTTTATACGGTACATGCAGAAACAACCGGGCAAACAGGTGACACCGCCAAAGACGGACTCGAAGGACTTGGCCAGGTGGTGAGAGATGAAATACTCGAAGACTTGGATGGCGGTCACCCAGCTGTCGCGCTTGTTGGCAATCTTGGTCTCGCCGCAAAGACCCATGATTTCGGGGTCCTTGACCATGGCAGAGACCATGTGCGTCAGACTGTCAGGGAAGACCTTGGTATCGGCATCGACCATGAGCACGATTTCGTAGAAGTCGGGCGATATGCCGGTGACCTTCCAGAGACCATTGAACATTTCATACTCGAGCTCCGTCATACGCTCATCGAACATGACCTTCTGGAGGAAGGACATGAGAATGATCTGACTGTCACGCTTTCCACGGTTACCAGGCTTCGACTTGGTTGCCTCATCCGGCGTGCCACACTTGACCACGAGCAGAACAGGGACCCTCTGCTGCTTCTCGAGGGGAATGGCGGACTTGGCGCCGTAGTCATAGAAACCAGAGTAGACCTTTGCCATGTTGTGTCGCTTGGAGCCGCTAGCGACTGCCACATACGAGAACGGCTCGACTTCCTCGGGGAGGATGGTGTGGTCCTTCATCATTGCCAAGCAGTAATCCGGGGTGGACATCGTTTCGCCCTTGCCCTTGATGATACCGTCGCAGATAATGACGATGACCTTGTGGCTGTTGGGGTAGTCGGTCATGGCGATGGAATCGAGCGTGGTCCGGATACCAAGCTCACCTTCAGAGTAAGCGGTAACCAGGCACATTGTGTGGGCAAGCGGGAACCCAAACGGCATCCAGTCGGCAGGCGGTTGAGGGACAACGGCCTCGTGAATGAAGCCGGCCGGTCCAGGACCCTCGGTTGGACTGGCATTGCTTGTGTAAGGATCCGAGCGAAGGAAGCTGGTCCGGCTGTCGTTGCCCTGGCGATACATGTTATTGGGATGCAGCATGTTGCTGCCGGCACCTGAACTGGCCATGGTGGTGGGCATTCGCTTTCCACCAACATGCGGCGCTCCGCCCGCTCCGTAAACAGCAGAGAAACGAGAAGTCGTAGGCAGGAAGGAGCTTTGGCGCTTGCTGGTGCGGTCAGAAGAGCCGTTGACACTGCTTCCAATATCACCAGGCAGCCTGGGAGGTGCCCGGTAGATGTCCTCAGACCAGTCCTCAATTTGACGGGCGCGTTTACGCTTGTCTCCGCTCTGAGACGTTTTGGATGCAGCGTACGTTCGGCTGATGAACCATTGGAAAATGACGGCGAGGAAGAATCTCGTCGCGACGACGGCCAAAATAAGGACGAGAGAGCAGTAAAGGACGACCTGCGAAGCGATGCAGCCGACAGTGTCAGTGTCGACCGAGCCGACCTTGATGATCTCCTCGAAGCACTCGGCGATCTGCTTATCTGTTGAACTCTGGAAGGCTCTGGTTACGTCGCGTCCACGAATGGCCTTGTTGGTGGCCGAGTTCTTATCCTTGAGCTCGTTGAAGCGATCGGGCACCTTTACCTGGGTCGTGTTGAACCAGTCGAGCAGGTCAAGATCCAACACCGTGCCCGAGTAAACAATGAGGTTGCGGGAGCTGTTCTTGATGTCGTTCCAGGAGAAGTAGACGTCAGCGGCGCCGTGCAAGTCCAGGTAGAACGTGTCGCGAGCCTTGCGCGTGGTGTGGCAGGCCCATCCAAGATAGTAAGGAATCGTCAGGTTGGGCTTTGAGGACCCGTCCTGGTTGAAGACCGTGCAAGGGAAGTACCATGCCAGATCACCGCTGCTGTCCGTCGGGACATCCGAGTTGTCGGCGAGCGTGATGAGGTTCTTGCACCGGCCGTTGACGTTTTGGAACAGGAAACTGCCGTCCTTTCCGCCGTTCTTCTCAGGCAAGTCGTACAAGACGTTAGCTCCATGAGTCCTATTGATCATGGGGACACCGTCAGCTGGGGGGTGACGAGAGCCAGACAGGTCGTAGGCGGTTCCGTGGAAAATCATGTATCCTCCAGACACCTCGTTAACCCGGAGACGAAGCGGAGGCGTTCCGCAAACCACTTGAGTGAAGCCGAATGTGATGAAACCAACGAAACCCATGATGAGCAGGATGATGCTGATCAGACCCATCTTCTCCCTCCAAGCTCGCTGTTGGGCCTTGGACGCCATGCCGCAGCACTTCAGCATGAAGTTGGGCATCCAGAACGTAATGATTGCGCAGTAGACGTTCCAGAAACTCGGCGGGCGAATCTGTTCGACCTGCTGCTTCCGCTTACTATCCTTGGTGAGCTTGCCGGACTTGTGACGGCTCAAGCGTTTCGTCTTGGTTCGAGTCGGGCCCGTCTTCTCTTCTCCGCTGTTTTGCCTGCTGCTGATTCCTCGCGGTGGTGAGGCGTCCGAGTAGTTGTCGTTCGTCTGCGAGCGCCCAGACACATCCGTGGTGCCCTCCATGTCCTCGACTATCGGATCGTTTCCGGTAGCCGAGGGCAGAACATTCATATTGGTGGCATGCTGGCGGTAGTAATAGTTGGGGTGGTCCTTGTCGATTCGGCGTCGCTCTGGTCGGATCAAGCTTCTCTTTCTCTGAAAGGGTTCGTCGGCGGCCGAGGGTCCTGCAGCGGGCGAATCGTAGGTCGGGGATAGAGGTTGGTTCTCTGTGTTGATATTAGGAGACGGGATCGTCTCGGGGAAGGAGGTGGCAGATTGCCCACGTTGGTGTTGAGGTCGCCCTCCTACGGGAGAATAACCGTCGGCGTCGACATCGCCAGGACGGGTCCGTCGCGATGGCGAGTTTTTGTAGGTTTTTCTGTTCTCGAAGGGAGAGCTCGCTCCGGGTCGTTCGGGGAGAGACATGGTCCTGAGAGGAGTTGCACGTTAGCCTTGGTTCGATGCGAGTTGAAGCGTGCGCCCAGCGACAGCACTGCAATACGGAGTCGGGAGGAGAGGAGGGAGACTTCACCCTTTCCGAAGCGGAGCAGCTTTGCTATGTCGCGAATGAAAACAAGCGACAGACAACCTCGGGCTCGGTTCGGAAGGGGAGGGAGGTTCAAAGCAAGATGCTGAAAGATGGGGAAATGCCGATGTTGGGGGTGGAAGTGAAGTCAAGAAACCACAACAGCAGCGAAAAGACGACGGGCTGTTGCAGGTCGTTTGGCAGGAGGCCATACTCACAAGAGTTGTTATTGGGAGGAAAGCACCTCCAGGATGGATTTGTGGATTGTGCAGGCGTGCGCACCCCTGTTGACACGGGGGTTGTTCCTTGGGAGACCGCGAATCAATGGGGAAGCCGTCCCTTTTCCGACCTGGCTTTTCTGCGTTTCTGCACCAGCGAATCCACGTCGGGCGCAGGCGTGACAACAAGGCAAGCAGGGAAGTTGCCAGCAAAACGGCTCTACTCTCTTGCTCTCTTCGAGCACGGAAAGACTGCGACTCGTTGCTTGCTTCCCTGTGCTTGCGCGATGCCGCAACTCAAAAAATACCCCGGGATAGTCGTGGAAAATCCCAGTCTGGGTGTCTAAACTTTGGTCGAGACCACAAGCGATGAACCGGCCAACGAGCGTTGCTGTGTCTTTTTTTACTTTCACGTTGTTGATCCCGTCTTTTCCCCTCGTCTTCGTCTTCCTGACACCCGTCTGTTTGTCGCTTCCGCGTACCTTGCCTGGGCAGATACGCACGGCTTATGCGCTCCCAGTTGGTTCCCTGCACAACTTGGGACCAGGGTGCCGCGAGTCGTCTCAAAGGAATACCGATGAGTCGATGCGAGACGATATGCAAACTGAATTGAGACGAATTCGTACGGACGAGTAGGACGGATGAAAGTCGCAGCGCAGGTGCAGGCAGCCAGGTTTCAAATGACGCCGAAAACGGCGGTGGAGTGAGAATCGTAGTCAACAACGAGGCAAGGCAAAGGTAGTCTGGGAACCGCCCGAATGTTTCGATGTCGGATATGCTTGGGCTAATTGTGCGCGAACTGGCCGGGGGAGGGGGATTGAGGTGGCAAGGAAAAGCAAGGCGAGGCGAGTGCACCACCGGTTGAGTGAGCGATGGATGTGTTGACGATTGAGCGGGGGGACTGATGCGATCGTGCGCACAGCCTGTTTGTTCTTCTCGGAAGCGAATGTGTTGGAGCGGCTCGTCCTCGGGCAGTCTGTCGTTCTTCGTCCGTTGTGGCCACTGACTGACGCCGCCTCAATCTGCAATGGTGAGTGTGCAAGGCACTGAGCAAGAGCAGGTCAATCACCGGTTGGGAATGGCGCCAAGACGTCGACTTTGTAGAGACGAGATGAGCGACAAGAAATGAGAGTCGGTCGGTTCTCGTGAAAGCCAAGAAGACGAAAAGCAAACGACAGGTGGGAAGAAGAAACGAGAGATTGCACCGCGGAAAGGGTCGAGGTGTTGAGGGGCGACCGGCTACGTGCACTTTGCTTTCCTTGGGTTCCTTGGTAGGGAGGGGATGGGCGATGAGGATGGGCACAGAGAATTATTGCTTTGGGACAGTCCCAAAGCGAGAGATGCAGGAAAGGGGAAAGAGAGTCCGGCGTTGGAACCGTCTGACTTACTACCTAGCCTCCTCTCTACCTTCGCTACAGGGCGGACTGTTGGTACTCCTTCCCAGGAAGGGAGAGACAGCCCAGAAGAGGTACCGTGCCGTCATGTCGCGCCGACCGTCCCATTCCCATTTCCATTCCAAACCGCCACAGGTCAGCACCCTCGCCTCATTCATTCTCGTATTATTGGTTTCCGACGGTTGCCTTGCATTGCTGCGTTGCCGGCCGGATCCCCTTTCGTCGATGCTACCTACGTACGGGGTTTCCGCGCCTTTGGAGTACTGCCTGATTCAACCAGTCCTCCGTCCGCCTCTGCCGCCCATCTCCTTCGGGCGACGCAGAGTATGAAGTCAGGACTCCAGTACCGGCTCGTCGCGACCATTGGCGACACGAGAAATTGGTTCGACCGCCTTCGATCGGGGATGAAAAGAAGGCTAAGAATAAAGTAGGCTCGACCTGATCGGTACCTCAGCTAAGGAACAGGGGGCGACTCGTGTGGGAGACTCAGTGAGCTAAGCTCCGCCCATGGATCCACAGCAAAGTATCACCAAGGCAAGCCTGCCCTCGTCTGCTCCTCCTGGAGAGCCTGGAGAGTGTAGGTACTTTGTACGCGCTCCGGTAACCGAAACGTTGCTCTGGCAAGCGAATGACCGCCTTCGCCCATGGCATAGGCCCCCACGCCCTCGCCTGTTTCATGCCATTTCCTCTTCTTGCAGAGACAAAAACATGGACGTGACTCTGCCACTTCCTGCTCCGTCGCCAACTACGGTAGCCTTCCCACTATGCAATTCAAGTCGTCATGCAAAAAAGGTAGTGTACGACGACAGATTTGGAGACCGCCTGTATACGAACGATGGGCACACCCACCCACTCGTGACCCAGGGTATTGACTGGGCTCGCGCTCGTACCTTACCCACCACACCCACGTACTACGTAGTAGTCTAAACCGGATCAGCATGCAGGACCAGGGTTGCTATTTTGAAAGCTCAAGCCCCTGTTGCCTAGCCGACCAGCCGCCCCCCGAGGCATTCGAAATGTCCACCACGCCAGAAAGAGAGTTTGTCTCTGCTTACCTGCATCTTGCACCTTGGCCATGCACCTGTGCCTGCGGCTGCGGCTGGCCTTGGGAGCCTGCTCCTATTACTGGCCTGCGCTGTGTTGAATGGCGCCGGGGCTTACGAGTGGGACAAGTTGCAGGAGGGAAGAGGCTACAACCGCAAGAAGAAAGTATTTGAGTGGTATTTCGGCCCTTAGCAAGCCTGTCCAGTACAGATACCTTGGGTAGGTTGTGTAGGGTCGGCGACCCCAGTCCGGCACAACTCATTACCTCGTGCTTCCAACCATTGCTGTCGTTGGCTGTACGCCGGCGCTGGCAGGGGAGGCATTCGTTCTCGGCTGTCATGGACTTCACGCAGCGCAACCTTCGGACTACAGGTATATCGACCACTGTCATGGCTCCATGCGGATATAGCCCCTTTCCTGTACACGAGCACTTGAACGCGGAGGGTCTTGCATTCTCCAGGTAGACCCGTAGCCAGCCTCCGCTCTGATTGCCGGTTAGGTCAAGTGTTTATCTACGGTATCCAAGGTATACCAAATCACCGTCACTGGCATGAACTCCGGCGCCGGACGAGACATCTACGTGATGCCATGGTCGAAGGATTGATGTGTTGTCCGTGTTTCGAGGGGGCGCAGAAGCCGGCCTAGGAATGTTTCCCCCCATCGACATATGGCATTTGCACCTGACGCCTTTCCCATCTCGTAGCACGTTGGCATCCCTTGTCGTTACCATCAGATAAGGATTCCGCCACGCCTCGTCGGACGATTCCATCTGCAGTCGAGACGTACGTGCCTGCCCCAATCTGTTTGCCCCCAGCACATGCTGGACTTGCAGCTATCACTGTTGTTGTTGAGATCGGCTTCGCCCCAGACACAGCAGCAGAACGAGCCGGAACCACGGCACCGGGCATACTCAACTTCTTGCCGCCATTGCAGCCTGCACTGGGAACAAAAACCTAGTTGCGAGCCTCCTTCCACTCGAGCCCTGTGCCGTTATCGAGCAATCCACAATGGTCAATCGCACGTTCTCCGGGTACATATCTGCGTTTCCTTGTCCCACCCACACCGGCTGGCTTCCGAGGTCCCAAGCTTCTTTCCCAGGGTTATGGCGAACAGACGCACGTATAAAGTATGTTGCAGGCTGTCATGTCGCTCAATCGCGGGGTAAAGCTTTCTTTTCGTTGCCTCACAAGCTGTCGGAGATCTGGAGCAGATCCTCTGATAGCTTTCAACAGCTTGCAGATCAACCGTGGGTGTTGGTATCCGATGAAGCCCCACCATGTGATTGCAACGCTCAAGATTGCCAATGCGCTGGGGCATTGTCTTCAATATTTCCCGGCCGAATCATCGGACGAACATTCATCTGATCAGTCTGACGAGAGTGATTCGGCTGAAGCTTGATAAAGCGGTTGACCCCAATTGCTGCCCATCTCATCTCAAAACATCACGCCTTGCCTGGTGCACTAAATCACCGTCCCCGTAGAGGTGACTTAGTCTAATCCGATTACTGATTGGGACCATATCGAAGTGGAGTCAAATGTCGATTATGTACAAGTATAATGGTGCCGTATCACCTAACAAAGTGCGTTGATTTGTGGTCAAGAACGATCGGTCAGTCTGGCTGCGTCGTGCCAGAATTGAATACAACACAGCTAAGTGATGAGACAATGCAGCGCTCGTAGTCATGGGCTGGAAAGGAGCCAGAATTAGTGTTCGGTACTCCGATCATACCTAGATCAAGTTGTCTTTCTGGGACCACTTCTCATGTAATACCCACCGAAGTGGCGAACGAGGACCTCGCAGGAGGGTATATGCCGAACTTATGATCTTCAAAAAGCCGAGACTTGGCATACGAAGTCAAGAGTTACAGTAGCGATGGTCCTTTGGATCTAAGACCATGGAATGACTTATACACCTTGATATTGTGGAGGACGGTCGCGGTATGCTTTTATCTTATTTTTTGTACACCTCCCCACGTCGAAGTACGAATTGGTCCAATGATCTCCGCTCAGCAGCAAACACTTCCTTAAGACATGAGGTGTGTTGGAGTGTATCTGGAAAGAAGAATCTAAGTCCGCAGAAATTTCAAAAGCTAGCGATACTGGTTCGTCGCGAAAAGCTGTAGGCGTTGGTTGTATCAGCAATTTGCAGACGCTGGTGGCTTGGCACTGAGGTGGCGCCTGGCTGATCAGTCTGAAATTGGCCCCGTTGAAGCGAGAGGACAAGACCTTCCACCATATCATGTTA